CTCATTTAAAAGTTGTCTCTGTTTATTCAGATTTCTCCGTAGAAAGTCGGTGGGGATTTTCACGCTTGACCTCTTCCTGGAAGTGGGTGAGGATTTGGTTCCAATCAAGGCGCCGCAGGACCGGCTCCGCGGGCCGACTACAATCTTTTCTCTGCTCTTCAGCTTTTCCTGGATTCGACTTGTCGATCCTTTACTTTTAACTTTTGGAACAATTGAATTTTTTAAGACTTTAGAGTTTGTTTTAGTTTTAACTTTACCCGTGTTTAAAGACACGCCTTGTGTCTTACGGGCTATTTGTTTTCGGGATGATACCGAAAGAGAAGGCGTGGAGAGTAGTTTCTTTTTGGTGACCATTTTTTTCTCTTTCACCTCTTTCACTGGCTTTAGCTCGACCGACGCTACTGAAGTAGTGGACCCACAAACATCGGGGGCTGGGTTAGTCAGGCTACCCTCGGACACCGAGATATACATCTGGACACCGTTCAACACACTTCGGCTTTTGGACCTCTCGCGCTCTCTGTACGCGGCGCCGTCGGTGCTGATGAAAATAGACACGACGTTGGGATTTTGGTTGGGCAGAATGTGGCACCGGGAATCGCATGCCCTGTGGCTCTCTTCCGATTTGCTTCTGGCTTTTCTGTTCGAGGTCCTGGTCCCATCCGTGTCCTCGGCGTCCTCGGTGTGTTTTTTTCTTCTCACGTTGATGAAAATATCCGCCTGCTCACCCCGAACTAAGCACGGCGCCTCTATCTCGTCCATCTGGGTGTGAGAGCTCTCGGAAAATAAATCCATGTCAGTATCCATGTATTGTTGGAAGTATTTCTGTTTCCGTATCTCCCTGTCCGTGTCGTGGTGCCGCGTCTGGTGCGGGCTGCTCTGTTCTGGAATCACATCTTCATCGTCATCACACGGCACCGTTTTCTTATTTTTAACCTTCTTTCCCGCAGTAGTGGGGCTTTCTCCGTTGCGAACTTTATAAAGATAACGCCAAAACTCGGCGCTGTTGCTTTTTTCTAGATATCGAGCAATCTTGTCCAGGACAGGTTTAGGTTCTGCCGTTTCGTCACCTAGGTCACATGCAGGTTCGGGGCTTAAGAGTTTACCCCGCTTTCTTTTCACGTCGTCGGAGAGATCGATGCTTTCGAAAGATTTGGTCTTCTTTACCGCGCGGAGCGATACGTTTTTGTTGGAGCTAATGTATTTTTGTGACATCACCTTGCTCTGTGACGGTTGCTTTGATCGCTTCACGCGAGGGCTGACACTGCCCGTCTCGCGCTCCTTGGATTTGGGGCTTGCTTTTTTTCGAGGTGGGCTGGTGGGTGGGTTGGAGCAGTTCTGGGACTGGCATCCCTCCGACACGCAGTCACTCGGGCTGTTGAGGGAATACTCGACGTCGTCCCAGTAATCCCCGTCCGACTCGATGTTGCTGGTGTCCTCGTTTAAATCTTGTGGGCACAGAAAGCAGGGAATGTATTCGTTCATGGGCCTGTACGAATCCCCATGTGCGCTGCTCTCTTTTAAAAGACAAACTTGATCAGCTGGTGGGGCCCATGGGCACTTTCCTTCCACGCTCCCTGTAACACTCAGCTGTAAGCTCCTACTTGGGTGTTCAAGAGGTTGTGACGCACAGCACGGATCAACGTGCGACTTCTGAAGAGTTTTACTCACTGAGAGAATAATCGTTGACGTGGGACTCGATGACTGGCTTCCATTGCAATAAAAAAGATCGGATTTCCGGTTTCTTTTATCAAGATTCTCTTGGCATCGTTCATCATTCTTAGTCGTACTCGCTACAACACGAGCGTCCTTAATCTCGCTGTTGTTGCACAAACACTTGTAAGCACTGAACCGCGATTTCTGACCAAGACACCCTAATGTGTTGGGGTTGGGGTTTTTATCACTGCATTTATTGCTTCCGGGGCAGGTTAAAGAGACGGATACGTCCTGACTACGGCACTCTTTTTTCTCAGTATAGCTGGGAGATTTTTTCTCAGTATAGCTGGGAGATTTTTTCTCAGTATAGCTGGGCGATTTTTTCTCAGTATAGCTGGGAGATTTTTTCTCAGTATAGCTGGGAGATTTCGGGCAATTACACTTCACGCAGTGTTGTGGGATGTTCTTATTCTTTGCAGATTTCTTGGAGGCTGAACGGGAACTGTGAGAAGAGCTTCTCCTAGAGGACTCCCGGGAAGAATCCCGATCAGGTTCTTGTTTCTTTGCTTCTTGTTTAGCGCAAACTTCTCTTGATGGTTTCTTGGCGGGTTGGCAGTGTTGGCGTCTGGCTTGGTATTGTAGTGTATCTGAGTTGACCTGCGGACAGTCAGCGCGGGGTTTTAAATCACCTCCCTTTCCTCTGCGGCGGTTCGTGTAGCTCAGGCAGGAATGTGGGCTGAAGCGACCAGGGGTACGGGAACCGCTAGATGGGGAATGTCTTCCACTTCTGGAACTTTTTCTCGGGGCGTTGTCCTTACTGCGCACCGTGCTGCATTCAAAGCAGGGCATCTGTCGGCAATGACATCTAGGTTGTTGAGTAGGTCTTTGTTTTTCATCTGAACCTGAGCTCATTGACAGAGATTTGACCTCTGTTTCCTGGCAAACTTTGGCAGGTCTGTCTATTTCTCGGGATGGCTGTTTCTCGTGTTTCTTGCTTGAAGATTCATCAGACAGACTTTTATCTGGCAAAGATGTTTTAGAACTCAGTTTCATTTTTGTACTCACTGTGTTGCATCCAAAACATGGGCCCGGGGTTAATTTACGTGTGCGTGAAGCTCCGGGGGGTGAGGTGGATCTTTGTTTCACACGCTCGTCGTTAGAAAATCTTTGACTGGATATTTTTTCCCAGTACCCCAGCAGACAGCTGTACTCCCTGGGGTAAATCTCCTCCGTGTCACTGTCACTGTGCCGGGACTCGATCTGAGACTTGCCTGCGCACATTTTACGGCTGGGCCCACCGGGTTTGGAGGTCGTCTCGGCCGGTTTAGATGAGGCTAAGAAATCTCTTTTCCGGCATATTCGTCTAGCAGACTTTTCACACCTGATATCTTCACGTGAGGTATCTTCACGTGTTTTTAGATCTACGGGGCATTGCTCCCCGTCACGGAACTGATTAGATGCCATACGCTTGATTAAAGGTTTGTTCGAAACTTGACAACCGATTGATTGCGATGACTGCGGTTTACGTTTCCGTGAAATCAATCGCGTGAGATGTTTATTTATTTTACAATGATCTAACACAGGATGGCATATTTTTTGGGTTGAATCTGTAGATGGACCTTGAAAATGTTTATGTCCTCTAGTTTCGCTTTGGCGTGGAGATTCTAAATTACCGTTATCTAACTGAGAAGGGCATATTTTCTGTGTAGAATCTTTGAGGGGATCGCGATATGGTACCATGGTTTCACTTTGATTGGGGGTCACTACTACATCTTTTTCTCGAGAAAGTTCGATTTTGCGTCTCTTGGTCTGACCATGGATATGTAGGAACTCGGCTTTAGCGAGACCTTTGGTGTTGCTAACGTTCATGGGTTTCGCAATCTTCGACTCATGTTTAACAGATTTTTTAGCAAAAACATTATGAGGTTGTGTATTGACGTTTACTGGTGAAATGTATGGTGTTCGGTATATTGGTTTGAACTTCATGTATGGTGAATATTTAAATGAGTCTTTGGGTTCAGATCTTGGGTTGTGGGCTACACGGCAATCTATATCCGCACCAGGGCTTTTATTATGAAGGTGGTTTTTTACTTGTTTTAACTTAGTACACGAACTAGAACAAGTAGAATTTATTTTATTTTGGTATCTTCTATCTTGTTTCTCTTGACTCTGAGATTGCTTTGCGATTCTTTCAACGGGTGTTTCTTCAAGATCTAGACGTGGCTTGCCTTGCCAATATCGAAGATGATGCTGTTTTGAATCCTTGCAGGGATTAGCCTTGCTATCGTTGGGCTTTTGCGGGTTCGGATCTCGGCAAGGTTTAAAGTTCCAATCTTTAGGACTTTGTGGGTTCGGATCTCGGCAAGGTTTAAAGTTACAATCTTTAGGACTTTGTGGGTTCGGATCTCGGCAAGGTTTAAAGTTCAAATCTTTAGGACTTTGTGGGTTCGGATCTCGGCAAGGTTTAAAGTTACAATCTTTAGGACTTTGTGGGTTCGGATCTCGGCAAGGTTTAAAGTTACAATCTTTAGGACTTTGTGGGTTCGGATCTCGGCAAGGTTTAAAGTTCAAATCTTTAGGACTTTGCGGGTTCGGATCTCGGCAAGGAGTGAAAACATTTGTTGAAACTTGGCAAGGTTTTGACTGACTCTTAGATTGCCCCAGGTTCTCACGTGTAGCAGTGTTCGTGTTTTCAGTGCGTTTTTTAGAACTTTGACAATTCTTTTGTTGACAAGGGGTGTTCAGCTGTGGCGACTTTCCATACGGTCTATTTTCATTTGGGTTTCGGCAAGGCATCCCTTGAGAATCACAAGGACTTTGAGAGTTCGGATCTTTGCAAGACTTATCATAACAGACGTTCGGATCTTTGCAAGACTTATCATAACAGCTGTCCGGATCTTTGCAGGGCTTATCATAACAGACGTTCGGATCTTTGCAGGACTGATCACAGCAGACGTTCGGATCTTCGCAAGACTTATCATAACAGACGTTCGGATCTTCGCAAGACTTATCATAACAGTCGTCTGGATCTTTGCAGGGCTTATCATAACAGACGCTCGGATCTTTGCAAGACTTATCATAGCAGACGTTTGGACATTGCGATTCCGGATCACAACAAGGAATACAATCGCGATCTGAAGCTTCGCAGGTTGTAGTTTGACATTTTCCGCAAGTATTTTTCTTGATTGAGATGGGTCTGGCGTCTTTCTGCCAGGGTCCCGGTGTGTCGACTTGGCATGGGTTATATGTGCATGACCCAGGGTTTCTGCATTGGGACCCGCAAACCTTGCTACAAGTTTGGTTACAAACATTTTCGACTTTGTAATGTGAAACACAATCATTGTCTTTTAATCTTTGAGTCTGGCAGGTGGCGCGGCATGGATTATCATGGCCCGCACATGGATTTGCCATGCATGGGGATGGATAGCATAGTGGATTGCATTTTGTTTGGCCCGCACATGGATTTGTAGAGCATGGTGATTGATAGCATACCGGATTGCATTCTTTTTTGCATTTCGTTTGGCCCGCACATAGATTTTTAGAACATGGGGATGGATTGCATAAAGAATTGCATTTTTGTTGGCACGTTGATGAGCCAAGATATGTATTTGTAGAGCATGGTGCTTGTTCACATGGTGTAGGGCAATTTTTCTGGCACGTCGTTTGTTTAGTGAAACAACACGGGGCACAACACTGACATTTCCATGACTGGCATTGTTGGAAGTTCTGTCCTTTACATGGGGCCTGGCTTTGATATTGAGAACACTGCGCACTTGGGCAGCAGCAACAGGACATTGATGCCGGATTTTTCCGGCACGTTTTCGTCGAGCAGCAAGCACCATCTGAACACATACAGTGGGGACCACAGCGTTTGCAACACTTAGGGGTTTTCTTTCCGCAACGCGGCTGACAGACATCGGCTCGGCAAGTACATAGGGGGTGTTCCTCGTTCGTGCAACACCCACACGTTGACGCTTCTTGGCACGTGTCACAGTTCTTGACACGAGATTTCTCTTGTGGGCAGACCTTACAGAGCCTGCAAGAAGTACTGTCTTCTGGGCAGGTCTTGCATTTCCTGTCACAGGTACTGTCTTGTGGGCAGATCGTACAGAGCCTGCAAGACGTACCGTCCTGTGGACAGGTTTCGCAGGTCCTGTCACAGGTTCTGTCCTGTGGGCAGAAGTCACAGATCCTGCCGCAGGTTTTGTTGTGTTGACAGCCTATATCTACACACGTCCTCTTCTTTGGCATGCACTGCGGCTCACACCGGTAAATATCTTTGATGCACGTGATCTCCTGCGGTGACGCGTGATGCTGGGAGTACTGAAAGTCGCACGAGCCTTTGTGGGAGATAACCAACCTACTGGTGCAGGCAGTGTCCGAGTTTCTGGCGCATACCACGGCCTCACCAGGACATAAACAAACTTTCTCCTCAACAGATCGGCGTCTGGGCGGTCTCGTGGGCTTACATTTATCTACCCCGCTGCTAGTTACTGAAACACACGACATTTTGTTACAAGGGTCGGGTGGTTTGGTGCAGGGATCATTCGTTGGTGGTACGCAGCACGGATCTTCTTCCATACAACAAGACTGGATGCCGGTGTCTACGAGGGTTTTAACACACGGAATAGAATTTTTAACGCAAGTTTCATTCTGTGAGCGTCCGGCCGTTGAGTTTCTCTTGCTGCTCTTCCTAGAAGAAAAAGAACTCTTTTTGGAAAAGCTCCCTCCGCTAGAGACTTTACGGCATTCCTCGATGAACCTTTCACTTCGAACAAAGTCGAGAAAGTCTAACTCGTCTTCGAGACTTTTACTGGAACTCTTTTTTCGGCTGTTTATTTTTAACGGCGTGAGGATTTCCTTTTCGAAGATGTACCGCTCGATCTCTCTGTCGGTGGAGGAGTTGCGTTTAAGGAAGTGCAGCTCTGCGCATGTTTGAAGATTCTCGGCGTTCACGACGACGGTGTTGCTTCTGTTGGTGTTGCAGGAGAACGACTCGTGCTGAGAGCACGCGTTCTCCTTGTCCTCTCCGTCGTCATCGTCGTTCTCGTCCTCGTCAGGACGAGCCGGGAGCGAGACCAAATCGTGGTAGAAATGCGACATCAACCTTTTGAGATGTCGCGCTTGGATAGAATCGGGGATGTTCGCACACGAGAACGGAGTGGGCGAGGTAAAAATGTCGTTGGCGTTGCACGCGTTGGGTTTCTTTCTTTGTGAGGTGCCTTGATAAGACGACCTACAACACTGGGCGTACTTGCTGCTTGGTGGGAAGCAATACCACGGGGCATCACAAGACGCGGCGAAGTTGGCGCAGGGGCATTTCTTCCCGGGGGTGGTCTCCTGCTCGGTACACAGCCCCGGGCTGCTGTCGCTCTGACACAGCAGTGACCGCAACACCTTGGCCGAGTCGACGTCCAGGTTAAACTTCTTCGTCTTGCACTGGTTTCTCTTTTTGCTGCGCAGGGACACCTGGATGCTACGGAGCAAGGTCGCGTTGACCTCCGTCACGCTTTCCTCGCAAGGTAAGCCGGCGTCTTTGCTGTTGTGGTCCTGCTTCGAGTTACGCTGGTGGTCAGATTTCGAAAACGAAAACCTATTATTCGGTTCAAAGTTGTAGTTGCTAAAACTCTTTTTACTGGTGTTTTCTAAACGACTGGGTCTAGATCGCTGTTCGTAGTTGACGCTGTCGCGGTTGTTAAAACCAAGATTGCTGGCACCCAAACTTTGTCTCGGAATGTCATCGCCCTCATATTGTACGGAATTATTTCTATAAACAACCTCGTCTTCCTCGTATGGTTGGAAATCTTGCAAATCATTTTGGTTCGCGTCTCCGCGATTGTCGGTCTTTGACCGAAACGACACGAACGTTGCGTTGCTCGGGCGACGTTTTTCTTGTCTCTCTTCCTGCTCGTAGTTGTCTTCACAGGGGAGCAAACGATAGCACTTTTCATTCGCCATGTCAGAGGGGACGTAACCAGAACAATACAGTCTCCCCTCCAGAGGTGCCTCCCCTTGTCGGTACTCGCGCGGGTGTCTAGAGGCGGGGCACGCGTGGCAACACAGAGGAATCGTGTCGCCATTCAGACAACACTTGTGAGATCTGAAAATTTAAAAAGTTAAACTATAAAACTCAGCGAAACAATTAGATAATGAAATATTGTGAAAATGTGAGTAAAACATTAAAAAGGTAATGTTACACTAATTAAAGGTGTATTTACTGTGGTTTTTGCACAATTTCAATAATATATTTTGATATTTTGGAACGAGGCTGGTCATTCGTAGTAGAATAAATATCGACAGTAATAAGTTAATCGAAAACAAAAACCTAGAAGGCAATTAGGACGGTCATTATGGATCAGCGTGAGTTCGGAGCCCGGGCTTGAGTCCATCCAGCTCTAATGAGTACCTGGCACATGTTTATGTAGTAAAAGCTGCTGGGAGTAGAACTTTCAAATTTATCCCTTCATATGCGGTAGGTCACAGAAACCAGTTAAATCTACTTCACCTGCCTCAATGACCGCCTCGTCTTAAAAGGTCTTTGAGATCGGCCATTGACCTTCCCTTGTACTCAACTTTAAACTTAGCTGATCTGTGATTACCTTGCTTGACATTGCTAACCTTTATTGACTAACTTTCCTAGTAGTAATGACTTAGCCTTAATTATTTACTCACTTGTGATTGTTTTACCTTTAAGTCTACTCACCTGTGATTGTTTTACCTTAAAGTTTACTCACCTGTGATTGTTTTACCTTAAAGTTTACTCACCTGTTATTGTTTTACCTTAAAGTTTACTCACCTGTGATTGTTTTACCTTTAAGTCTACTCACCTGTTTTTACTGTGTTTTGCCGAGTCCCCGATATACTGGACAGAAAAGTATGAAAACGATTGGTTAAAAATATTTACAATAGACAAATCTTATTATTTTTTTTACCATACTTTACTAACGATAAAAAATAAAACTTTTTGGTTAAGGGGATAATAAATCATACATGCAAAAGAAATAAACTGCAGATTTTTTATTTTAAATCCCTGGATGGGTTTTAAAAAAGGCAGCTATGAGAATTAATTTTAATTTTTTTGGTAGGAAATTGTTTTTAGAATACTTAATTGTGTAATAATGTCGTGATGTGGGACTCTTGAGTACAAAAATATCAATCCCTTAGATCAGTGATTCTTAGAGTTTCTTCCAGGCATCCCATCCCTTCGGGGGGGGGGGGGGGGGGGAGTCTGTGCGCCGAACGAAATGGACTATAGAAAATATATACTTTTAACAGTGTCCGCCCCCCCCCCCCGAAAATTTTAATTCGCCCCCTCCCCCACCCCCACCGGAGAAAAAATGTCTGGAAGAAACACTGGTGGTTCTTAACATGCGTTTGGTCGAACTCATGGGGGGTTCGTGAGACAGTTCTCAGGGGTTCGGTGCGTTCAATAGAACTTTTAAGCCGGGTTCGGTAAATGCCCGTATGAAACTAATGGGGTTCGGTAGGCCTACCCCCAAAAAAGGTAAGCAACCACTGTCTTAGAGATATACATAATCAATATTATACATGGAAAATTATATTTAAAAAGCCGTGGGTAATGTCATAAGGCACACATTTTAAAAGAGGTTCAGTCTTCACTAGAGCAGTCCTACAAAGAAAACAACTAGATAGGACATTTTATGTAGATCGGAAGAAAGGGACATTTAGGACCGTCCAAATTAATGAACTGGTGGTAATGCGTTCGCAGGGAAATCAATTTGAATATTTTACTTAGGAGATGAAAAAAAATTAAATTCGTTGACAAAATTGTGCATTTTTAGAAAATGTATACAATAAAAGTTATTATTAAAACAAAGTAAAGCGGTCGTTAATACTGGAGGTTATAAATGTGTTCATCTTAATGTGTTAGCAACTTTTTGATGTGTAATACGAACCATCCAATTTTAAGCTCATCTGTGTAAAAGTTGGTTAATAAATGCGCCCATTTTAACATTAGCTCTGTACCACAGGTTAATAAAGGCGGCCATTTTAAGCTCAGCTCTGTACCACACTATTGGTTAAGAAAGGCGACCATTTTAAGCTCAGCTCTTTACTGCAGGTTAATAAAGGCAGCCATTTTAAGCTCAGCTCTGTAACACATGTTAATAAAGGCGGCGGTTTTAAGTTTAGCTCTGCACCACAGGTTAATAAAGGTGGCCATTTTAAGTTTCGCTCTGTACCACAGGTTAATAAAGGCAGCCATTTTAAGCTCAGCTCTGTAACACATGTTAATAAAGGCGGCCATTTTAAGCTCAGCTCTGTAACACATGTTAATAAAGGCGGCCATTTTAAGCTCAGCTCTGTAACACATGTTAATAATAAAGGCAGCCATTTTAGCTCAGCTCTGTACCACAGGTTAATTAAGGCGGCCATTTTAAGTTTAGCTCTGCACCACAGGTTAATAAAGGCAGCCATTTTAAGCTCAGCTCTGTTAATGTTGGTTAAGAAAGGCGGCCATTTTAAGCTCAGCTCTGTAACACAGGTTAATTAAGGCGGCCATTTTAAGTTTAGCTCTGCACCACAGGTTTATAAAGGCAGCCATTTTAAGCTCAGCTCTGTTAATGTTGGTTAAGAAAGGCGGCCATTTTGAGCTCAGCTCTGTAACACAGGTTAATAAAGGCGGCCATTTTAAGTTTAGCTCTGCACCACAGGTTAATAAAGGCGCCCATTTTAAGCTCAGCTCTGTACTACAGGTTAATAAAGGCTGCCATTTTAAGCTCAGCTCTGTACCACCTTGTTGGTTAAAGAAGTCGCACATTTTAAGCTCAGCTCAATACTTTTCTTTTGGTACACCTACACTGAGAACCTAGCTACGCCCCTGCTTTACACGTTTGTGATGAAGATTTTTTTCTTATCTTTTCACTCTAGTTTATACTACAACAACTCACGTGACACTCTGCGCTGGCCAGCTTTTTGTAAGCTTTCTCCAGTGCTTTCCGTTTCTTCATCAAGGAAATTTCTAGATTGTCCCAGACGTCACGCCACTTTGCTTTCTGAAAGATTTGGCAAGTCGAATTTATTACAAAATACAGTGTTAAACTCTATAACAGGGGCGTAGCGAGAGGGGGCGGGGTGCGGACCGCACCGGGTGACACCATTTAGGGGGGGGGGCAACAAAGGCAAAAAATAGCAAAATATATAGAGAAAAACTCGAGGGGGGGGGTGCAAATCGAAAGTTTGAGGGGGGGTGCAAATCGAAAATTTGAGAGTTTGTCCCTGGGAAGGGTCTCTATGCCTCTGGGGGGGGGGGGGGGGGGGGTGACACCATTAAGTGCCGCACCGGGTGACACCCGACCTCGCTACGCCACTGATTAACATTAAATCATTTCTTTATCTATACATTGCATACTAATTATTTATTGTTTTGTTGTTGTTCTGGTGAATGATTTTTAACTTAAATAATTATTGTATTTGATAACTTGTTGAATAAACATTTGTGTGTGTGTGTGGGGGGGGGGGTAGTTTATTTAAAACACTAACTTATTGTTATAGATGTTAACATATTCTCAAAATGAATACACAAATACCTTAATGGAAGTATGTGGCAAGTAGACCCCGTCATCGTCTAGGCATTCAAAACGACGCCTTTTCTTCTTCTTCTTTTTCTTCTTGGTCGTCGATTGGTTTTCGGAATTTGTGGACGGCGCAGGCAGCGAGAGGGAACCAGGGAACATGACTTCAGGGTAGGGGAACCCCGGCAGACCCAGGGGCGTTGGTGCTGGTGCGGTCAATCTGGGGTCACTGAGCCTTCTGGAGAAGGTGTCCACGACTGAGTAGTTGTTGGGGAAGTAGTTGTACGGGTTAGGGGTTGGGACAGCCATGGTACCGTAGGTTTGACGGGCGAAGGTCGGATCGGAGAGGTACGTAGGTGGCCTGTCGGAGTAATGGGCGGAACGGTAGCTCATGGCGCCATTGTTGACACTGGGAGGCATCTCAAACATGTTGAAAGGGTTCTGTGTATTGCCGAGAGGGGTCGAGGTATGGGGTTCCATGATAAACGAAATCGGCAAAGGGATATCATTAGAAAAAGGATTGATGAGGGATATTCGATCTGAAAGAGCTTTAGCATCAGTTATTTGATCTGGTTTATAAACAACGCTGTTTTCTACTGATCGCTTCGGTGTATTTTTAGAAACACGCTCAGCTTCTTCGTATTCTTTCGGGTCAACAAGACTCCCTTCGCGTTGGATAGTACTGATCGTCAACTTTCTTTCGCTCACCACTGAATTGTTTCCTTTAGTCACGCTCTGTTTATCGTTGTTTTGGTCGGCTGAATTCTTACTCGTTCTCGATGTCGTGGACTTCTTATCGCTGTCGTCGGCTGTTTCCTTGACGCTGCTGTTGGTTTTCTGCGATGCTCTCTCCGATTTATTTGTTCCTTGCTCGTCTGGTGCAGGTTTAGTTTTGGGTGTACTTTGTGACGCAGTGGATTCGTTCTCTTCCGGGATTGTATTGTTTGAAGAGTAATCTGCCCCTTCCATCATTTTCACCACATACCTAATTCAGTTTTTACAAATTGATGACCATGAATTCTTTGCAGGTTTTAATTATTTATTTTTTTTTTCTGTTAAATAAATGTTCATTTTTTCATTTTTGAACCTACGATTTGTTTCTTGTTCAAATACATTTTGTTGAAAAGCCAAAGTATTTTTATGTGTATAATAAGACTATCCTGAAATGAAAAATAAATTTAAAATAAAAATGTATTACTTAGGGAAATAAAAAAAAATTACGTTCATATACAAAAACTAAAAACAATAAGACAAGAATCACATATTCTGGTATTTTAAAATCTTTTTTATTGTGACTGGCGATTGATAGATGTTGAGTTGATGAGTGACGTGAGTCAGCAGTCCATACTTTTGTCCCTCTGGTGCCAACTGATGCTGGTCTTATCCGGAGCTGAGCGAAAAGCTGGGTTGGCTGGAACCTTGGATGAGATGATTGTCACGTGATCTACTAGGGGCTGACCTTGTAGACGAGCCGGAATTCAATCAGATTTGCACGTGATGTACAAGGGGCTGACCTTGTAGACAAAACAGGATTTTAATCAGATTGTCACGTGATCTACTAGGGCCTGACCTGGTAGACGAGGCAGAATTCAATCAGATTTGCACGTGATGTACAAGGGGCTGACCTTGTAGACAAAACAGGATTTTATCAGATTGTCACGTGATCTACTAGGGGCTGACCTGGTAGACGAGGCAGAATTCAATCAGATTTGCACGTGATGTACAAGGGGCTGACCTTGTAGACAAAACAGGATTTTAATCAGATTGTCACGTGATCTACTAGGGGCTGACCTGTTAGACAAGGCTGGATTGAATCAGATTTGCACGTGATGTACAAGGGGCTGACCTTGTAGACAAAACAGGATTTTAATCAGATTGTCACGTGATCTACTAGGGCCTGACCTGGTAGACGAGCCGGAATTCAATCAGATTTGCACGTGATGTACAAGGGGCTGACCTTGTAGACAAAACAGGATTTTAATCAGATTGTCACGTGATCTACTAGGGGCTGACCTTGTAGACGAGGCAGAATTCAATCAGATTTGCACGTGATGTACAAGGGGCTGACCTTGTAGACAAAACAGGATTTTATCAGATTGTCACGTGATCTACTAGGGGCTGACCTGGTAGACGAGGCGGAATTCAATCAGATTTGCACGTGATGTACAAGGGGCTGACCTTGTAAACAAAACAGGATTTTATCAGATTGTCACGTGATCTACTAGGGGCTGACCTGGTAGACGAGGCGGAATTCAATCAGATTTGCACGTGATGTACAAGGGGCTGACCTTGTAAACAAAACAGGATTTTATCAGATTTACATGGAGGTAACCTGTTAGACGAGGCGGGATTGAATCAGATTTGCACGTGATTTACATGGGGCTGATCTTTTAGCCGAGGCAGGATTCAACGCGTGTATTAGCTTTAATTATCGCGAGTTTTCATTTGAAGCAAGTATGATGTATAAAGTTAACAGTTTAAGTAAGTATGATGTATAAAGTTAACAGTTGAAGTAAGTATGATGTATAAAGTTGACAGTTCATGCTGAAGAATTGACGTCATGTGATCAGATGTGTGGTCAGCAATACACTACTTTAGGGAAACTCTCCAAACATAGTGGCCGCCGAGGCTTGGCTGTGAGGGTTACTGCTGTAGTGAACAAATCCTTCGTCCTCTTCTTTGTTCTTGGCGGGAATGTTTGGGAGGGTGACTCCTTCATTGACAGCAGCTTTATTTTCACCGCGGGCTGAAGTTGCCGCGGGTATAGCTTTACCGTCTTCATTCGTAACGTTGTCTGTGTCGGTTTTTTCTCTTTTTTTGCATGGTTTAGGAACTGGGTATACAAGAGCTTGTTTAGGAGGGGGTTGATACACAGGGGTCTGTTGCCCTGTTTCTTGTGGGTTAGGAGCCTGCATTGTTTGAGTGTTGTCTTTTGCGAGTGCTTCTATATTGCTTTCTTGTGTTTGGATGACTTTCTCCAGCTTGGCATCGCTGTCGTCTGCTTGAGTTTTGCTTGAATCTTCCGTTACCTGTGCGCCAGCGGCGGCTGCTGTTGCTGCTATTATGGCCGCTACGGGTAGCGTTGCTTTGTCTTTCTCTGGAGTGGTTGGAGCTTGAGGTTTTGTTTTATCATTGCGCCCTTTATCCATTTCCGCAGTTTTAGACGTTGATTGATACGTCGTTGAAGGTACAGATCTTGGCCGAGCATAGCTGGGGGGTGGTATTTTAGGCTTCGATTTAGCCTGGGGAGAGGATTTATTTTTAGCAGGCGTAGCTCGAGGTGAGTTTTTTTTCTGAGCAGAAGATAGGTTTGGTGAAGCTCTCCTTTGAATCGATGATGTTTTTTGTGGGGCGGGTTTTATTTGTCTGTTACTTGGTGAAGCGCTTGCATGGGGGGAAGAGCGCTGCTTCTTATCGTTGACTTCTGCGGGCTTAGGACTTTTGATAGTGTAGCCTTTCGGGGGACTGGCGACGCGCTGGGGTTGGTTGGGTTTTGTGTTGGACAAGGGGATGGGGGGCTTGGCTTCGAAGCTAAATGTGAACGGCTCGGGTTTTCGAGACGGGGAAGTACCATGGTAAATGATGGTTGGCGATAGGCACGAAGGTGGATAAGTCATTAAATTTTCGGCAATATTCGGTCTTGGTTGTGGTTTTACTTCCGTTTTCCAAGTTGGGGAACGACTTAAGATGTCAGCTGGTGGGGGTTTATATATAGGTTTCTTAAAAGTATTGTCACTTTTTTCTTCAGGTTTGTTTATGAATGACGTTCTTTCGAAAGGACCTCGCGCTGTGTTTGGATGTGGTCTATCATCAATTTTCCAGGATGGGGAGCGGCCTGGCATTTCAACTGTTTGTTTGTGTGCTGGTTTCGTACTGAGCTTGACAGGTTTGGTCTCGATTCTCCTGGTGATGGAAGGTGTTCTGTCTGTAGCGCCGGTGGTGGCGTGGCTCCTGGTGATGGAAGGTGTTCTGTCTTTAGCGCCGGTGGTGGCGTGGCTCCTGGTGATGGAAGGTGTTCTGTCTTTAGCGCCGGTGGTGGCGTGGCTCCTGGTGATGGAAGGTGTTCTGTCTTTAGCGCCGGTGGTGGCGTGGCTCCTGGTGATGGAAGGTGTTCTATCTGAAGCGCCGGTGGTGGCGTGGCTAGACATCGACCGGGGTTTGACTGTTGGGACTTTCGGTTTAAAATATTCCCATAACGTTTCTTTGGGTATGGCAGTTGAAGAAACTTTTTGTGCAGCTGTTTCGGGATTCGATTTGTCTTTGGGTGTTGGCATTTTAGGTAACTGATCTTTTGGTGACAGTTCTTTTTGAGTTTGTTCTTTTGGTGAGGGTTCTTTTACTGGATTATCTTTTGCTGGATTATCTTTTGCTGGGGGCATTTTTGGCGGTGGTTCATCGGGTAGGTTTGACTCTTTTTTTGGTTTTATAGTTTGAGATGTCGTTTTCGGTGGAAAGTTTTTATTCCATCTTCCAGTTTCTTTTGGTGAGGGGTTTTTTGGCGGTATTTCATCATTTAGGTTTGACTCTTTTATTGGTTTCATAGTTTGAGATGTCGTTTTCGGTGGGGAGTTTGTATTCGGCCTTCCGGTTTCTGTTGGTGAGGGGTTTATTGGCGGTGGTTCATCATTTAGGTTTGACTCTTTTATTGGTTTCATAGTTTGAGATGTCGTTTTCGATGGAAAGTTTTTATTCCATCTTCCGGTTTCTGTTGGTGAGGGGTATATTGGCGGTGGTTCATCATTTAGGTTTGACTCTTTTATTGGTTTCATAGTTTGAGATGTTTTCGGTGGAAAGTTTTTATTCCCTCTTCCGGTTTCTGTTGGTGAGGGGTTTATTGGCGGTGGTTCATCATTTAGGTTTGACTCTTTTATTGGTTTCATAGTTTGAGATGTCGTTTTCGGTGGGGAGTTTGTAGTAGGTCTTCTGGTTTCTTTTGATTTCGGTGACGGAATTTTCGTTGAAGATTTTTTTTGTGACGGCTTTATTAGTGGGGAATCTTTGAAATAGCCCTCTATTTCGTCCAACTCTGTAGGGCCAAGAAAAGTGGGCGTTTCTTCAGGTGGTAGGAGAGTCTCGACGAAGTTTTCTGACGTCACGGCGTGCGATGTCGGCTTTACAACTTTTGGGGACTCAGGTTTTAGGTACGTGTTGACTTTGGTTTGATCATTGACCATGACGTGAAGTGTGGGTGGGTATTTGTTTTCGAAAGTCACAGTGTTGGACTTATCGGCTGGCACCACAACAGGTTCAGATCTTAAGACGATTCTAGGCTGACGAGATGCGAATGATACCGGTTCTTCTTTAACTGGCTCATTTTCAGTTAAGATAGTTGGGGTAAGTACTGTAGGTACTAACTGTGAGACTTGATATGCCTCCAGCTTCTCAGGATCGCTGGTTATCTTGTGTGAAACAGGCGCGCAAAGAGAAGGGGGGATGGGAATTACCGGTGGCAATATAGAAGGGGGTATGGGGGGATGTGTCTGTCCTATTTTCTGCGAACATGTGGAAATAGTTGAACCGGAAACACTTCTTGTTAGCTTGTAGTTCGCTGTCTTACGCAGCTCTTTCTTTTTGAGATTTGAATCTTCTCGAGGTTTTGAAGTCACGCGATAGGACATTTTGTTGGACTCAGCAATTTTAACACTACTAGAGTCGACTACTTTGAAGTCTTTTACTACTGCCAAAGGCGACGCTACCTTTTTATCTTTGAATAGATTCGGTGACGGACTGCGGGTCGCACTTGTTTTGGCATTCTTCGTTACCTGGGACCTGGATCGTTTGGCGTGTTGCGGTGAAGTGGATGCTTTTCTAGCCTCCCTCTTGTGCTGCTCAGGCTTCACCGGTGGTGTTTCTTTCTTCTCCGGGTTTTTTGTCATTTGGCTGAGTATGTTCTCTATAGCGGCGTCGATTTGTTGAGGGGTTGCTGAGACCTTCTTGACAGGTTCCCGCTGGGCGGGTCCCGTGGTGCTTGTTTCCTTGGCGGCGAAGAACGAGCTAATGTACCCCAAGGCGGAGGACAGGGTGCCGGCTGGGGGCTCGGGCGGGGGAGTTTTAGGCTTGGGTTTCTTCAGGGACGGCGGCTTGAAAGATATGGACGAGGTCCTTTCAGTAGGAACATAGTCTGGCGTGGGGACCGCACGCTTGACAGGGAGCACGGTGGGGATGGGTTTTTCAGCCAGGTTCATCCGGTTCAGGACGCCGATCTGAGGCCGAATAGCGGTGTCTTTCTTGCTCTCGTCCGTGTCGGCGAGTTGCGTTGGTGGTGGAGGCGGAAGAGACATCTTGGTCGGGGTCAATCAAGCAAGGCGACCTTGACTCGGAGTTCAGCGATTCACGTGGCACTATAAAAAAAACAACTTGGTTCTTGACTGGTTGTCAACGGGGGCTTGAGTACAGAATGTGTTAGACGTTGGTTCGGGTTAACAGGGTAAACTGACGGCTTTCTCTGAGGTCATCCCAATCCGATTCCGGTAAAATCTCCAGTCCGATGATAATCAAAGCTGCGAACAATAAAATAAACTTTTGAGACAACAAAATAACGGGAGTAAATATAACAAATAATAATAGTCTTAATATTTTTCTCCCATCACTTGCGCATCTTTAAATCTCTACATTTATTTACTGAATAAAAAGAGTTGACAAAGTGCGTCTATTAACATCAGCAACCAGCTTAACAGGCTTAAAACATCATGCTTGTATTCAATAATAAGTTCACAGATAAGTCTTTGAGACTGTTATGAGGTACCATATGGTTATTGCTCGGTATTTAGAAGGATCAAGCATATCATAAAGGATAACACTAGTGATACAATGTTATCGTTTTAAAACAAAGACTTTAATGTTAAAATTAGATTAGACTATGCTTAGAGCTTTGATTATGTTAGCGATATATATGCTTGACTGAGCATCGGCCAACAGGTACCCGCTAAGAAAATACCCTAAATTATACATATAATTAATTACTCTTATTTACGCATTTACACGTAATACTTAATGTAAATATTCAAGCATACAAGCATATTTGGAGTAAGTTCCAATTGGTGTTGTAATGTGAAGTACTTGTAAAAATGCCGGCAAATCATCTTGAGACAATCTTCTTATAGTATCGTAACCCTTTATCCTGAACTTAACCCAAGCTTACTTAACTCCTACTCTAGCCTGACCCTAACCATATTCCCCCCCCCCCCCCAATCCCAAATCTAATACTAATACCACAATAAAGAAAAAAAAAATCTTACTCTCGTGAACTACCGGCGTTTTTATAAGACCTCGTTATCGACTATAATTAGTATGGGACAGAACATGACGCACTCGGACACAAACACTCACTCAAAGAAAAATGCAAAGCGTCACATGCAGACGACAGAGAACTGGGCCCACACTAGAAAATTATACGCTCATCTTGAGGAGGCAGTCGACATTGCGACGGAGGGCTCTGCTGACGAAGACAACTACCTGAACATAGTTGTAGCCAATGGATTATAGAGACTGTAGATGGGCGCGTTGACAAATACAACATTCGTTTCGTGCTGGGTTTTATTTTAATTTTTTGGGGTGGTTTTTTTTTTTGTTTTTTTGAGTGGGGTTTTTTTTTGCCATTTCTGTGGCTTGATTTTATACAGGACAATTAATTAAATAAATGCTGTTTAAGAATGGTTTTCTTTTAATTTAGAAAATGTATTGAGAAAAACAAGGATGTCATGTCCCAATAGCCTAAACAAAAGTTTAATTAAGCTATCCTAATTAGGCCTATGTCAATCAACCATGCATACATATTCGTGTGGAGAGAATAACCGATGCTTTCGGTCATTAGCGGTGTGGGTATCGAGAATAAAATGCTAAAACCTATATAGTGGGTTTTAGTATTGTAATCGATGATGATAGTTTGCGAATACGCAAATATGGCTAATTGACAATTCCCAGCATAAATTATTTCAGGTAATAAAAACAACATGGGCAAGCTATACAGCCTGCAGATAATTTTAAAGCCAGCTGTTAACATAAGCTTACTTTCTCGCTTAAGTCTAAACTTAAGATTGTCAGTTTTAATCAGCGTTTCCTTCAGACATTTTTCTCAAGGTGGGGGTGGGGGGGGGGGGGGAAGGTGAGCAGGCTAAATTTTTCGAGGGTGGGGAGGGAGGGGCGGACACTGGTATAAGTAAATATTTTCTATTTAAGATCTTTTTTATCCGGGGCGTGAAGGGGGGGGGGGGGGAGTTCAGAGTCACCTCCCCCACCCCCCCCCCCCCCCCTTTTTTTCGAAGAGATGCCTGAAAGAAACTCTGGTTTCAATTCACAGTTATTTACGCACTTTATAGATCTAGTCAATGATGACTGTTGCAATTCAAAATTGGTAAGAAACGACATCATCTTAAAGTTCTCGTTTCATTGTTGGGTTATTCTTTTTTTTTTAAATGGATCTAGAAATCTAGATCTAGATCTTCTAAGTCTTGGCTCCCCAATGTTTACCATGTCTACCTGACCTTGAATTCAGCCAAGCATGTCTTCCGGATCTAGATGACTTTTTTTTAAATAAATACTAACAGTCAACGCGATCCATATTACATATTCAAACCTGACGGTCTATGGGGTAAGTGAAGTAGAGTTCACTTGTTTATGTGACCTCGGCATATGAAGAGATAGTGTGGTCAGCACTATGCCCAGCTGCCTTTACTTTCCCTAACGCGAGTTAGGTACCCATCAGAGTTGGATGGACTCAGGGACGGTCTACTGCCTTGAACCCGGATTCGAACTCGAGACTTACGGGTTAGTAGTCCAGCTCTCTACCGCTAGACCACTCCGTCCCATGGTGGCTGGGTGGGCAGATCAGAATTAGCCAACAATCAACAGTTTAATTGATACTGTGCAATTACAAATCTTACATTATTAATAATATTGGCATAAATAACACAAAGGACGAATGCTCCTTGGCAGTCAATCCACAAGGACTGGGAAACTAATTAAAAAGGCTTGCTAGTCCCCCTGTTTCAGACACCCCTCTCCACACAGCAGATGGATCCAAGGGAGAGGCATTACATGTAGGTCTACAACTTACTTAACATCAGATGTGTAACAGGAGCGAGCGATAGAAAACCAGAGTTGGTAATCCCATCGCCGGTTTGATTTCGGAGATATCTTAATCTAGATCTAGATGGGTTGTTGTCCACAGCTATCGAAGCTCATATACCAGAGGGTTGAGGCTCTAGACTATGAGTTAGCAACCACGCGCTTTCCCACCCAACCACGCTAACGTTTAGACTAGTATATTACATACTAGATCTAGATCTAGATCTAAAAAAAAAGTCTTACGGCGTTTCTGAACAGTGGGACGGCGTGGCCTAGAAGTAGAGCGCTGGACTGCTAACCGGAATGTCTCGAGTTCAAACCTGGGCTCAAGTCAGTCGAACGTCCCTGAGTCCACCCAGCCTTGACGAGTACCTAACTCACGTTAGGGAAATAATGGGCGGCTGGGCATAGTACTGAGCACCATTCATATGCCGAGGTCACAGAAACAGGACCGTCCGGTTTGAAAAGGGAACTGTACTGTACTGTATCTGAACAGGCCCTACTACTAGATCAAGGCCTTGAACCTACTAGATCTACCTAAGGCCTAGACGGATCTTAATTTCGATACCGCTAGTGGGTTTAATTTCAAGCCGAATAAACAGCCGTTTGGAAAGGCCAATTCACTAAACATAAAAACAATTGTAGGTCATAAATAAGCTTAAAAATCACTCACCCATTTCGAAGAGGCAGACGCTGAAAAAAATGAGAGAAGAGAGAATTGTGTCGGATGGAGGGCACGGCAACAGAGCTGAAAGGTTTACTACTGCAGGAGGTTGAAGATTAGAGATGGATGTAAGGTCACCCGTCAGGCAATCGTCGCAGCACCATGTCTTGCCGACATTCTTAGTTGATCCTATTTTGACGTCATCTGGTTGTCATGCGACGTTTCGGCTGTGTTCAGTTCGGGTGCGCGCCGGTGCAATGTGCGCATTAGGTCCTTGGTATGAATAAACATATTTAACTAGCAGTTTGAACTACTTCGCGCTAGAGTTTTGAATTATTGTGATTTCTTTAATAATTAACTTTAATAAATTTGAGTTAGAGATTAGCCGTACCCACATACTACGGTATAAGTCGATAAAGGTACTCTAGGGCCTAGAGGATCGTACACCTAATAACACAAAAAGGAGACATTCTTGATACGCCCCCCTAGTTTCCCCCTCCCCTCTTTCCGAGCAATTACTCTCTGTCGTAATGCCTAGGCATTCTATAGCAAGCCTGTTACAAGCCAACAGAGTACGAAATGAATCAGATTTATTTTAACATTTCGCCTAGGAATTTTATAAAGTTCAAATCGCATTTTTTCGATGAGGAATTTTTTTGCGGAGCATGGAAGTTTGGATCATACACTAACCCAATTAAAAAATTATCGAAACACTCGCATACCCCAGCTTTTCATCTTTCTATCAAGGGACACAACCATAATTCTAGTGAAATTAAAATGAAGCTATGCCAGTAATAATAATTTGGCATAGTTTACCTAGCATTATGAGATAATTTCATTTAGAGCTGAACAAAGAATTGTACCATTTACAACATCAGACAAGGGATTGCCCTTTAAACCGCCCACATACCATCAAAATAAAAACAACGTTTACATCTGAAAAAAGTTTTATTGAAAAAGTTCATCAGCATCACATACCATACATGTACAAGTACAAGATTCAATGCATCGAAATTCAAGGGAGATAATATGCCATGATTTTATTTTCATTTTCAAACTGCAAAAAGAAAATGTTCACAAAAAAATGATTAAGTTATAGTTACAAATAATGAATAAATAATAAATATTTATTACATTATAGAAAGTGTTCTTCCTGTGATTTTAATAAAATAGTGTTGAACAAAAAAACCAATGTGATCTAATTTATCAAATAAAAATACTGATTAATCTAATGAAACAACATTTAAAATTTAAAACACAGTAAAGTATAGTTTTTTTTCAAGAGGACTGCATATTCTTCAATATGCTATAGAATTGTGTTAATTTTATATAGTTTTTTTTTTAAGTCAGGATTAGGTTTATGGCTTTGGTCACAGTGAGCAAACAAAAACGAATTTAGCATAGCCTGCAAGCATGTTAGATCCAAACTAACTAAAGGCCAGTTCTTATTAATTAATTAATGAAGGAATAGTAAACTCATCCTGACAGAGCTGTTTAGTAATAAAATAGCTGTGGCTTTAAAACATCTATATATCTAAATGTATGAACACTACATGTAAAAAACAATGTTTTATTAATATTTACAAGTTGTTATGTCAAGTTCAACATGTGATAAGGAAAGGGTTAAAACATATTCATTTAGTGATGATTTTAAAATTTGTATATGAGGAGCTTAACAGTTCATGATACAGTGAATATATATATTGAGCTTAACAGTTCATTATAAAGATGGAGATCTAAAATCTGTATTACTGTATAGATAAAAATAAAAGTATGTATATTACACAATTATAAACTAGTGATATATAGGATTAGGTGGGGTTACTTCAGATACTAATTTAAAATTTGTTAAATGGCAGCAAATAAACGACAAGTTTAGATGAGCTAAGGCTCTTTAAAGAATTTTTTAAAATCTTAAAATAGTAGTTTATTAACAAACAATAAAATACAAGAAAAATGTAAACAGACACAGATCACATCGTGGAGAAAAGGTAAAATGTTTTATGTATTTATGTATAAATATTGCGGATAAAAAAAAAATTAGATACACATACATAAAAATATAAAGAATAGAATGTTAGGTGGTATAACAGTTATTGTTACAAACTCTTCATCTGAGTTAAAGTTTTAAAATGTGAACTTTTCAGTTCCCACAAGATAAAACAATTTTAAGCCCGATCTCTAGTAAATAATTGAATCATTATATATTAAGTCAATACAGTGATTGCCGGTAAGTAGACCCAACCCTTAGGTGTGCTGTATGGTGAATACTTTCTTACACTGATGTCTTCAACTACGGAGATTGAAAGTTATATCTTTTTTGTACAAATAACTTTGAAAACTAAAATCGGCATGAGCAACATTTAGCTAACAGCTTTTTACATTGTCCAGTAATATCATTGTCTTTTGGTTTGATTAATATCAAATAAAATAGAGAACATCACAGGTCAACCCTCAACAACTCAATCCAAGCATTCATCATCACAGCAGTAAAAAAAAAGATAAGTAGGTCATTATATTATTTATACACTTATTTTAACTGGAATGTAAGTAAAGGTACTGAACAAAAAATTATGACGAGAACTATTATTTCAGTTTTATAACAAAAACTAGTGACATTAAATTAAAAGTATTTATAATTATATGATATCAATACTATGTAAAAAGTATAGTTCCCTTTTTGACCCATGAGGAAAGTAGAGTTCACCTGTTTCTGTGACTCCTACATATGAAGAGATAGTGTGGTCAGGACTATGCCCAGCCACCTTTACTTTCCCTACTGTGAGTTAGTAATAGTTACCCATCAGAGCTGGATGGACTCAGGGACATAATACTAACTTGAACCCAGAATCGAACTCGAGACTTTCGGGTTAGCAGTCAGGCACTCTACCACTAGCCCCCAATGCTATGTATTTCTATCTATTTCTAACTACATTTTAAAACATTTAAAATATCACATATTAGGGCAAGAGGTGTTATTAAGGCAATACATTGTTCAATTACTATTTGAATTGTCCATAATGTTATATTTCTAATCAATCTAAATGTTTAATTATTATTTAAATTGTCCATCATGTTATATTTCTAATCAATCTAAATGTAAGATTAGACAAAATTGTTCATTTAAAGTGATCCCTCAAAACTGCCAAAATAAAAAGTTAATTTTGTTTTTATGCCAAATGATATTAATTTCAATTTCCCATTTCAATATGCTAATTGAAAAGCCCAAACAATGCTAACAACACATCAGAGGATGCAAGTGACACAGCTTTAAAAAACTCCATTTTGACTGACACTAAAGATAACCTTAAATGACACAATTGCCAACAACGCAACTAAAATTCTGTTACCCACATTTCCCAAATGAGGAATTAAAACTGATTCTCATCAGGAGATACATCATTCACTGCTGCTGCCAAACTCTTTGTCGTGTCCGTGGGGGTGGCTGGGTCCACAGAGCTGTTCATGTCTGAAATATTTTGACTGGAATTCGATGTTCGAGATAAACATGTTCGTTTGAACCTGGCAAAAAGGCCTCCATCACTGCGGCTTCTGGGAAGGAATGTTAAAGGCACTGGAGACAGAAATGAAGAAAACTGTTACATTTATGGGTTTCAAAATTAAAATTGTTTAAAAAATCAATATGTTAATTTATAAATAAATAAATTATTGAACAGTGTTAAAAGATGTAAAACCAAATGATCAAGATGTTGTGGATGATATTTTTCTAATTGTTATAAAAAGTTAAATAGAAAACGCCTTTTTTAAAATTATCAGAATTTTAAAATATTAGCATTATTTTGATGAAAATCAGTAAGTATAAAATGAAGAAATAAAATAAATTAATAAATTATATGTTAAAAAATAAGTATAAATAAGTATAAAAGTTTTAAATATTAAGTAGAAAAAGTATTGTTTAAATAAGTTGTTTTTTTATGAATACTTTAAAAATATGGAATCTGTTGTAAAGCCTATAACTTCAAACAAATTCATCAACTAGCATTATGATCTACAACTAATACCAAGAAAACAAATGAAAGCAACATGAAAACACAGATACACAAGTTTCAATCAGTTATACGCAGCTAAAAATATTTCAAATTTACCTGATCACTAGATACTCCCTTAACCAAAGCTTGACAAAAGGTTCACACTAAACATGCAAGTTGTGACATAGAGCTGTAGAAAACAGTGGATTAAAACATAAAACAGCATTACAGTACAAGACTTAGCTGTGCAGATAATTGCAATTTTTCTTAATACTTAGAACTTTATTAAAAATATGGACTAAGTATAGATGTTAGAAAACTTTTTTTCTCTCGTCTTTTTTTTATTACTTTTTTTTTAAAACATGAATAGGAAATTCATCAAAGTATTAACTAGCATTAAACAAACTTTCATTTGTAAAACTATGAAGAAAAAGTCTTACAGATAATACAAGTCTGGTGAATTTAGTAACTAATGGCCATCAAGGTCCCAATGTAGTGTTGACATTTCTAGATAAATATATTATATTTACAGATTAATCTGAATAATTTAATAACTTTATTATTATAATGTATCATTTAACTATGCCTTTTTTATTTCTTGTTGGGTTAATAGGGTGTTTTGGGTAGCTTATTATTGATTGTTAATTAAATTTAGCACAACACTAAACAATAAATACAAATAATGAAAGCGAACATTAAAAATGATCAAATTTCAGAACTGATAAAAAGAAAATTTAAAATGTTTAAGGATCTAAGTTTATCACAAAGATTTTTTTTTTTTAAATACAATTTTATTCCTTTTTTTTGTAAATAACTCTTTACACATCTATTAAAAGAAAAAACATGTTTCAACTTGTTACATTCTAAATCGATCTTATAAGCATGTCTTGTCGTACAAATTACTTTTTAAAAAAAAAACAAGGAAATAAAATTAAAACTAGCAAGCTACTACTCACAAGGTCTACTATACAACTAACAATGAATAGGTGTCAAAGCTAATAGAAGTTGTTTAAAAAGTTAACATATTTTCACAGTTGCACTGTTGGTAAAAAAGGGCATGTTCCTGCCCAATTATATAAAGAAGGTGACAGTCCTACGCTATAAATATAAACAGCAGGGGTGACATGAATAGTCTGTCCAAGGTGCCAACATATTTAACCAATCAAGCGCATGAACAAAAGAAACAGCCCCTTTTCAAGCTCTATATACAACATTTACGCTTGTGATTTTGACGAGCCAGTACTATAGGCTTACCACTTGTATCTATCAGGGGAGCGTTTTCCGCTGCTTCGCATGAAATGAGGCCCAGCTTCCTCAAATTTAAAATAGAATCTGCGACTATTCTGGCTGTTTCCTTCAAGTAGCCCCCACTGGTGACCATAAATACTGGAATATCTCGTGAGCGACAATTTTCAAAGACTATCTGATCTCGTTCAATAATACCCTGAAACAATATCCACATCAAAAGGTATAGCAAATGAAGTCTCATTTTAATTCACTATATTTCTTATTAAATCTGTAGTAAAATAGAATATACATTGTACAGCATCACTTAAAAAACCTTTAGAAACTAGTCCAAAATTTAAATGTTAATTCCCACTAACCGTAATATATAATGACTAAGTCATCAGTATAATTGAGCCTAAAAATACTAAAATAGAAGATAAGAAATAAAAATTTTTAGTTAATTAACAAAGTGCTCACTTGGGCTGTTATGGACAATGATCCTAAAGGATCACCTTCTAAGATATCTGTACCAGCGTTATAGACAACCAAGTCAGGAGAAAATTCTTTTAAGGCGTCTTCTACATTTCTTTAGAAGAAAATAAACTTGTAACTATTTGGAAATAATTATATTAGCAAATATAAAAGAAGTTAACCACACATATTACAATAAATGAAAAAAAATTCCATACCAAACTGTCTTCTATTTTTTTTTTAAATATTCAAACACGATGTATAATCCGTAAATTGGTAGTGTATCAAGAGACTTATTTCAACCTATGAGCTAAATTTATGTTTTTTAAATATGTAAATAAAATATTAGTAGTTCTTACCTTTTCACAGCATTGAGATAACGCTCATTATCTGTGAAACATCTTATTTCCACCTTACGCTTAATGGCACCTGAAAAAAGCACATAAAATAATATAATACAATATCACTTTGTTAATATTTTTATAAACTTATTTTCTACTTATAACAGTCAATTATAATAAATTGCATAAGAATCTTACGTTTGGCGAACCCATCATGTGGGTAAATATCCCTGTTATAGACATCTAGGATGTATACTCTTTCATCGTCCATAAAGTCCCTCTCATGGCCATTACCCTAAGTTAAAAATAAAACATAATTTTTTAAAAAGTTTGTCAAATTTTAAAAACTAACATCAAATTCTCTAAAAAGCTATATGTAGGCTAGAAAAGATTAAAAATTCACAGTAAAAAAAAAACAGTAAATTTTTTTACCTGATGAGCATCCAGGTCTATTATCATCACCTTGGACACACCCTCAATCTTCTCAAAGGCAAATTTTATGGACAGGGTGATGTCGGCGTAAGCACAAAATCCCCCTCCTCTCTCACTGGAACAGTGATGAAATCCTCCACCAATGTTGATGGCCCAGCCACGCTCCATTGCCAGCTTTCCTGCCTGGTTGGTTTAGAACCAAAATTTTAATCTCATTAACAGTAGCCTAAACACATTGCATCATGAGAAATATTAACTTTTAATTATACAAAACATAAGTTAACGAGGAGTTGCTTTAAACAAAATACACAAATGATTAAATTAGACTAAAAAGAATGTAGTTATCTGTAGGAACAGAAAATAATCGTCTTATGGCTATTTAAAAAAAAGAAAAAGGCATACCATAATTGTTCCACTTGTTTGAAAGCGAAAAGGTCGCAACACTTTTCTTTGGACTAAAAAGTTTGGCAGTAAAGCCACAGGGGGCACTTCTGTTATTCCGGCCACAGTCCAGCTCCACTGAAAGAAGTAATTGTATTACATGAAGACATGACACCAATCTCAGTGTGGGTAGCAAGAACAACTGAGAATTTAAATATTAGAAATATAAAGGTACTAGCTGTGTTTGTGATTCTACAGTAATGTCCCACATAAAAAAAGTAACTTCATAACATAACATTAACATAGTGTGATTTAACATATAAGCTGAGGATTGAAATATAAAGGTACTATCTGTGTTTGTGATTCTAGAGTAATATCCCACATAAAAAAGAAAATTTATAACATAACACTAACCTAGTGAGATTTGATATAATAGCAGAAAACTGAAATATAAAGGTACTAGCAAAGTTTGTGATTCTAGAGTAATGTCCCACATAAAAAAGTAACTTTATAACATAATCTAGTGAGATATGATATAATTGCTGAGAATTGAAATATAACGGTACTAGCAATATTTTTGTTCCTACAGTAATGTCTCACATAATGAAGTAACTTTATAACATAAACATTAAACTACTGTGATTTGATAAAATAGCTGAGTGTAAAATATAATGGTACTAGCACTATTTTTGTGTTTCTACAGTAATATCCCAATCAAATCAACCCTAGTGTGGGCAGAGCAGCAAGATCAAAGAGAATACATATGATTGTTTTTTTTTCCACTGTTTGTGTCTAAGTTAACTTCACCAAAAAACTAAAATTGATCAGGATCAAAACCTTTAAGGATGAGGATAACATAGATGGATAACATAGCTAAACTTACATAAAATGAGCTTGGTCGTAACAAAGCTTGGGTCTACAATATATGTTATTTTTTAATTTAGCATGATGTATCCATCCAAAATTTTATTTCCCTACACACGTAAGATTATTTTAATTACAAACACAAAAGCAAATAATTTGTACCAATAATTAGCAAATAACATTTAAAAATTTCTTGTTATAAGGCTAGAGAAAATAAATAAAGCACAGTCCTTCTTTGTTCTAACTAAAATATATTTTATTTCTAAGATATTTTGTTTATAAATCAAATGTGATCCACTTAAAAAGTTAAAAGCAACTAACATGAAATTTAAACTATGTATATTTGATTCAACATTTTAAAAAGAGGTAATTTGATCAAGATTATAAATTAGTAAAAATGTTCTACTCTGTTGTGAAAAACAAAATACTGTTTTTAAAAAAATATTGAACAGTTTACTTCTGTTTGTTGAGAATTTGATAATAAAGCAGCATTTGCAAAGTTATATTGAAAATTACACTGATCTACATTAAAAAAAAACACCAAATTTCTAATGTAAGCTTTCTATTAAAAAGCAAAGATGATGACTTTGTTCAAATCCTAAATATTTCTCATTATTAATGAACAGAGCAAAAAAATAATAATTCAAATGCTGTTTAAATTGTGAAGTAAGAAGGATTTTACTCTACAACAGAGAACTGAAGAATACATAGTCACACAGAAAACAAAGCAATAAACAAAGCAGTGGTAACAATAGTCAGGTAGTACCTCAGTTATCCCTTCCACAATATTAGTCAGCTAGAGATTACAAGGGAGATCTTTGATGTTAATAAAGTTATTATCTAATGACACTTTTAAAAAAATGAAACAACGATTATCTTCTAACACTTTTAAAAAAAACTATTGTATAGGTTTCAATTAATTTGAAAATGAGTTGTTCATATATTAATTAAATTTGTAGCACAGAAAAAAGAATATTTTAATTAGCATGCTTAATTGCATTTCATTTTGACTGTTCAAACAAATTTATTTACTTGTTGTCATGAAATATTGGTTTTAAATAACTTTAAATTAAATTGACAGAAAAAATAATAACAAAAGAATATTACATAATTTTGGAAGGATACATCTTTAATCAATAAATACTAAATTTGTAAAATAGAAAAAATTAAAAATTTTATGAATTGAGTAAAATAAAATAGTTTTCAGCTAAACCTAATTTAAAAAGAAAAAAAGGTTAGCCCTCGAGTTAAATCAAATTAGATAAGTACACAAATATTATAAGAATCTGGTAGTTAAGGAATATTAGGAATTGCTGAAAATTTTCTCTAACAGACTACCTTGTGTATATTTTTAATGGCATCACAACATTGGAATAGGAGAAGAGTATAGCTTTAACCCATGTAGTTTAGTGCAGCTAATGCGTACATGTGCTAGTGGGATTAAAAATGTTGCAACAGTAAATCTTTGAATGATTTAACTAAACTCTTAACAATTTCCACAACTGTAATTTTAAAACTCTTACCTTTAAACTACTCAAATACTTGGCACTGTGAACAAACAAAAGTTCCTCTTCGTTTGCCTCCATTGGCTCAACAATTGTATCATCCCTCAACATTTCTGCACCTGTTTCAAAAGTATGAAACGATACAACCAACTTTGTCTTTAAGCAACATGTGAGTCTTGAAGGTTTCAAAGAGTTATGACTGAGAACTACTTGGCACAATAAGCATTCTGGCCTCTCATTTCTTTGATGGTCAAATTTGAAATGTCAAATTTTTCAAAAGTTTACTATGTAAGTTGGCACCCTGGTGATCACTACCCACAGGTTGGGAACCCTTAGCTCTAAGCACTTAAATCTAATAGTACTATTTACATTTCATTTAATATAAAAAAAAATTCTATGAATTTTTATTTACTAAGGATTTTTTATCTCATATTTTTGTTGTTTAAACTATATAATGGACAAGTCACAGTAAAATAGTAAACTTATCTAATGTTGATAATAATATGGACTATAATTACATACATCAGGTGAAAAAGTATTTACAAAACTTACTTTTTAAGAATTCAAATATTCTCCCCCATTTACCAGCATCAAAAGGATGCAGCTTTTCCAGGCCACAGAAACCTATATTGTATTCAGAGCTGTAGATTATGGGCCACTGAGTCTTGTTTACTGTCATCTCATACTGCTGGCAGTGGCTTTCCCTTCAAAAGTAATGTTAAACTCCATTTAATTTTTTAACTTTAAAGCGGTCCTCTTGACCACTGAATCAATTTTTTCTTTATTAACCTATTTGCTGTAAACTTTATGTAAGCAGGGTATTAATAAAAAAAACTTGTAGATCTAATGCTATATAAATATAGTATATTATACTTGCTTTTTTGGCTGTCCAGTTGGTAGACTTTCCAATTGTGCCATAGTAGTAAAAACTGTATCAGATCATGGATTTGTTTGCATTTGTGTGGATTTTGGCATTCAGCTTTTCTAAATTTTTGTAGAATAAAACCTTTTAAAATAATGAAATTTTTAATGCCCCAAATTTAAGTTAATGTAGTAGCCTACATCAGCCTAAATAAAAATATCGGTAATCTATCATTTTGGGTACGTAAAATCGCCCGCGGCTATTTATGTACGAAAACGTTACCTCATTGTCAAGGCTTTAATAGAAGTAGATTCTATATTGTGATATGTTTGTGTCAAATATTATAGATAAATGAATAATAAACCTAAATCAATGGCTAAATATATCGATATAGGCCAGAAATTAACTTTAAACAGCAGTGTCTGAGAGCAAGATTTGCTATATAAACAGCAGCCATTTGTAAAATAGAGTGGCTTCCCCCTGAATCTGGCGCTAAAAGCTTATAAAAATAAAACTTAGACAAGATGGCTGAGTAAATGTGCATGGTTACATCTGTTGGAAACATCGCTAGTCTTCATTTATTACGGAAAAGTTTTAATTCAATTGTTTAAAAACAGGTACATAAATGAATCAAGGAAACATTTTTGAATTTTTTTAAACATAAATCTTCCTCAAAATGTGAAATAATTATTAAAATTTAAGGAGTCACCTGTTTTTCACATTACAAATCGCGGGCGATTTTACGTACCCAAAACGATAGATTACCAAAATATCTTTAGCTGTTATGTTAATACTCTCTAATTACTAAATAATAGAATCTAATAGTTATGTTAGTAATTACTAATATTAGGCTAAATGTTATTTAATAAAATTTATTTTTAGATCGATTTAATATTTATTTATTAGACCGTCTAGAAAACTTCTCATTGTGTATTACTAATAGACAGTAATACTAATAAAATAAATAGATCTAGATCTAGTAATAAAACACATGACTTTTTCAAGGCTATGTGTCTTAATTCAACCCTCCAACCTCTTCCACCCTGACTGCCCTGAGTGAGACCTCACTCTCTACAGCAGTGTCTAAGACAAGACTAGATCTAGATCTAGATCTATTACTAAGAGAGTAAGAGTTCAGACGGCAGTAAGAGTGGTAGAATCTAATCTGAGTAATCGTAAGTTACTAGATTCTTCTAGATGTCTAGATCTAGATCTAGACTAGATCTAGGTAAAGTAGTAAATGTAAGTTAATCAGAATCAGAGAATCCATAGCTACATCTAGAGAGAATCTATATTATAGGCCTAAAGTAGGATATTAGTATAAGTTCAAGATCATCTAGATCTAGATTAGATCTAGACTCTAGAATACTCTCTAGTCTCTAGACTAGATCTAGAATCTACCTGTGGTTAAACTATCCACAGCACTAGTTCTAGGCCTAGATCTAGATAGATCTTATTATAGCGAGTTGCGCAGCTTGCGCCGTGACCTTTGTTGCCATGGTAATCATGGCTGTACCTTGAACCTAAATTCCATGTTTCCGGTTGACCATGGCTATTTAGGGCCGTGTCGCTTAAGGCGCTACCACAGCACACCTGATCTACGCATGTCGCCGTGCGCATCTTTGTTTTAACCTCAAGAGGATTTAGATTCCAAGCCTATTTTAATTTTTGGATCTCGTTTATTATCTTACAGAGGAGCAATGTGCTGAAATATAAGGTAAGAGTCTATAAATAATAAAGTACTTAATATTTAGAAAGAGATGCCTAAATGTTGATGAGAATAATAATTGGGTCTTGTAAAATTAACCTATATTTTAAAATTACGATTTCAATGGTCCGCAAGCCTAGGAAGGCTGTCCGCGAGAGAGCCTTAATTTCGCGCCATTTCTTAGTTATTAAAACATTATTAAAATCTCGTAGTATCGCATTTTTTTTACAGCTGTTTGTACTAAATCTAGATCTAGATTTAGTAATAGTATGCGTTCATAATCATATATTATTAGATTAATGGTAGGGGCCTAATTGAAACTGAAACCTTTTCTAGCCTAATAATTAGACATTACTTTTATAGTTTATTATCCTTAGGACTTAGGCCTAAATGTTACATTTTATATATGAGTTATTGAATTAATTTTGTTAAATTTACTTTTACGTGTAGGGCCCATTAGAATTTAGAACAAGTAGATCTAGATCTAGATTCTATTACTATTATCATTATGTATTCTAAAATCTAGATAGATCTAGATCTAGATTTAGATCTAGATAAAATAGATCTTTAAAAGTTGTTTAGCCTAGTTTATTCTTCTATAGATAGTATATAGGCCTAGGGCTAGTATATAATATATATATAGGGCCTAGTAGATCTAATATTAATAGTTGGGCCAATATAGTATATAATACTAACTATAGGCCTATATAAATATATTCTTGATCTAGTCTAGATTCTTAAATATATTCTAGATAATTTATAATAGATCTAGGCCTAGAATGCACATTTTAAAAAATATAGCAATACTTTGCGCATATCAATTATTTTTCTTTCACTTTTTCATTTTCAGACTAGTCTACATTAATATTAAAATAGGACTCTAGCTAAGTACACACTTAGCTAGATCTAGAGACAAGCCCGTCTAAATAATTCTTCATCTAGAATATTTGTAAAATAGACAAAAGAAGAATATAAGTATAAGATAAGTATAAATTTCCCATACTCTCCTAAAATTAGAGACTATTTAAATTTAATTTTAATTACAGTAGGACTATTAAAATCAGAAGGTATAGGCCTGGATAGTATAGAATAGTAGTATAGATATAATCAAATTTTCAACAGTGTGCTAGATATTCTAATTTATTAATAGGTGTGATTAGTTCTTCTATTTTAATTTTAAATTGATTTTGACATTTGTTACTTCAAACTGTTTCATTTATTTATTAGAATCCAGTAATTACTTTATACTTAGGCCTACTGTCTTTAATTTATATATTACAACAAATCTACCTAAAAATTAATTAAATTAATTTTTTGTTATCTTGATTTATTTATTTTAACTTCAGGTTATTCCTTAACATATATGTCTATAATTTTTTGTTTATTTTAATTGAAGTTTAGAACTAAATTATGGAATCTGTTTCCAGTTATACAGGCCTGCTTGAGGGTTTTTTAGAACCATCACTTCCATTGCTCAATGGATATGTTGCACGCCAGGTTCATTATTCCAGTACCACTCCTGTAGCACAAATTAGTAGGCAGTTGGCAGTGCAGCAGCATTTGTGTAATGTGCACGATGTGGCAGGTCTACGAAGGATTGCATATGCAGTTAAAAAGCTTACGATTGAGACTAAGCGGCTTCGAAAAACTGGGGCTCGCGACTGGAATAGGCTGGTTGAAATCCTGTACAGCCCTTTTTGTGTTCAACCCATGGCTCAGGAGGATTTGCATTCCACAACTATGGAGGCTGAGTTGTTAGGTGAAAGGTTTGTTGTGGGAGGTAATGTAAGTATCATTGCAGGTCCTTCAGCTGATGTTGAGCAAGATCCAAGTGAAAGTTTAGTGACGGAGGAAGTGAGTACTATTGAAAGTCTGTCAACATCTGCTGAGGAGAATTTGATTTTGAATCAAGGTTTTGTCACAAGTGATGTAAGTATGGGTGTTGATGATTTGCATAATGAAGCTTTTTCCACAGGTAGTACTCTTCATGTAGCACGCATGGATGAACACAATTATTGTATTGGTGCTGACCGCAGTGTAGAGATGTCTTCAACCACAGAAGGAAGTAACAAAAGCAGTCAGGTAAAGTCTTATGACTTCAGAGGTAAGAGGTGTTCTAGGTGTGTTATTAAAAATCAAGCTATTCTTCGGTTAAAACGTGTGATTAAGAAACTTAAACTTGATCTTAAAACAATGAAATCACTTAAAGTTAGAAACTTGACCAGATCATTGCAGAGGAAGCATGTGCAGGTTCAAAGCTGGAAGACAAAGTATATGCAGGAGAGAGAAAAAAATCTGCAGTCAAGACAGGCAAGTGTTAACGTTTCTTCTCCACAAGCTGGACTGGACGATCGAGGTAAGAATTTAATGATTACTAAAATTAAACTGTCAAAATTGCAGAAAAAGTTTCAGGTTCTTACGCAGCAACATCTTCAAGACATCCATGAATGGCAATCCAAATACAAGAGTGAAACAGCCAAGTTGATGGAAGGGCACGACAGACTGGTGGCTGAGAATAGTAAGCTTCTAAAAGAGATTGACGACCTGATTACTGAGAAGAACCATTTTGCAGCCAAGATGCATAGCTTAGAAGCAGAGAACAGCAAGCTAATTGAAGATTATGATGCATTGGTAGATGCTAGCCAGGATGAGGAAGTGACAGATATTGGTAAGTTTGATTTAAAGGTAAGAAAGGTAACGTATGAGTCTCTTTTGAAAAATGTTCCTGTTCGAAATGTTGGCCAGTTGGCAGAATACATTGCAGAAGCAGTCGGCAAAGGCACCCTGAAGATGCCCCACTACTCAAGCATATCCCGGATGGCTCATGAACCCGGAGTCCTTGCTTTGATTCAAGTAGGAGAGGCCCTTCAAAACTGTAAGTCTGCTTGTATAAAATTTGATGCTACCACCAAAGCAGATAAACATCTTAATACTTTTTCTGTTTCCACAGAGCCAGATACAGAAGACTTAGTGATTCCACCTGCCATAGGAGCCAGTGAGGGAGCTACCATGGAGCCAGCTACAGAAGACTTTGTGATTTCGACTGCGAGAGTAGCCAGTGGTAGAGCTGTAGACTATGCGGGCCACATTATTTCTTCCATGAAGGAAGTGGCCTCTGTTTACAGTGACTACACTGGCCTGCCATTTGTTGAGGTGCTGTCGATGTTTAAAGATAAGTGTACTTGCAGCGTGACGGACAGGGCGGCGGTAAACACATGTGTATTGGAAATGTTGCAGAGTGAGCTGGATATGCAGTTGATCCAACTGAAGTGCAACATACACCCGTTAGACAGTGTGGCAACGAAAGCGAGGGAGTGCTGTTCAGACTTGGACAAGAGGTTTAAGGTATCATCATCTAGTGGTAAGAGTGTAGCTACAGCGGTAGGGGTCATTGTGAATGTTTCCAAGTTAAGGTATGTCCTTTTATACATAATAATTTTTTAGTCAATTTTAAATTATGTACTTTCAATTCAATGTTTATTTGAGCTTTCTTGTCTTAATTTTCACCATTCTCTTACAGCATTCAATTTATTTCTAATTTTATATATTATTATGTACTTTTGCAAATTTTCAGCTAAGTTTTAGACTACTCTTTAAATTTTAATTTGTACTTTAAATACAATGTTTATTTCAGCTTTAATTATCTTCACCATCCACAGGACTTCAATTCATTTTTAATTTTCTAAATGTTATTCTTTGCACATTTTTTGCTAGATTCTAATTACATCTGCCCTCTTTTATTTTCAGGTACAGTTTTCATGGAGAACCTGCCTCATTCAAGGCTCACCTGAAAGAGAACGATGTGGCTGCTGGAACATTTGTCCGTTACGTTGGAAATCGACTTCATCTGTTGTTTCGTATGGCTGGGGTTGTTATTCAGTACAAGAACTTGCTAACAGGATATCTTGTTGGGTAATTATACAATTTTTATACCTTTTTGTTACTTGCAAATTTAAATTATACAAACTGTTTACCAATTTATTTATTTTTTATTAGAAAAACAACCAAAGTCTGCACTCAACTGCTTGCTGATCTGAAGAAACCTGAGGTTCTCGTGCAGCTGCAAGCACTCGGGCTGATTGGGAAATTGATCTCTGGCCCTTGGATGAAGTTGATTTATAAGAATGCAATGCGGCGGTCAAATCTGGCTTTTGTAAGTAAACACTTTTATCCCTACAATAAATATAAATTTTATTTACTGATGTATTTTTTATTTACTGATGTATTTTTGACACAGTTGATTGATTGTCTCCAATTGTTTTAGGTATCAGAGTTCCAGTATGCTATGAAAGAAATTGAGAGGTTAAAGAGTAATCCCGAAGGTGTACTGACAACTAACTTTGATGTGTTTGGACAACATCTGGAGGTGGACAGAACTTTGGAAGCTCTTCGGCAGGAGCAGAACAGCACTCTGTTTAATGAAGTCATGAAAGCATTGTTGACTTCTACTGAGTCTGTCTTGGTGCGACAGCTGGAGAGGTATCTGGTTGGAGATCTTTCCAACCCCACAAGTGAGATGTTGGATGCCACCAGTTCTGCGCCACCTCACAATATTTTTTCAGAAAGGTGTCTCGGCATTGCAGACTACCTTATCAGGCGTTCCCCAAATGTGTCAGTTGGTTTCATGGACTCTAAGTTAAAGGCAAGTGTGAATGGCACACTTAAGTGGCTGGATCAAAAGTCTGTTCCAGAGCAGATGAAACTGGTTACCTTCGCGATGCATAGGGGAGCCCAGATAAGGAAAGCCTGCATTCTGTTGCAGCAGCAAATAGATAGGGACATTTTGTCACGCATGAAGGACTTGAAGGAAAAGCAAGAAAAGCTTGAAAGGAAAAAGCTTCAGACTGCTGTCCGCAAGGCTATGTGTGACAAAAATGTTTCTGTTGAAGAGCCTATTTTTGCTGCTGTTGATAGAAAGCAGAGACCATTTCTGTCTAGAATTTTGGCTGGTGAAGATCTGGTTGGTGTTCAGCTGACTCATAAGTGGGAGCTGGATGATCAGGGTGTGTCCCAATACAATGGAAGGATTATTGAAAGGGTGCCAGCACCAAAAAAGAAGTCAGCTGTCTACACCATCAGTTACTGGTCGGAGGATGAGGATGATGCTGAGTATTTTAGCCATCTGGCAGAATCACTGGTTGTTGACTTGCTTCACAGGAATCTTGAGTTTCTTTCTGAATATTAGCTAATCAGTTTTAAGAGTATTTTTTTATATATTTAGTTTACAAATTAACTTTATTTTTTAAACATTAGAGTGTTTTTATAAATTGTTACTGAAAATGCATGCTCTGAATTGTGTGAACTAATTTTTAAAACTAATACTAACAATGTTTATAATTTTTAAAGTGTTGTTTATATAATGTAAAAAAAATTGTACAATTTAATTGCTTAGCTTATTTTTCAGGGTAATTGAATTCTGCTAGAATCAGAAGTGTGCTTCAAAATGTTTGTCAAAACTAATTTAAACTTATTTTCTTTTACAGTTTGATCACTCAAGTACTAACACCTTTAAAAACATGTATTTCTTTAACTCAGATGTGCTAATAGTTTCTATAGAGTAAAAATAATTGATACTTTGGAAAATTGTTTTAGCACTAAGTGGTCTAAGAAAATTAATATGGCATTTAAATTTTTTTCCAGCATACACTGAAGTCAAGGAATATATTAAATAGTAAATTTACTTAAAGCCAAAACTTTAATGTTAAATACTTGATAATTAATACTATTTTTTTTTCTTCAGATAGATCAAGTGATGAGGAGCTGCTGATGTTGCATAGATCAAGTGATGAGGAGTTGCTGATGTTGCATGGATCAAGTGATGAGGAGCTGCTGATGTTGCATAGATCAAGTGATGAGGAGCTGCTGATGTTGCATAGATCAAGTGATGAGGAGCTGCTGATGTTGCATAGATCAAGTGATGAGGAGTTGCTGATGTTGCATAGATCAAGTGACGAGGAGTTGCTGATGTTGTCTGATGTCAATGTCGCCTGATGTCGTGTACTGTAGATTTGTTTCTTCACACTAATGTAGATAGTGGATTTATGTTTCTTCAAGCTATTGTTGATTGCTGATTTATTTCTTCATGCAAATGTTAATTGTGGATTTATCATGTTTCTTCACAAATGTTGATGGTGGAATTGTTCTATGTTTATCTAAGATTATTAAAAAAAAAGCTACATTTAATAGGGAGCTGTGTAATTTCTGTGCTCCAAAAGCAACTTGTGTATTATAATTTTATTAGACAAATTTACAATTAATGTAAATAACTGTAATTTAATATTAATAATCTTATTCTATACTTGAAAAATTGTTAACACATTTTTATAATTTACATTAGTTTACTCATAATAAATGAAAACTAGTACACACTTTTACAGCTGTTTTCTGTTTATTTTGTTTTATAAATAATTTTATTATGGGCTCCTGATAACAAGTACACAAGATGGGGGGGGGGGGTGGAAGTAAGTATCGTAAATGCAGCCAGCTGCTACTTGATGAATTCAACAATGTCGTATGTGTAGGTCCACTCCACTATGCTAGTGCTCGTCTCTAATTGTAAATAGTAGTACAAGTATTTATTTTAAAGTATTAAATATCAATAAATCTAGATCTAGTTTTATTTTAAACTTACGACACGTTGATAGTTTTTACACCGAGTAATAGTAATATTTTAATCTGTTAAATCACTTCCAGTCCACTTTTATTATAATAAACTTTATTATAATTTTTTAATTTTATAGTTTCAAAAAATGCGAATCTGGGATGATGCAATACAATTATAATTTTTTAATTTTTCGAAAAATGCGAATCCGTGATGATGCAATGAAAAAACCATCGGTGCCAACTTTTTTGTTTATGTAACATTGAATTGAATGACGAAGGTCTAAGCTGTTTTAGCCACGCCCACAAATTTTTAAAAGGCCATATCTTAGCTCCTAATTAAGCTAGAGACACAAAATTGGTATCAATGTGTAGGGAAAAAAATCCTGTTTTTTTGTGGTATAATTTTATTTGAAATTAGTGGAGTTTAAAATTTACGAGCAACAGCCTTTAATCTCGGATTTTTTTCATCATAATTTCCTAGAAAACTTTTACCTCATACTCTGACCTAAGACGTAAACAAATGACGTAATCGGTTAGAATCTAGACAAGGTGTTAAAATTAATTTATGTAAACTCTGTTAGTTAAATTATTAGATTTAGATCTAGTAGGCTGGCAATACACAAAACAATTAATGATATAGGCTAAAATACTCAAATGGTAATAAATTGTCTTTAATTGATAGACCTACCAATATCGAATGAACTGCTGTGTCGCTAAGGCTAAGAGTGGGAGGAGTGGGGGAAGGGGGGGGGGGAAGAAAGAAGCGTTAGTTAAAATTTAAAATTTACCTGAATAAGACGGAAAGACAAAATTCTGTTATAAAATAAATTCAAAAGTGTAATTTTACTATTGTATTTACTTATTAAAAAAATAAACAATCTTCTATGATCTAGCTGTGGTACAGGGGTCGTCCATAAATGACGTTACACTCGATCGTGGGGGGGGGGGGGGGGGGTCCGTAATTTCAGATGGTCTGACGTCACTTTTTTGCAATATAAAAAAGCAAAGTTAAAAAGAATTTTAGCCTGTTATTTCGCGTTTTAGAAAACGGTTTTAATAAATTGCAATAGGATCAAAATACTGTATGTTGACAGAGTTCTGACAAGATTTAGGAAAAATATCGATGTTTTAAGAAAAATTCAACAGCAATTTTGAGGGAGGTTGTAGGCTGAGGTGTGACGTTATTTTAGGGGGTAGGGGCAGGCGTTTTGTGACGACGTGTGACGGATCTAGTCTAATGGACCTTGACCCGAGTTGGTTAACTAAAGTTTACTAGAGTGTAAACCCCTTCACCTACTCTTTTGAAATATATATAGATTTAAATAAACCTTTGTGATAAATATATGCTTTTTTGAATTACCAAAACGAATTAAACATAGGCCTAATTTTCTTTAAATGTAATGATGTAGTCATATGTTATGTTACTAATTATATAGCTATACAGTGGCGTTTCCGTGGCAATGAGGGGAGCGGAGTTTCTTTCAGACCATTTTCTCTGCGGAGTACTTAAAACTTTCCGGGGGCGCACTATAACAGACTTAATTCAGAGTTTCTTCCAGGCATCTTTTCGAGGTGGGGGGGACGAGCCCCCCCCCCCTCCTCCCCGAACGAGATTTATATAGTAAATATATACTTTTACTAGATCTAGTGTCCGCCGTCCGCCCCCCTGGAAAATGTAGACCGCCTCCCCCCCCCCCCAAAAAAAAATATCAAGTATCCCCCCCCCCCCCCCTCCGTAGAAAAAAGTCTGGAAGAATTAATATAATTTGTAACATTATTATTTGTGACATTGCATGCATTTATCCGTTACTTTCTACTTATAAATATTAAAAACGAAAAAAAGCGACAAGTTTACATGCTGTTGTTCGAAAATGAGATAACCTTCATTTAAGACTAAGACGTCAATGGATAAACTAGACCGAGTGCTGAAAACATGTATTGATAAATGGCCTGGTAAAAGGTTAGGGGTTTACAGATTTATGCCACTGTTTTTCTGTATGGGAGCTGCTGTTGAATTTGCGATGATCAAGTGGAGACCACTGGGAGTAAATTTTTGTTAGTAACACTAACACTGAGTCTTGACTTGTTTTTAATTTATCAGTTTATCTGTCCTGTGTTAACTCAAGTTAGTTAACTGTACTGTACAGTGTACTGTACTGTTTTGTAGACTAGAGTAGGCCCTAGGCGATCTAGGGCCTAGACTTAGGTAGGTCTTAGAGGTTAGGTTAGGTTAAATTAAATAAAATAACTTTATTAAAATGGAGGCCAACAAGTTGAAGTGAATCATTCCATCACATTGTAATTGTTGAGTTGACATGAATAAAATTCGTTTTTTTTTTTATGATTTTATGGTACGTAAAATCGACCTAGACTAGAGCTAGATCTAGTAATATAATATAGTAATAGTAATGTTAAAAAATGGTGTCTCCTTAAATTTTAGTAATTATTTCCAAATTTTAGTTTTAGGAGGATTTATGTTTTAAAATTTTAAAAAAATGTTTCAAAGATTCATAGGGACAACTCAAAATAAATAATAAAATATCATCCGAAATACTTAGCCATTGATTTAGGTTTATTATTCAGTTATCTATAATATTCGACACAAATATATCACAATATACTTCTATTCAAGTCTTGACAATAAAGCAACTTTTTCGCACATTACTAGCCTCGGCCGATTGATTTAGGTTTATTATTCATATACTTCTATTCAAGTCTTGACAATGAGGCAACTTTTTCGCACATTACTAGCCTCGGCCGATTTTTACACACCTAAAACGATAGATTACCGGGTTTTTTTTTTTATATTTTGAATTATCTTGACTTCATAGCAGCCTTAAAAAAAACTTATTAATCAGGGCTTAATTGTAATTTTGTAAATTAATAATATTAATTAGGCCTATGCATAATGCCATAGTTCATTTTATTGCTATTCAACTGTCAATTAGGCCTACTCAATTACCATTTTTAAAATTCACATATAAAAAAATATAAGTTTTTATTTTAATCATGTTTCTTTCACAATTTTCTCTTGGCAAAAAATTTCTGCAAATATGCCAGCAATCACATCAAAACAACAAAAACAAAACAAAATTAACAAAAGTACCTAACTCTTTTCTTTTATGAATTAAGTGAAAAAATAAGATTTGGATAATATATTAATAAATGCCAAGAGTATGAGAGCATTTTGATGTGTTCGAACCTGCATCATCTGGCATGAATGCCACATACTCATGTCCACTCCACTTGATGGGTGTTTGTAAAATGAAATGTTTAAAAAGTCATGACTGTGAATAGCCCTAATACGGCTATTTCCAGTCAACTGGGAATAGACACTTCTATTAGAATCTTCTTAAAAAAATAGGTGTTAGGTTACTGGTAGTTAACTAAATACAAATGTGGCTTGCTGGTGTCAATACTAACCCTAATTTCGAGGACTTAAATGTTACATTTGAGGTTGCAATGATTCATTTTAATGATTTTTTATTTTTATATTAATAAAAACATTTTCACTTTTCAGATGACGTATACAAAAGAAAGGAAGCAACTAAAATTGCCCAAGAGTCTCTACGTTTTAGTTTAAATGAAACAAAATAAATAATGAATAAAACTATGTAATAAATTCTATACAGTAAAGTAAAAAACCATCAGACTTTTATATTGAGTTCCAGTTATAAATAGTAGGATGCCAGCAGGAACGACATGGACAAGATACCTTTTGGCTTGCTCTGCAGCTATGTTATCAATGATGGCAGGATCCCAAACAGTTCACATGATTTACCAGCCTCTCTTGGTACAAGTACTTTCATTATATTTACATTTAATAAATAGTAATAGGTTTTTATTACATGTGCATGTTTGTTTAAACTCTAGTTACATTGTCTGGAAAATATTTTAAAAAAATATAAAGTAAAAGGAATATTAATGTAAGTAAATACTTAGAATTTTCATATAATTTTTATCAGGATTTGGATGAGAAAGTGGAGCTAGAAAAAGAACGTCTCAGAAAGTTAATGAAGCAAAGTATGGAGGAGTCTTCCCCACCTGCTAATGCACCCAGTTAACTATGTCGGTGTACATTGTCCTTATTATTTTGTGTAAAAATAAAAGTATTATATTTCACCTGTTATCTTGATAAATGTATTGCTATATGAAATTTGTCAATGTCATACATTGTTGGAAAAAGTCTTTTCTTAGTCATGTTCAAAGATTTGGTAATAATGCTGATGACTCAAGCTAGTTTGAAAGAATTTTTCAATCTATTTTATTCAATTTGAATTGTGTCGGAATCTACCCACAATTCTCCTCATTAAATAGTCTTCTTATAGTGGATGGAAGACACAAAGTAGCCTGTTTGTCAGCTTTATTTTCTATTGTAGAAACCCACCTTAGTGAATTGAAATTGTCAGATGCACTCATTCTTAGCAGCAATGCCTTGTATGAAGTAGGCTACATGCATGCCAATAATAGCTTACTTTTGATTAAAATAAACATAAAAAAACCTCAATAATAATATGAGATCTCATATATTTTAGGGATCTAAGCTTTTATTAAAGAAAGCAAGTTTGTTTTATTTTCTGTGCATTTAAAGCTTATTTTTGTAAAGGTCTTTTTTATATTTCTTTTAAAACTACTTATTCATATGTTCTGAATGAAGCTGACACTACATAAGCTACAACTAAAAATACTTGCGTTAAAACCCCTTCAGTAGCTTGCAATTTCTAAAAACAAGTAGCTGCTTCTACTTAATCCAGTCAACACTCTGGCAAAAATATCGCTCAGCCATGAGAAAAAAAGTTTACTGTCAAAAACCAGCTGCATAATTCTTAGAGTTTAATCTTACTTAATGTCTAATTTTAAAATTATTTAATTAAATTTTAATGACTAAGCTGATGTCTAATTAGTTTAAAAAATAGATATTTAATCATTGTTACCAAAGAAGAATGCATTTAGAAAGTTAAAAAAAAAAATCACTGCATAAGATTTGGTCAAAATTTATTTCATTAAATCTTAAAGTTACAAGATCCACCACACATCACTAACAAACAGACACTGAACTAACTAAAAGCTTTTAATAAAAGACCTTTCGCACTCTGCTACAGACTCTAGTCCAGGCAGGAGGCAAAATTAAGACTAGGTTACCAAATCATGCACTCACACTATCATGACTATGGTTAACACTACATAGCTAAGGTTTTTTTTAGAGCTAAATAAGTCATTAAGTTATTGATTAAGATGTAGGCAGAATTAAAAATGAATGTTATAGGCGCCTAACATTATAAAGATTTTAAGGCTGTTAAAATACTAGTATCTATTTGCTGTTAGAGGTAATAATGTACTCAATTGGTAAAAGATACATACAGTATCTGCATGGATGGGTCAATAATAATATAGGAAATAGAATGAAGGCCTTTAATAGCCTAGATAGATGATATATTGGGATAGGGGAGATAATTCTCCATGACCCCTCTGAAATAACCACGTAACAATACAGAGATACTTTAGGAAAGATGATAAAGAGCTTATCTTTTGAGTTCAATAAAAGAAAAATACACTTTCAAACATGTGGCAGAGTCAAAACTGTCCCAAAGATTAAGCATGGTAAAATAATTTTTTTTAAATCTTGTACGCTGTTTTTATATCAATTGTTCACTCAAGATCATAAACTTTATATACCATATACATACTATATATATACTATATATACAACCCAGTAAAGAGGGGAACAATCGACAAATTGTTCCCATGTCTAAATGGAACAATTTTTTTTTTAACGCCCCTCCCCCATCTAATGACAGATTCCTGTTTATGTTGTTAATAACACATTTGCAAAAAAAAAAAAAAAAAAAGGTTGAGGATGTATTAGCATGAGCATGAAAATATGACTTGATGATACGCTTAAGACTCAAAGAGGCTATGGACTTGTTTTATGAACAGTCCAAACCAGTGTTTCTTCCAGACTTTTTTCTCCGGGGGGGGGGGGGGGCGGACTAAACTTAACGGGGGAGGGGGCGGACTAAACTTACCGGGGGGGGGGGGGTACGGTCACTGTTAAAAGTATATATTTTCTATATAAATTCCATTTCGTTTGGGGGGGGGGTGGTTGGGCACCGAAGAGATGCCTAGAAGAAACTGATCCAAACGCAAGTTTTGTTTATTAATATTATTTAAATAAATGCGAAAACTGAACATTTATATGATCTCTTGTCACGGAGGTTGTAAAGTGCTAGCTATCTTTAAACTCCTTGTAAACATAACAGACAGTGCACACGCACGATTTTGTGGATCTTTGCTCTGTCTGTTGTAGAGCTAGTCTAGATCCAGAATCTAGTCCTAGACCTAGATTCTTAATATTTTTGTTCTCCAATATTAACCTGTGAGTTTTTATATAATTTATAATACATAGATCTAGATCTAACTGTTTAATTTAATTAATTTATTATCGTCTACCCTTACCAAAAATACCAGACCAGTTCATGAGTTCAGTTAGATCTAGACTCTAGCTAGAGTCTACCAAGTTTTAGTTGTGGCAAGTACTCAAGTACCAACAACTTTACTTTTAATACTTTTACTTTTTTAGTCTTTACTTTAACTTTCTAGAATCTAGAGCTGAGATCTAGAATCTAGATCTAAGTCTAGATCTACTGGTACTTAACTTAATACTTTAATACGTACTTACGTACACTTAGGGCGACTTAGGGTAAACCTCCATTTTAGCGTAATTTATTCTCCGTTGCTTGTTTACCTCCAGTTGAGCGTATTTTATTATAATAACCTAAACACACCAAAACATTAGAAAAACACGATTTATTTTTTGTATTGTATTTCTGTTTTCACAAATGAATAAAATGAATGTTTAAAAAACACGACTTATTTATTTGTATTGTATTTTTGTTTTAACAAATGAATAAAAAACAACAAAGAGACTGACTGAAGTGCTTTGTTGGTTACAAAAATACTTAAAATAGAGATGCACACTTTGTACAATTAAGTGTTCCAATTTCAACTAAACTGAATAAAAGTATTAAAAGGCACAATGATGCTGCCGAAAGTTGGCCGAGGGGGGGGGGGGTGGAATTTGGTGAGGGATGGCTTGGAGTGTTAAAGAAAGAAGAAAGTGTGACAACTCACGTTGTCATTTAAAAAAAAAATGTTAGAGGTCGTCCATAAATGACGTCACACTCGTAGGGGGAGGGGGGGGTGATTTTGTGACGGTGTGTGATGAGGGGGGGGGGGGGGTTCAGATGGTGCTACATCATTTTGGGGGGGGGGGGGTCTTGCTTTTTGTGATGACACGCTTTTTTTACGATTTTTACCTCCCGCCTCCCCTCCGTTACACGTCGTCACAAAAAGTCAGACCCCCCCCCTAAAATGACGTCACACTTCAGCCTACAACCCCCCCCCCTTCAAAATTTCTGTTGAATTTTTCTTAAAACATCGATAATTTTTTCCAAAATCTTGTCAGAACTCTGTCAACATAGAGTATTTTGATCAATTCATATTACAATTTATTAAAACCGTTTTCTAAAACGTGAAATAACGGCTATAACTTGTTTTTCTAACATTGCTTTTTTATAATGCAAAAAAGGGACGTCACACCATCTGAAACCCCACCCCCTCCCCCTCATCACACACCGTCATAAAATTGCTGACCCCCCTCTCCCTTACGAGTGTGACGTCATTTATGGACGACCCCACATCAATTTTTTTTAAAAGTCAGAAATTTACTCATACAAAAAAGGGAAGGATGGTAGATTTACTATGAATTTAAATAACATACAACTCTATAGTAAAATAATTTTTTCAGTTTTAGCAAAACTGTCAAATTAAAAAACACAGAGTTTGTACATTTATTGCATAAATACAAAACAGAATGATTAACAGCGTATCAGTTTCACCATGAGACAAATGCCTTTTTTTTTAAAAAAAATACAATACAACTAAACAAGTCGTGTTTTTTTAAATATTCATTTTTATTCATTTGCTAAAACAAAAATACAATACAAAAAATAAATCGTGTTTTCCTAATGTTTTGGTGTGTTTCGGTTGTTATAATAAAATACGCTCAACTGGAGGTAAACAAGCAACGGAGAATAAAATACGCTGAAATGGAGTTTTACCGCGACTTAGGCCTACCATAGTTTTTTTTTTTACTAGAGTCTAGATCTAATCTAGTCTAGATCTAGATCTAGCTAGATCTACTTTTTTTAGTTTTAATCATTTTAATGTGCCAGATTGATTACTTTCCTACTTGCCTAGTACTCATTAATACTCATTTATATATTAATTATTATTAATATATAATAAATTATTTAGTTTATGCCACAGTCTAGTCTAAACACAAAACACACAATTGCAATCTAGTAAACTAAGATACAGTGGCTAAAAACTAGTCTAAACCTAACCTGTACTAACCTTGGAAGTTGGAGATCTGGACAAAACTGAGGCAATCACACACGGTTTCATACACCTTATATACTATATTTTTTTTTACTATTTACTATATACCCTTTCATAAACTGGTACAAACCGGACTATTACAACTCACATCACAAGAACTGAACAAGGACGAATGGGATAGGGTACCAAGCAACAACAGCATTCACCCCCATTCATCCCCTTTCACTACAGTCTGATTACACTGATCCTGAAATCTCAAGTCTTGCACTAACTTTACAATACTTTTGTACACTTAAATTTAGTTCAGTTCAATTAATTTTGTTTAGTAGGCCTATATTAATAGTAGGCCCTGTTAAAAATCATTAAAATTAAATTAACAAAGTGACTAGTTACTAGCCTCGTATAGGCTGGCCAGCAGAAAATGCAAACACAATGACCTTATTTAAGGCTAAAAAATTGTAATGGACTCAAATTACCCTAAATACACTAATTAAAGTTAACTAAAGCCATGATTATGTTTAGTTAGAGAGAGAGAGGTGGCTTAAGACTGGAAAAGAAACCAGAAACTACTCAACTGTCTACAGTCTAGATTACAAAATACAGTAAAGATCCGATTTTTTTTAGACCTAGTGAATCATCGGTAAGATGAAGTAGAGTTCATGTTTCTTGAAGTTGACATCTACCTTTGAATGGATGGTGTGGTCAGCACTACGCCCAGCCACCTTTACTTTCCCCAGTGTAAGTCCGGTACCCATCACAGCTGGGTGGACTCAGGGGTGTCCTACTGTCCAGAGATCTGAACTCTATATCTTTGGGCCATACTAACCTACCATTCAACCACACCATCCACAAAATGCAGGGGGGGGCTTAATTGCTTAATCATATTTATTAAAATGCGCTTATTTATTTTTTTGTTTAAGTCAAAATGGCAAAAAGTATACGTAGCAAGCATAGACGAAAGATGAGAAACATAAAACGCCAGCATTATGCTAAAAAGGATCTTGACAAATTGAAGACGTTGGCAGCCAAATCTTCAGAGCTTGGAGATCTTGTTACAAGTAAGGAATATTATATTAATTATATCAGTTTATCTGGAAAAATAATTTGCAAATAAAAATGAATAATGTAAATTGTCCAATCACATCTGAATGTATATGAAATTGACATCTAATCTAGTATTGACATCACTTTTTTCATCTGAATATATCGGGTTCTGTGTATTACTATTTGTTTTAACTTTTTTTTTTTTTTTGTAATATTGAAGAGGATCTCCTCCAATTCATCGAAGAATTACATGTCTGCTTCTCTCTAAATTTGCCCCCATAGCCTGAGCCAATCTGTGGCAGCAGTTGTTTCAATTTGGTGTTTTCTCTTTTAGACATGTATCTGTCCCCAGCTAATGAGCCTGGGGGCCAGAACTCAAAAGTTTTGGATCACATTGTCTTCCTTTGTTTTAACCAATATAATTTTCATCTTTTTTTTTTTATTTTAGTGAAAAATGTTGAAGAAATTAAGGAGAAACAAAAGGTTGAAAAAGTTTCTGATCAAACTGAAGGTACAGTAGTTTTTATTTTTAAAAAGGTTTATTTTTTTAAATTACTTTTTATTATAATTGACAGGTAACAGCTGATAGCTCATGTAGACCAATCCACTTTTACATTACAATTCGGCCATTATAGTCATTTTAAAACTATTTTAATAGGCTAACTACAAGACTACCAGTAAGTTCTGAAAATGAACAGTTTAGATTTTGTTTTTTTGACAGATGCAACTATGGATGTGGACAAAGCCCAGAAAAATTATGATAAGAGGACTTTGCAAGATGAACATGGTCACTATCCTCCTTGGATGAATCAAAGAGCTATTAAAAAACAGAAAGCCAAAATAGCCAAATCAAAGAAAAAAGTTGGAAATAAAATAAAGTGGTGATTTACAATTGAATGTTTTTTTTTTTTAATCTTGTTAAGTCTCATTTCAAAATCTGGAATTTTTAATATAAAACTTAGGAAGAAACTGCATTTATTATCTAATTCATTTTTATTATATCGCATTAAAGTTAGAAAATATACGTCAATGTGTTGGAAAAACAAAACTTAACAGGAAAAAATGAGTAAAAAATATTTTTATTTACATGACACAAAATAATACACATTGTGATATATTACACAACACTTAAGAATCATCATCTGCTATTCATTTTTAGCTATGCAATATAGCAAACAAAATTCACCAAACAAATGGTGCTCTTTCTCGCAACAAACGCACACTAAACTGCTTCCACTCCTGTTGGCGAATCCATAGTTCTTGTGTGGTATCAAGGCATGCGAGAATCGCTCCACCTTTCCAGCTTGTGAAACTTGAGTCCATGTCCTAGAAATAGAGCAATTTTATGGCCGTCAGAGTTAAATATCTAAAACAACCTTCTAAGCACATGCATTTTCGCTAGCTGTCATGATTATATTAAACTAAAAAATTATTAGATAAAGCTTGATGGAAACCAAGCAAGTTCTTTTTCTATTATTTCTTCTTTATAGTCAATCATTTAAACCATCTCTTGGCCCCTGTGGTAAATGGGGAACCAATGTTTTTCTCAGTCTTCTGCAACAGGTGGCACATTCCAGGATGTCCTACATCATCTTCTCTTACCCAGTCATCTCCCTTGAGGCACCAAATCCCCTCATTGTGTTTGATAGGCCTTTGGCTAAAGTGCACATACCTTCTATGTTTTTGATATTACTTAGCAAATCCTCAAAGAGACCAATCACATTAGTGATCCTTACACAGACATCTTTATTTTTCTTTGTAAAAAAAGTCCTTAAATTAAAACAGTCCATGTTAAATATTAAATTTACCTTAGGTTTTGTAATAATATCCATAGTATCTAACTGTTGACGTGTACTTGCTGGCATGGACTGCCAGACTTGATACTGTAACCAGGTCATTGCTCCCTCAAACTGCAGACCTCCTCCTACCAGTAAAATAGAACTGAAAAGTTTTTTCCGAAGGTCTTCAGAATCTGAAAAAGAACAATTTAATATTAAATAAAAAATATGTTAAACTAAAAACAAAGTCAGTCTGTAAGTAAACCATGTAACTATGAAGAATAGTAAAGTGGTAGAACATACCACACTTTTCAATGCTATGTAAAATGGCTTCATCAACACCCATTAGATGTAAATCTTTTTCTTCATCCTCCATCTCAACATCTTCATCCTCATCTCTTCTGCTAGACTTTGTATCTAAATGAGAAGTATATATCATTACAAATAAATTCTTATTCAAAAAAGTATTTTATGGTTACCTTTCTGTTCTTTAGCCATAGTAGTAATTCAACATAACAATAAAACATCATTTTCTAATAACAATACTTTACTGGTTTACAGTCAGTGATATAAATAATTAAAATAAAACACTTTTTTCACTATAAAAATGAACTGAAAACAGCCAATACCTGTAGTGGTCAGAACATCAGGTACATCATTTGAATCATCATCTAGAGGTCCATTTGTGAGGTCATCTAGCTGACTGAGATTCTGCTCGGAAGTTTCCCGGGACATATCTGCATTATCTTTCTTAGATCCTGCCATTCTGCCAGCCTAGTGAGCAATTGCATTTATTTATCTTAGATGAGGTTATACGATGCTATCTAAAAATCAAATACATGACAAATACCTTACCCAAGATTGCCGCTGTGTTTGTCGAAGATAATCATCGTCATTCGGATCATCTGGATCACACTCTGACCGAGCTTGCTGTCGAATAAGGTGGTCTCCCAAGAGCCCAAATGACATAGGTCTGAACAGTGCCATAGGAGCTAAAATGGGCTCATCGCCCAACTTTACGTTGTATTTAATTAATATTTTATCAGGGCGATGAATTTCCAGGGTTGTCTGTGTAACACCAAATTGCTCCTGTTGATGATGTATTTAACAATCATTAATTATGGAGCTATTTTTTATATCACCTGAATAAAAAAAAAATAGTTGTATTGTTGTGAATTAAAACAGGGATACGAAACTAATACAATCACTTTCAAGCTGAGTTATTGAGGAACGGAAAAAGCACAGTGTGAGTAAAAAAAAACAGCATGGATTTTTTAGTAAAAACACCAAGCAAACAAAAGATCAGCCTACATGATTGAGATGACAACATGTTTCTTTCAAAGCTTGCAGCTGTATGACATCTGCTGGGTGGGTCAGGCTCAGCTCTGTGAGGGCAACACCACAGCGTGCCAGAAGAGAATGGAAAAGTCTACTGACATCGCTTCCACCATACTCCATTGTTATTCTGAAAATTTAATGATAAACTGTTAATGGCAGCTGTAAAGACAACCTCTTATATATTATTAACATGTAAATTCAGCTCTATCTGCCATATATTAAATATTATACTGAGGTTCAGTGGGATTTTGACAAGAAAGTTTCATCATTTTTGGTCTACATATAAAAAAATTGCAGGATTCATTATAAAATATTGATAAGCTTTGTGTAACTTTTCTATAACTATAACCATTCATGTTAATTGTAGTCTTGAGTGTAAATGTAAATAAGGCATATTGTGAAACAAGCCTAAGCTTCATCAAATGGAGTTTAAAGTTTAAGAAAGGACAGCAAATGTTTACACAGGGAATCTTATGCAGTGTCTATAAATTAATCATCAACTGACTGTAGGATAATATAAAAAGCTGGAAGAGGTATAAAAGCAACAAGTCAAACCTGCTAGCTCTGTGTGACAGCCCATCTTCAACACAGCTGATGCTTGTTTTCTGGTCACCAACATCAACAACACATGCCACTGTGATTCCTGCTCCATATGTGGCACATACAGATTCCTTTGACAAATATAGTGTATGTTAAGAAAAAGTTGTTCTTTTTAAATAAAAACAAACACCATATCAATGTCATTTGATTTACTACCCAAAGAGGTACAATAAATGGAATGTGATTTAAGAATATAAATTTTAAACTTTTTACATATAGGCCCTAGTCAATAATAAACAATGTCTACAATGTGTTGCGTAAATTGATGCCTATAACTATAAATGAAGCTATTTTCATTACCTGATGAACAATGGCTGCCCCAAAGCCAAGAGTATTTAAGAGAAGGTTGACTAATGCTTTCACATGCTTCTGTACATAAACATCAGGAATCAACAGTACTGCTCTGTAGTGCTGGAAATAAAAATTATATCATGATGACAACATGACATTACTTTAACCTAATCTTTAATAACCCTAGCTCTAATACAATTGGGTTTAAGAAGTGTGAGAAAATAAATTGGTTGTGTAAGACTCATATACAAAACTATTGGTCAGTTCAAATATGATTGTCAATGTCTAATATATGAATGGAAGTTAAAATAATGAAATTATCTTCACATGACCTAAACCAACACAAACTTATTTTAAAAATTCAACACCTTTTCTGGGGTCAAGTGAGAAAACTTTAATCTACTTTGGAAAGTATAAAAACACCTTCAAATCTTTCACTGGAATCTCCATATGTTCTTGTAAAACATGACTCCATATAACTTCCAAGTCTGCTAGTACAGATGATAATGAGCCTCCTGGACCTTCATGGACATTTAGACGCCCACGTCTCATAGGCCAGGTAAGACGGTAGTTTTCTTTGGGACGAATATATAATGCCTAAAAATTAAATTTGAAATAATAATGCTAACAAATTTTTTTTGGTAAATCAACTGTTACAAAAACTAAATTATTAAATACTGTAATACTAAATTTTATTAATCTTTAAAATTAAACTTCTAATATTTGATAGCATACCTCCTCTCCTACAAAATAGGCTGGCTTTTTTTCAGTATCTGTCCATGTGGGTGATTCTGTTGATTCAACTTTTTCACATGGCACTTGACTATTAAAAGCCATTAACTTAAAAAGAAAATTTAAATAGATTATCACATTTTACTGGGGACTGTGTGGTCAAATGGTGGTCGTGCTAACCCAACTGTCTCAAGTTTGGATCCCAGGCTCAAGTATGTATGACATATCTGAGTCCACTCGGCTGTAACTGACTCCCTTTAGAGAAACAAAAGTGGCTGGGTATATTGCTATCACACTATCCCCTTGTATGCTAAGGTAATTGAAACAGATGAAGTTGAACTCTACTTCATCAGCCCCATGTGTCTTGGGCACAAACAGGAAAGAAGATGATCTCATTTAACTGAAATGTAATATTTTAAAACTTCTTTGTATACAATTACGTGTTTACCTTTACCATATCTTTTTCCAATCAAATAAAATTGTTGAAAAATACAATTGTTTTTATTATTATTTTATTTTTTTAATAAAAACTATTAAAAAGTGAAAATAACTAACATAAGAAAGTGCATTCTCACCTGTCTTGGTAATGTCATCTGTCTGTAGTCCCCATTGCGTGTTGGTCTTGACAACAGAAGTTCTTCTATAGAGCTCAAACCAGCCCTAATTTGTTGACCTGCTTCCGAGTGCTAAAGAACCAAAGTGGGATGTTTAATGTTTCTATAACTGAAACTGCATTTTTACAATGAAAGCAAAGTAAATAATCAGACACCTAATTCACTGTCTTTGTTTAATGGAATTACAAGCTACCACAGTAAAAAGCACTTACTAATAATTAGGCAAAATGGTTACCAAATATTCCTAATTAAATGTTTCTAACAGAACAGGTTATATCTTTTGTTATTAACAAAATAATAAATGTAACTTACTTGTAAATGGTTTTCAAAAATACAAAAATTATTTCGGTCAATGATAGTTATTTTTAATACTCACATTACATTCTGGGCGTAACAACATATAATCATCAGGCAGTCGTTTATCTGGATTTGGGCATTTTCTAGCAATACAGTGTGGTACAGTTATTGGAAATGCATCTGAAGCTCTACCGATCCTTAAGTTCACTGAACCTGGCTGGATGACTATAATTGTTGGCGCCTGAATAGGGTGCTGAAAGTAAATTCAGTTGTTCAAGTTTATTATTTTTTAAATAAGAAGTGATGTAGCAATCCAATCAGTCACTTCTTAACATAAAAACCTTTCCACTTACATGGAGTAGACCGAACCCCACACCCCAAATCTTTGGCGCCTATCATTACAGTGTACATAAAGGCATTGAATTTTGAATGCAAATAAACAAAGATATTAAATGACTTCTTCAAAATTCTTGTCTTTTAGAACTTTTCTTAGCAGTTTTGAGGTTTTTTTTAATGTTTTAGTTTTTAGTAGTTTTAACAGATTTTAACTTTTTTTGGTTTTTGACAAGAAGGCATGGACTGAGCTATGCGATTCGATGTGCTAGAGATCTAGATCTATAATCTCAATAATGATGTTTGGATGAGAACTAGACGTTTAACCAAGATCTTTTTACGTTTGTAAGTTTAAAGTTATACACATTTTTCTTACATCTGTTACTGGGTCTGGTGTAACAGGAAAAAGGGCTTTTTTTGCCACTGTCGGCGGCATTGTTTATCAACAGAAATAAACAGGAAACCACAAAACGTCATTGCTTTTTGCACATTTTATACAAAAGACAGATGAAACTCATGTGATGGCGGAACAAAACTGTACTTATAAATAAAACGATATCTTAGCTTAACTAAATGAGTCCCAACTAAATATTCCAAACTAAAAAAAAATATTTGCTAAGAATCTAGTAAATGATTCACAAGTAAAAAAAATAATACCTTGGTACCCTTGGTCATTCACCACCCAAAAAGGAAAGTAACAGTTTTATTTGTAGAAGCTGTTAAACTGCATTATTGATAGGGAAGGCTATTTAATTTAGGTAGTTTTTAGCGCAATTTCCATTCTGGAGAATTGCGTTTATTGACTCGTCATTTCTGGGAATGGATGGATGAATGAATGAATGAATGGATGGATGAATGTGTGTCCGCAGCTTTAAGTCGTATCTCCTCCTCAACGAAGCAATATCGAGGACTAGTTCCAAAAGCAATTATGTTAAGCAAGTTACCAGGATGAACATAGGCCATAAAAATTCCGGGTTTCTTTCGTGGATTTCCCGGAAAAGCCAAAAAAACTCGAAAAAAATGCAGTTTTTGGCCCATATCTCGGCAACCAGACCACTAGCGATTTGAAACATGTACCAATCGATTCCTGCCATAATTTAGAACAATCTTGCCGAAGAAAGTTTTAAAAAATATCCTTTCGTTCGGTCACAAAATTTTTTTTTAATTAATTAACATTTGGACCGAATTAGTAGGCATTTTTATCCAACCACACTACACGCGTCATCACGTTTAATAGCTGCGCCATCACGTTCAATGGCTGCGACATCACGTTCGGTAGCTAGGCGCGCAATGGTTTTTAGTCATGTAACTCTATTGTAAATAAAACATGTATTTTAACCAATGGTTTTACTAACCCTGCTCTTGATTTACGCTACGACAGAGCTATTTTTAGATAACATAAGGAAATTGCGCTTAAATGTCACTAGACTTTTTAATTAACTTGTTTAAGATTATTTCCCTTAAATACCGATAAGTTAGGTTCTGTTTTCGAACCTGATTGTGCATGGGGTAAGTGAAGTTGAGTTCACGTGTTTCAGCGAAGGATAGTGTGAAAGCAGAGTTTCTTCCAGGCATCTCTTCTATCCCCCCCCCCCCCCCGAACGAGATGGAATTTATATAGTAAATATATACTTTTACTAGTGTCCGCCCCCCCCCCCCCCCCGGAGAACTGGAAGAAACACTGTGTGAAAAGATAGTGGTCAGCACTTTTCTCAGCAGTCTTTACTTTCCTAACCCGAGTCTCAGTCAGGGAGCCATCAGAGGTACAGACTTGGCCCCAGATTTGAACTCTTGATAGTAGTTGTGAGCTCTACCATTTGAGCACACCACCCTTTACTTCCTTGTTGAGGCATGAAGAAATTACATGATTCAAGACTTTTGAATAACAGCACATCCTACAGGACTGCAGCATGTACAATCAGGTGTGGTTCAAACTTGGTCCAAATACACTACTCTTTAGAAAAAAGCTATACTATATGGGGTGCCGGCACATCTTGAGACTACAAAGTTGTATTTGTTTGAATCATTTGATATAAATATTATCAAGAACGACCAAGAAGGTATTTCTCAACTGAAATTAAGAAAGTGCAGAGTTTTTTATTTTAATCATATTTTATTGAAAAAAAAATCCATTAACTTTACAACACAGTTGTATTAAGTTTTTTTTAAAACAGATTTTCTTTAATTTACAAGAACATCAGCTTGCTGCAACATGAAGAAGTTTTTTAACTGATTAAGTAAAAACTTTTTATTTTATTTTATTACAAAAGTAAAAAATGGAACAAAACTATCTATATTACATCATGAAGTGTTTGCAAGAATATATGAGCATATGTATTTTAGATCTAGATTCCAATTTGTAAATTACAACATAATTTCTTTTTATAAAAAAGAAATAATTTACATAAAATCTCTCTATGTTCATAATAATGCTCTACTCAACGTAAATGCTAGTTAATTAAACAAAGTCTTATTTGAAATAGCTTGAATTTTTTTTTGAGGTTACCTAGCAAATCAATTTAAATATTACAATTTATTAAACAATAAAAGCAACACATTTTATCATAATAGTTTTTCAACAACAATCAAAGCATTTTTTGAACTGTTATGGCAATAAATTTCAAGATAATTTTAACACCTACGGTCAATTTTTTAAAGCCTAAATAGCTGTCCCTTTCACCTTAACCATTAGATTCTGACTCACTGATAATAATAACATCATCATCATCATCATCTATTCGACTCATGTGAGGTAATGTCAAGACAGATGAAGGTACTGTCTCATTGGTCCTGTTCTTGACCTCACTTGCAACTTTGTTAGATTGGAGAAGGCTAGTCACAGAGAATTTAGATATCCCTAAAGGTGCTTGTGCAGACGGTACAAATTCATTGAGCTTGGTGTAGGCTGGGTGCCTAGAGGTTAACAGAGAATTCTGACGTATGAATGTTGTAGTATTCGGTGTTGTGGTTGTTACATTCCCTGAAGTGTGTTGAATGTCTGGGACTTTGTCAGCATGTGATACATTTTTAACAAAGTATAAGCTCTGGTTTTTATTGACTGATGTATTACCCCCATCTGGTCTCAACTGAGTGCTGCTGCTAACCTCCTTTGGTTCAAGAGTTTTACCACTATTCTGCGTCAAGGCTAGTGAAACAAAAAAGAAAAAAATTTTTAAACCATTATAAAAATAATGTGAGCTAATTAACACAACATATAATAAGAATTGCTATGTTTTTAAACCGATGTTAAGTTATACAATTTTTTGAATCCTTTCACAGTAATCCAACAGGTTTTTTGGCAAACCACAGCCACAACAGAAACCTAAAATGCTCTTACAAGTTTCTATGCTCTGCGACAATTTTTCTGGCTCTAGCGCATCTGGAGTTGAAATCTCTTGCCCTTGTTTAATTACACTATTTTTCTCAGCAAGACCTGCTAGTTTCATCTGTTTTATAACTTTATCTGCCCTTTCTAAACACACGACAGGCACACCTTGGTTAAGTCGAATGGGCTGATAGGCATCGCTTTGTTTTCCAGGCATGTCTTTCTCAGACTTCTCCAGTGACATCACTGGTGCTGGTTGACTTGTCCTACCTTTTTCACTGGCCGGTTTAGCCTGGGATGTGCTAGAACCAGGGGTCAGCTGAAAGAATACCAAACAAATACCGTCCTTTAAATTCTGTAATTTCGAAATGGTTTGTGAATTTTATTTTATGGACATTGGTTATCATTTTCAACTAGAGATCTAGTTGAAAACTAATGCTATTTGATAGTTATAGTCAGCAATACAAATAAAACCTAACCTAATCTTAAGCCTTAAGCCCTCACCTTAGCTAATAATATAATCCAAAACAGATCTTTATTGTGTTTAGTTTACAAAATTATACATAACAATATAAAATATATTAAAATTTAAATATTTTGCACTTACAGCTGATGGGGTTTTAGATAAACTGTTTTGACAATATAAAATAGCTTGCTCTTCTGTTAAACGATTGATATCAGTCTGTGAAAAATAATATAAGTTAAATTTCACTTTAAATGAAGTATACATGAAAAATACATAGTAGATTACATTACAGCTTGTGAACCGTCCCTGAAAAATTCATTTTTGATTAGTATTTTTATTATACTGTAGGATGAAAAAGTTAGAAATCAAACCACCATCCTAGACAGAAATTCTAACAAGACGTACCCTGCCTTTCATCATAATTTTAAAGGCTCTAAGTAGCGCTGCTGCTGCCTTCTTCAGGTGATCACAGCCTTTACCAAACTGCCACAGCTGGTAGACTCTCCCTAGGTTTTCTTCTCTCTTACTCTCTGGCCAATGGTCGCCTGCATCCATTTCATTTTGAACTATTTCAACACATTTTAGAAAAGCTTCATCAGCCAGAACTAGACGTTCAGCATCTCTAAGGAATTTTCTGCAAAAAAATAATTATTATATATTTCAATGGTACAACAAGTGCTTTGCATGGGTTTAACTTTTTTTACAGTATTTGTTGCTACTTGAGCTTCCAAAAATTGTTTGTCAACTTTATACTTGCAATTTCAAATTTTATGATACATTGTTTCTCCTTTCTACTTTGCCCTCTTAATAGTAAAACTACCAGCTGAGTATAGGGCACTTATAACATCCTTTAATTCTTTTCAGTCTTTCTGTTTTTCCATTTCTTTCTAACCACCTTCTCATACATGGTCTAAATGTTCTAGGTGCCAAACTCTGTGTTCTTTTCTCAGAGAAAAGTTGAAAGTCTGCAGTTCAGCTCCCTTCAATAACTTCCTTCTCTTAGAGTGGCTAACATGTTTTGGATGCTAAATGTTTTTTTAAGCACTGATGTGATTTTATTCTGGTTAATCACTAGCCCAATGCAGAAACCATAGAAACAAGCATGTAAACTGTGAAACAGTATACCCCACTGTCTGTTTTCAGCTGGATTTTTCTTCTTTGTCTGATAAAGACGGAAGAAAAATTGTAAACTTACTTTCCAGGATCTGGAGTTTTCTTTAGCTGGAGACGAATGGTTTTCAGCATGTCCAGATCACCAAGCTCTGTCAGGACTTTGAGGAGAAGCACCACTGAGCGATGAACATGGGAGGCAAAGCAGCCAGACCTATCAATGTCTTCTATGGGAATTTTCCACAAGCCCTGAAATGTTTAATTCTCTCTAGTTGGTTATAGTGAAATCTTGTAATTTAATGTAGACCAATTTTAAATGAAGCAATGACAATGCAAGATTATAAATTCAATCTAAATATTAAATTATTCATAAAAATTAAAGATTAGTATATTTAATATTATAAGGTGTGTTAACTAGATATTAGCAATAATTCCCTTAGGTGAGCTGGTTTACATGTAAAATGTTTACAATCCTAATTAAGGGCAGATTTTACTTGAATAAATTGATGTTTTATAAAAACAATGTTAACCACACTATGCCAATTATGTGTAAAGCAAGAAAGAATAAATACAGTATTAATTGTTTTAAAACTTAAATATCAACATACTCTCATATCTATTTAGAAGTTCTAAAGAGTTGATAATGTAACAAAATATTAAAAACTACAATAAAAAGCCTCAGTACCTGGAAAAAATTGCTTTGTTTTCTCTCAGCAAACAAACCAGCAGCTGGCATATGCTTATGCTCCTGCCAATCTGATCGGCCCAACAAAATATCTCGAGCTTTATTAAGGTCCTGAAAAGTTAAAGAGCATTGAAAATTCAAAAATTCCTAACCATTGAATATTTCTAACAATAGTTCTAATATAAACCCTCTCCCAAGTCTCATTACTTAATCTTAAAAAATTATTTTATATTAAAGGTATAGTACCCACCTTGGTAAAATAGTATACATCTGCTAGTCTATATAGTGACTTGTAGTGGGCACTGTAGCGTTCAGCGCAAACGCCAAGACCAGCCAAGCATTTAGTTATTATTTCAGCTCGCAGTCTTATTGGATCAGCAGGCATAGACACAGTGGTATCTTTTGTTTCACTGACTGGCTTGGGGTCTTCCTTAGGTGGTGATTCAGTGACAGTGATGGTTTCTGTTTTACTTGGTGATTCTCTGTCAATGTTACTTCCTGTTTTAGGTGGTGATTCAGTGACAGTGATAAATTCTGTTCTGCTTTGAGATTCTCGGACAGTGCTACTTCCTAGTTTAGGTGGTGAATCAACAATTGTGATAATCTCTGGTTCTAATGGTGATTCACTGACAGTAGTGCATTCAGATTTTTTAGGTGACTCACTGACAGTGATAATCTCAGTTTTACTACCAGTTTTATCACCGACGGCATTCTGAACTGTACTTGGTGACTCACTGACAAGGCTATTTCCTGCTTTTGATGGTGACTCACTGACAAGGGTATTTTCTACTTTTATTGGTGACTCACTGACGGGGGTACTTTCTACTTTTATTGGTGACTCACCAACAGGAGTACTTTCTACTTTTATTGGTGACTCACTGACATGAGTACTTTCTACTTTTATTGGTGACTCATTAACAGGGGTACTTCCAGTTTTTAATGGTGACTCACTGGCATGAATAGACTCAGTTTTGATTTGTAAATCCCTGCCCTCTGAGTCACTTTTATCAGAAAGCATCATTGAGCTCAGTTCTTGGTCTTGGTTAATCTCCAGAATGCTCACATTATCAGATGTTGTGTCTTGTACCAAAGTACTCCCATCTGTACCCTCTTGTTCCAAGTTCTTCTCCGTGTCTCCTGCACAGGAAATCTCCATGTGTTCATGGCCAGACTTCTCTTTGCTCTCTGTTTCCCACTTCTCTTTCCCTTCAAGAGAACTTCCTCCAGCTACCAGGCTAGATGGAGTGTGTAAACCTTTATCTTCACCGCTCAAAGCTTCTTGTCTCACCTCCATTACCTTCAAGTCCCTTGTTTCATCAACAGTTTTCTGCGCAGCCCTGTCCTCTGTTCCAACACTCAACCCTACACCTTCTGTTGTACAAGGTGGCTCATCATCTTCAATCAGATCAACCTCATCATCACCATTTAAATCAAAAATTGATTTCGATAATTGCGAAACCTTATTTTCTTCCCCAACTTCCATAGAAACTGTCTCAGGGAAATTATTTTCTTCCTGCTCAACATCCTCACTAAAATGACTGGGAGAGAATCCTTTGCTCTCCATACGAACAATATCAGCCTGGGACGGATTTGATTTGACAGCATCAGAGGACTTGTCAGTCTCAGGATTTTCATTCACGGGTAAGACAGTGTTCTCGTTAGTTTCCATCACTGTACCTGCCGTTTCACTCTGGTTACAGCTTGAATCAACATTTTTACTGCCTGAGCTAGCCCTGGATTTATCAATTTCTTCTTGGATTATGACATCAAAGATGTTTTGACTGGTGAGAGATAACAGCTCGCAGCTCCCTATCTCCTCAGGTGATTGGCTACTTCTTTGTTTGACTTCATCCATCCCCTCTGGCTCTACTGCAGAGTTGTCATCAGTTTCCATTGGCTTCTCTGTTGATGCTGCATCTGGTGGTGTTGTGTTAGGGTTCTGGCTGTTCTTATCACAACTGTTGGAGTTTGATCCTGAGCTCAATGGCTGACTGTCTTCTGGTGGCGCTGAGGATCCTGTTGTCACAGCTGTGGGTATAGGAGCATTGACAACATCAATGTCACTGCCCTGGGGCTTGGAATCCTCAGTGCGACCTCGACCAACAACAGCAGCTGTGATTTCCATGTCACTGCCTTGGGTTTTGTTACTGTCCATCTGACCTTGACCCACATAAGTAGCTGTGACCTCCATGACACTGCCCTGGGCTTTGTTACTGTCCATCTGACACTGGCCCACATCAGGAGCACTGCCATCCTGAGCCTGTTGCTGAACACCACTGGTGGCGACCTGACCTAACTGAACATTACCCCCACTCTTGTGGCGGGAGTACTCGTGGTCTGTAGGGTTCTTGTGATACACGTGTGTTTGTTTGGGTACCACAGCTGGAGCACTTGTTGCTGCTTTTGGAGGTGGACAATTTTCTTCCCTAAATAAAACAAGATTAAAATGTAAAAAAACTTTGTAAGTAAAAATGTAAACAAAACAAAAACCAATTTTAAACCCATTTTTTTTTAAACTTCTAAATCGGCTTTTATTTTATGCAAAATAAATTTTGAAAATTCTAAATCTGTTTATAAAGAAATAAATTTTAAAAATAGAATAATCAACCAATTTAAAAAAACAATTTAAAAGAAGAAAAACAAAAGAAATTATCATTGTAAAAAAAATTACTAGGTAAAAAGGAAACAGAAATAGAACTAATATGTGTATTTAAAAACAGCAGTAACTGTTTACCTTTCAATACACTTCTCCTCTAATTTCTTTTCTTCACAGCGAGCAAAGGGACTTTCCTGAGCTTCCTTCACATAGTTATACAATACATCCAAGTTTTCATTGGGGTTTTGGCCATACAGAACTATCTTTAATGTTGCGACATGTATGCGATAGAAAACTTCTAGAGCCTCCAGTGCAAACTTGGGAGGTGAGGTGGTAAACTGAATCTTTTTTGGGTAGGGCGCTTCTTCATTATGTAAACATATGGCAGCCTAGTGAAGACAAATAAATTGTCAAATATACTATATAGTAAGTACACATTTTAAACTGTTGAAGTTTTTATGTATCTTGCACGGATTTAATGACAGAATTAATGATCAGATGTCAAGAGTAAAATACAATAGTGAAAGCTAATTTAACTAAATAACTTACATGTATATTGGCCTATTCTTAATTTATTATTCTAAAATTATTATTTAATTATGTTGAAATGTTTTAAAGTAGGAAAGCTTAAAGTAAGTTATTTTTTAAAATTCTTATGCTAAATGAAACAACAGTTATAAATTAATCTAAAAGTTTTTAACTGTCTAAATCTAATGGTAATTGAATTGCAAAAAAAAAAAAAAAAAAATTATTACAAAAATAACTGAATAAATAAAAAGTAAGTCTGATCTGAGGTGCTCACCTGCTTGTAGTGATGGAGAAACACTTCTGGATTTTCCTTTTGTTTTTCAGCAACTTTCCCCAACATGTAATGAGTGAGCCAATCTTCTTCTGTACCATCCCCCTCACATTCATTAGCATACAAATAACTATTTTTTGCTATAACCAACAGCTCCGAATGGAACAACTGTGGCACCTAAAAGAGCAATGTGGTGATAATTTAAAGTTTTGAACCCTATTGAACCCAAATCTTTATTGGCATGTTGCATCAGCAGTTTCCAAACTTTTTGTCTGCGACACTCTTTAAAAAATCTTAAATCTAACAGCTGCATACCCTTTACCCACACAATATATAAGAATATAAGAATATTTTTTGTTGTTGAATTTCTCAATAATTTTAAAGACTTTAATTAAAAGTTGTCTTCCTTGATTTTAGCAAATATTTAATTGTGGGATTTAGCCTACACATTATTCAATCTAAAGTATGGAAACTGCTTAGTAGTCATATTAATACCCATAAAATAACTAAATGTTTTTAAAATAGGATATTAAAAGTAAAGCTATATAAACTTTTTTTAAAAACTTTTGTCAACATTTCTGTAAATTTTTATATGCTTCCTGTTTAGAAAACACTGCCTTACATTACACTATGTTTAAATAGTCTACTAAATATGATATTTGTTAGTAACAAAAAGATAAAGAAATTTTTTTTAAATAAAACATTACCCATTCTGTACCCATACACATTACACTTAACCATTTGTAAAATTTAAACATTTTCTAAAAAAATATCCCATTAATCTTTCACAAAAAAAACCTAAAAAAATTGTAACCTCAATGTTGAGAGCAAACATGTCTTTGTATTTCTTCTGTCTAGACAAGTGAGAGTGCAGTTGATAGGCCAGTGAGCCGTACTCCAGCCACAATTTTCTGCTGCCTTTCTCCAGCTCCACAGCCCTGTGGAAACATTTCAGGGCTGACTGGGACTTCTTGTGGATTGGCAGTTCCATTTTTAGCTCAGTCTTAAAGAAAGGACATGAAGATTTTATGGTGATTACTATCATTTTAAAAATTAAGTTATATAAAAAGCTGTCACATATCTTTGTTAAGAAATACGGGTTAATTGTTAGCACCTTAAGACTATTACACAAGTTATAATTTGAATAACTCTACAAAACACTGACAATTCCAAGTGAAGATGTACATTTATTTCAGGTTAAGATAACCTCAACTGATGAATTCCTAAAAGCTTTATAATACTTCTAAATTAAAAAAAAAACATTTTTAGTTAAAAATTTTAATTTTTTCAAAATGGAAGTTTAACTTCTAAAAAAGAAGAAACAGCTTGTTGACTAACTGAATTTAATTTCTGCTCAATCTGGTTCATCTTAGCCAGTGCCAGCCCAGCCCACGAGTCTAGCCTGGTGCGGTTGAGTACCAGGTCAAGCAGGTAAAACCTGACGGCCTTCGTCAGCTCCTTGTTCTTGAAGTAGAAGTCAGCCAGAAGGTAGTACAACAGACTGCAAACATTGTCAGGGTCTTTTGCTGAGTTGGTCAGCTTAACTGGCGAGCTGGGAAACACACTGGTGTTGCCCTCAACATAGTCGGAGATTATGGAAACATGTTTGGCTGGGGGGAAAATAGTCAACAATTTAAAAAAAACTTTTATCATCAACATGAAATGCTTGGTTAAGTGTGTCATTATGTACTTCATTATTCAGTACAAGCATTTGTACTTTATCAGCACAGGAAAAATATAAATGGATACCCATAACAGCAATAAATAATTTTTTATCAAAGGTGGAGTTCTACCCTATATAGGCTAACAGACATTGTTGAAATAGTCATTATAAATACTTAATGCTTATCCCAAAATTCATATGCACTAGTAGCTGCCTTACTGCTTAGAGTAAACAGGTTTTACTAATTTTAAAAAAAATGTTAATGTTATGGGCACAAAATTGGCAGATTAAATACACTGGTTTTAAAAAGTACAGTTTTTTTCTTTATTACAATGTTTTCAGCTTCTGTTGTTATCGAGTAGGAATACACTACATGTACATCAAGAAAGGGGTGCACTGGATACTATACCAATAAAATACAATAATCAAATGAGCTCACAGGGGTGAAGATCCGCTGGCACCAAGGCATAAATTCTGCGCAGGAGATTCTCTACCTCTGGAGTGACAGATTTAATCTTGTAGCTGTCAAACTCTGGTGGTGGCAGGGGTGAAAAATAATGAAAAACAACCCCAGCTCTGTCCCAGGTCAAGTCGATTGGGGCTGAATTGTGGTCACTCAAATGTCTGAAGGAGACGATGTTAACATAAAAATTTAAAAAAAATAACACCGATACTGATAATTTTTTGTCCACTCATTCTTTAAACGTCAAATATACCTTTGATATTTTATGACATGAATTGAAATAAATAATTAATTGTGTAGTTAGCACAATTTAGAACCATCTTCTATCCCCCCCCCCCCCCTCATTAATGCTAGCAACAGATTAGATAGGAATATTCAAAGCATCAAAAACACATATCAAGGCAACTCATCATGCAACTGAATAGAAGCCAGCAGTACAAAAAATGAACTAAACCACACCTGGCTTTCCCTTTCCTGTTAGGGTGACCATACAGGCAGTAGACACACTGTTCAAACACATGACCCTCCCTGTCATTCTCCTTCAGGTCTTTATGCAGCTCTGACATTGTGAACAAAAGAAGGAGGCCATCATCTTTTGTACACCAGGAGTGTCTGAAAAAACATCTCATTCTAATCAATCCAAACTCACATGAAGTATGTCTGCGCAATCCACAAATGTACTTAAGTACTCAATCCACACAAGAAATAAAGCAAAAGTACTCTATATGTATTCAAGTAATAGTAACTGTCAAATTACAATCCTATTTTTTTTAAAGGTAACTAGAGCTGAAAGAGCTCATATAAATAAGACATTGTTTCATTTTATTTTTATAAACTAGCAAACATTTATTGATTTACAAACGTGTCTAAACTTTTTTTAAAATCTATTTTTTTATCCGCTTAGTTATGTAGTTTTATATTAATACTTTTTACTATGATTTTAAAATAAATAACAAAAGGAAGCTACTTTATGTATTTCAAGTTTTTTTTTTAACATTTAAATTTTGAGATAAAGTTTGAGTTTAAAAAGTAAATAAAGTCAATATCATAAAGCACAACAAATTATTTTAGCAGCTGTGCAAATACGTTATTTTTTCTTTACCTTCCCAGATACTCATGTGCTTCAGTTAACATGGTTAACGATGGACTGAACTCTTCATCTTCCTCCTCTTCATCATCATCTTTTCTATTATTTAATTCCTCAACATCTCCAGGGTTTTCTGCAGTGTTCTTTTGCTCTTCAAACTTTAACACCCTAAGTGAATAAAGAAGAGTTAAATTTGATTCTGATATTACATGTGGTTTTTAGTAATTAAAACAAAAACAAACATTCCTAGAAATCAGTTTAAAAATAAAAAGTAGGCCTACCCAATTTAAAAAAAACTATTATCATAACTGCAAGGAAGAGGCAGCAAACATAACAATTTCAAAAATGTATGTTACAGTATACAAAAGAAGACCAAAACCTGTATAATATTTTCCATGGTAGCAAGGAGCCTATAGGCATTTCTGTGACGGTGAGGGCTACATCAAGGGATATCTCAATCACAGCCACCAAACTGTTGGCCAAACGAACAAGGCTGAATCGGCTCAGGGAAGATAAAATAGTCATGTCTTCATCCATCAACCTGTAGTCAAGTTTAATAAAAATAAATGAGTTACCAAAATATTTTTAAACTGTATTCAAGTTTAATCAAAATAAACGAGTTACCAGACTTTTTCAAATAAAAATTAGTTAATAGGCATTTTCTAAATTGTATCCAAGTTCAATCAAATAATTACCAGACATTTTTTTAAATCAGAGAATTTAAAGAGCTTTCTGTATTAATTTTTATAAAAGCTTTAACATACTTGTCAATACATGCAAATATTGAAACAAGTGTGGCAGCCCAGTCTTGGCGTAGCTGAACTGTTGGAACCCTCTTGTAATGTATGATGGCTTCATTGAGGGAGATCTCAGCCCAGTGTAGACATGCTGACTTCTGCTTGAGATTGTACAATGAATTGAGCAGCAGGAGGAGTTGTGTTGGCCTTTCCTTCTGGGCGATTGTTTTAGGGCTCATGTTCTGTAGTTTAAAAAATTCATTTTAAAATTTGAGGAAAAAACAATAACTTTTTCGTAAATGATAAAATAATACAATAACTGTGTGAAAAAAAGCATGAAACTATAATTTAACAGAATGAGAAATCAAAACTTATAGATTTTTTTTAAAAAGTCCCACCTTTTTGTTGAATGTGGACTCCAGATTTTTTACAACAAGATCATAGCTGCCTTCATCATATAATTTCTGTGTGTCCTCTAATGACTTGCATCTTTGTAATGCTTCCAGTTGCTTTTTAGCTTGGCTGATGGATATTACTTTGTCTTCTTGGATATTAGGAGTTATTATAGTCACTGAAATAAATGCCATTATCTTTTAACATTTTAGTGAATTGAATGATTATAGTTATTTAATAAAGAGTTAACTTTATACATTTTAGAAACATTTGAAGGTAAAAATTTAAATAAGGTGAACCGGAATAACAAATTATTAACAGATTCAAACACTGATTTGAAGAACAGGGGAGGAAAAATAAAAATTTTAAGATGACCTTAGAATGATTGAACATGTAATCAGTAAACAAAGGTTTGGAACAGTGTGATGAAACATGCAATGAATGGATCACTAGCCCCAGAACTAGGTAGTACACCCCCCAAGCTCTTATGATTGCTGACCTAAATTGGACAACTAGTTACATAACTTTACCCTCCTATAGAATTTAACAGCACTTCCCCAACCTAGGTTATTTAACATAATTTTAGCGTAGATTGATTTTTGTCTTAAGTTATGTAATTAAAACTTTTAAATTCTTACAAAGAAGAAAAAAATTATTTAAAGAAAGTATTGATTTAAAGAAAGTATTGAATTTAAAAAATGAAAATAATTTTCCCTGCCTTCAACAGAAGAGCTCTTATCATTCTCCTTCTCCAGTTCCATCAACATTTCTTGCACTATTTCAAAGCAGTCGACAGCATCCAGTGTCTCACCAAGCAGCTGGTGTTGTCTGGCCTTCAGCCAATACAGTCTTACATTGAAGTGTCCAAGCCAAGAACCTAGAGATCAGTTTATTGATCAGTGGCTTTTTATTTAGTGGGTTTTATATTTCAACATTTTCAGACATCCACACAAAAAATTATAGATCTGTGGTATTAAATTTCAATTATTTAAATTTAAGACACACACACCACAAAAATAAGAATTACTTAACTTATCAATTTTTGTAAATATTTTAAGTTTAAGCCTTTTAAAAAAAAATCTGTTTTGGTTTTTCAATTTGCCTGGGTTTTGTACGGTTTAGCCTACAGCTTTGTGTTTATTTACAGGGTTTTTATATAAGCATTATATTTTCATCAACATAAGAACATCATTTGAAACAGGCTAACTCCACATTAGGTATGTCAGCCTTCACCATTTAATATAAATTTTTTTTATTAATTAGTAAATATCATTTAAAAATCTAAAAGTACACTAAGGGTACCATTTTTAGGTTCTGTTATTTTGAACTTAAGAAATCAAGATTACAAAAATTTAGCTCATTTCCCAACTTTTTTTTCTAAGTAATAGATTTCCATGCATAATGTAAAGTGACTAAATTTTACTACTTATGCAAACTGCTACACTCTCAGCTAAGTTGAGGCTACTTTTATAGTTTTTTTATAAAGCAAATTTTTAAAATATTTTACCTAAAGCATCAGATCTGCCAGTTAATGATGACAAGAAGAACATGTCATCAGAGAAAAAATCTCCAAAATATTTGGCGATGTTGGTGCTGGATTGGCCTGCTTTTGAGGGGGATGACAGATTCCTCAGTTCACTGTCGGCAGACGCTCTGTTCAAAGAAAGCTCAGCCCACGTCAAAATGACAACGGCGTAGTTCTTTAATCCTTCTAGTGGGTAACTATCCTCGTCATCATCTAGAACACTGGGCAACGTGAAGTGCTTTCTCAGGCGCTGATAAAGTTTCACAAAGATGTCACAGATGCCTTCATACCAAATGTAGTCAGATTTGTCGGCCAAACTCAAAAGGTATTTGTAGATAAGATCCAAAATTCCATGACCTTTTAAGCATTTTTTAATGTAGTTTTTCACATCTTCTTCCTCTGTATCAGTAAGCTTCTTGACAGCTTCAAAACTGACAGGCTTTCTACTGGTAGTTTCTTCCTCATTGAAGTCTGTCTCCATGTCATCAGTCTTTTCATTGTTGTCTTCACATTCCACAGACAGCAGGGACTTGGGGAAATAATTCTTCATCAGTTTTTGATAGTCCACGCTTTTTTCTTCTGCCTTGTTGCGCGTATTCCTACTTCTAGTTGATCTCCGTTTATATTCATTCGCCCAATCGTCTTGTAATGAGTCATCCAATTTACGTTTAGGACCTCGCTTCAAGCCAGCTGGTAGATAAAATTATGAAAACATAAATTAGTGCGACGTTAATGTAAAGTTGTTTTCTTGTCAGACCTAATGATCCATAGGGCAGATAAGGTACATGTTTTTTGACCTCAGCATATGAAGAGAAGGTGTTGTCAGCACTATGCCCAGCAAACTTTACTTTCTTTAAAATGCGAGTCATTTACTTTCCCTTATGAGAGTCAAGTGCCAAACAGAACTGGGTGGACTCAGACAGCTCCTGAGTCTTGTGTCCGGACCAAGATCTGAACTCAAGAACTTCAGAGTAGCAGTTCAGTGCTCTACCATGCAACCATAAGTGTAGTGATTATTATTTTTAGTGCAAATATAATTCTAATTTAATAATTTTAACAAATATAAAAAAGGGCAGATAGCAGATGTAGCTACCAATGTGTACCTGGTGTTGTTTTAGTTGTGGCTCTACTGGTCTCAGAGGTTGCTCCACTCTGTGTTGCCCATGATATGCTGGGGGTGGAGGAGCTGTTGGAAGCTGTGGGTGTCACCTGGTCCATCATAACTTGAACCAAAAGTCCCCTCTTCTGATAGCTGTGGTCTCTTGAAACTGGAGCTATGTTTGTTGAAATAAATTACACATATTTATAACATTTAAGTATGCAACTAAATTGTTTCTAAAAAAATGATGAATATGTCAAGTTGAAAATGGTAAGATTAATTAATTTTTATCTGTACAAAATGAAATCTGGTGCTTTATTCTTGTTAACATAATACAGCAGTTCAGAAAATTTTACAAGCTTGAAGCTGCAATGCTTAAAAATTAGATTTGTTTTAATCTTAACATTCGTCGCGAGATATAAGGTTGGTCAAAGTTTATTTTAAGACACTTTTGATTAGCGATCAAATATTTACTATCTAAACCAATCATATCCTGCAAGTGACACAAACCTCCTGTGTAAAGCAATGACAACTTCAGAAGTTACTTATTTATCAGTTACCTTGATGTGAGGATTTCTCTATGAACTGTGTAGCTGCAGGCTGATGTACGTGTGTAGTGGCTTGGTGGTATCCAGGGTATATTTGCTGGTGGGGCAGGCTGGATAAATGAGATTTAGACGAGTGTTGAAGGAGGTGTCTGATATTCACAGACGAAAGGGGAGCTTTCGGGGGTGTGGGGTTTTTGTGGGAGGGGTCCAGCTGCAGACTTAGGGCGGGAGTGGATGTTTTGGTGCTGGTGTAGTGTGGAGATAAACTCGAGGATGATTTTGGTGGTAGGAGGGATGCAGGTAGAGCAGAGTGGGAGGGGTACTTGGGGATGGGAGGGGAGAGTCCAGAGATGGAAGGATGCAATGTTGAGTAGGGTCTGGCATTAATGTCCAGATGCTGTGGCATGGCTGAATGTTTGGAGTAGCTGGGCAGTGGGAAAAGGGTGGAGCTAGAGGGCGGGTAGTGGCCATGCTCGTGAGGTTTGCTTAGGTGCGGGGTGTCATGTCTGGGGGAGAAAAAGGGGGAGATAGGATTGTGGGAGATGTAAGGGAGATCAAAGGACTGAGTGTAGTATCCTGGCAAGGAGGACGACCTGGTCAAGGATTTTGTGCTTGAAGGTCTTGGGTTCATCCCTGCCAGTCTGGACCAATCAGGGCTAGCAGGCGTGTGGTGGTCAGCTGATGGTTTTAACAGTAGTTCTGCTTCTAAGGCAGAGAGTTTATTTAAGTGATGCTGGGAAATGGAAAGAGATCCAGAGATGTCCATGTAAGGCTCTAAGTTACCATACCTGTGGGGCGGATACAAAGGTGGTTCTGTGGTTGGCTGAGGTGTCCCAGGTGAAGGTTGCTGAGGGTAAAGTGGCAATCTGTTTGGGGAGGTGTTGCAGTGTGCAGCGGGCGGTGGAGGTAATGACAGCTGGCTTAAAGTGGATCGGCTACCAGGTGAAGTAGAGGGCTGATGGGCTTTAGGTGGCTGGAGTGCTCCATCTGTCCCAGAGTCTGGTAAAGAACAAGGTGTCACAGAGTCCTCTATAAATTCCCCTGAGCTTTTTCTTCCATACATTTGTGTAGAGGGTTGGGCAGCCTTCTGAGGGGATTCCAGTTGAGATGTGGGCAGGTCAACCTTCTGGGGTTGCTTCAAGCTGCTTTCTGAGAGTAACGCATGATGTAGATACTGACCACTGGCCAAGGACTGGAACTGTGAGAGACTGGAATCCCTCTGTTCTAAGCTAGACAACACGCTGTGGTACACTGAAGCTGACTTGGGGCAGGAGGTTGAGTTGTTTGGGGACAGCAAGCTGGTGGTTATGGGAGAGTGGGTGAACTCAGAGGAAAGCAAAGATATCTTTGGGGCTTGATCCAAGGGTGTTGAGGCTAAACTCCAGTGCAAAGATGACTGCTGAGTTGGTGATATGATGGATGAAAGAGGAGTATGTTTTCTTTGAGGCGAAGTTGACGCGCTTGCACCGTGAGACAACTCAGGCTCTATTAATCTAGTAACAGGTACCTTATTCTGAGGACTTGGTGAAGAGGGAAAACAATGGACGTCCAGGTGAGTGACTACAGGAGAAGTATGGGCTTTCTGCGGACTGCGGGACAGAACAGATGAAATATCATGAGGGGTTAGGGTTGATGATGAAATGTGAGCTTTGGGAGGGGTAGAAAACAAGTGAGTGGTTGATGAGGCAGGTGAGGTGGGGGATGAGGCTGGAGCCAGGTTGTGTTGTGGCGAGGAAATGACATGCGGTGAAGCTAAAGACTTGGACTGTGGGCTCGACTGGCTTGGGCTGGTCTGGAAAGGGCTATGGGGGTGGTAAACTGGTAGCTTTTCTGGCATAGGGATGGAGAGGCTCATTTTCACAGGAGACGAGGAAGAGGCCGATTGGGATGAATCTTGTACAGTAGCAGGGCTGACTGAAATCAAGGCACCAGAAGTGGACAATAATGAAGCTGCCGAAGACTCACTTTTAGAAGTAGTGAATTCAATATTACAAGAGGCAACCTGTTTCAAACTGGCCAGGCTTTTAATGTCAGTTGCAAGTACATCACTCTCCAGAGTGATTGAGACATCTGCAGGATAAGCCCCCAAAGGGTCTTGGACCTTCTCATTCACCACCGCATCCTGGCCAAACTCCATGTCTATAACAGACGCCAAAACATTTTCCAGGGACCTGACCTCTGATGGGCCCAGGATGTCATCCTCTTTCATGAGCATCTCAGGTCTAAAATCTGCCTTCTGTATGTCTGCCAAATTCAACGTGGCTATATCCATGTCCTCTTCTTGCAGTAACGGCATTTCAAATGTATCCGTGACATCCATCAGCTCCAGGTCTTTTGGGACAGAACTTTTCTCCTTGGCTGCGTCAAAGTTAACCAGCTGCATTGTCTTATCATTTTCTTTGATTCCTAGAACAGGCATTTCTTCATTTCCATGGAGGCGCCTGAGAAGAGCCGACTCCTTAGCGCTGTCTTTCAAGCAAGAAACTGGAGTTAAAGATGTGAGGGCGTTGTTGGTTTGAGCTACAGGCTGCGTGATATTTTCTTGTGCTATTTTGGATGCAGACCCCTGCTGCGTGGCTGGATGTGTCTCAACATTTTTCACTGGAGTTTTGCTGGTTGGTTCATCTTTCTTATCAAACTGGCCAAAAAATAAGGATTGGTCCAAGAAAAGATAATCCCTGAGATCTACTTCCAAGGCTAAGCTCTGAAAGGAAGATTCAGATTTTTAGGCTCAGAAAGATGGAATAGCTTCAGATTTGATTTTGAAAGTGGTGAAAATATAATTTTAAAAAAATAATATTTAAGAAACTAACTTTTAATACAATTTGATACTTAGAAAATTTAAACTTAATTCTGGATTAAATAAAATATGCGCCTGTGTTATTGTAATTTATATCATTTTCTCCTGAGGCTGGTAGTCCAGCTTACAAACTTTAAACAACAAACTGTTTATTAGAAGCTATGGAATAAAAATTATTCACCTTTGGTGGATCACTAGTGGTGGCAAAGTCATAGAGCTCCAGCAACTGCTCACCTACATTCTTCCACCTACAGTATTAAGATGGTTTTGATAGTGATTTGAAAAAAAAAATATTTTTAACATTAAAAACTATAGGTGATTATTTAAATGTTACACAAGTCCATTTGCTAACAAAATTGGAATGGCAAAAGTTATGAAACAAAAATATTTTTTTTGCTAACTATTAGAGAACTAAAAAAATATTAGGTGACAGTGGTAGAAATGATAAAATTCACATTCTTAAGTTTTACAACTTTAAAAATATTTTATACTTGATTTGAAATATTTATGAACTTACGTGAAAGGAGTAAGTGGGTTACGAAATGTCACAGGTTTTAACTCTCTTTCTCTGTCTTCCATGGCGAGCTGACGTCTGGTTGCTCGAATTTTTTGTGCCTCCTCAATGAACTGTAAAAGAAATGATTAAAAAATATGTATGTCACTCATTGAATAACAATACACACCTATTTCAAATCTGTTGATATGATACATTTTTGTCATCTTGATACAATTCAGGTTTAATGTTTTTAAACTTACTAAGTGGATTTTTAGTTTAGTCGTAGTATAGGTCAAGATTCTTGAGTTTTACATATTTTTTAATACAAATTTGAAATTTCAATTTATTGTACAGGCCTACATTTTTCTGTTCGTCAGAAATGACAAAATTTAGATAATGCATGCAGGTTTTATGAATCAAAACATAAAAATAATAAAACAGGTCTAGTTTGTTTTCATTACCTCTTGGCAGTCAGCTTTATCAACTGGCAATGTGTGTATCTTTGGATCACTATAACAATAAAAACAGCCAAGTAAAACAAAAAGTATAGTGACTGTTTTGGATAGGAAACAAAACATCTGAAGGAAACTCATCCATTCAACAATTAAAGTTAACTTCCTTACCAGTAGATAAAGAGCTCTTTTGTCATACCCTCAAGTGAGGGCTGCTCAGTAAAAATCTGCCTCCTCAATGCTAATCCTTTTGGGTAGCCACAGTCTCTTTCAAGAGCTATGCTGATATTTTCTAGACACACTGGTAAAAAAATCAATGCCAAATTGTTATCCCCATTACAACAAACCCAGATAAATACATTTAACGATTTTTTTTTAAAAGTGAAATAATAAAAAAAAATTTTGTTTTGAAAAACTAGTGGAAAAAAAAAGAAAAAGACTAAAAAATTTCACAAATTTAAAAGAGAAAAAAAAAGATACCAAGACTTGTTTTGAGGAGATAGGCCCTCAAAGGAAAATTTTGAAAATCTTACTTAAGTAATCCCCAAGAGCAAATGTGACTGTAATGGCATTATCTAAACTTGGCCAGTGGTTTGGGTTACACTGCAGAGCCTAGAAACATTTTTAAAACATATTTCAGTTAAATTCTTTTTCTTCTTTCTAAATTGTTAGTGTTGGAAGGGATCGAGCCTTAACTGCCAGAGCTTTTTGTCGACTCGACCACGCCTCCATCACAATTAAGGATACGTGTCAACTGGTTATGCGCCATTGAGGCCATTGACTCCGATTTCAGCCTGCTTTTCTTTTTGGATTTGCTTCCATAGCCTTTGTCCAACCAAGAACAAACTACAAGGCAGCAGTTGTTTGATTTTGGAGTTGTCTCTCCTTGAAGAGTGGCTGTCCCCAGCTAACGAGCCTCCTCTGCCCGAGGGTTCAAACTCGAGACTTTTCAGTTTAGCAACCATGAGCTTTACCGACTCGACCACGCCGACCCCTTCAGATAAATAACTTATACAACTATAAATCAACATATCAATTAAAATTCTGTTCTGTTTTCATTTATAAGATTTTTATTATAGCACCTCATTTCTAATCACAGCAATTGAACTTTTATTTAAAATCTATCTATTAACTAGTTAAATATACTTTAATTAAGTTGTCAAAACAGCAGGATAAAATAGTTTCTTATGTAGCTGATTTGATACTGAGAGAGCAATGTTAAGATGAGAAAAGTTAAGATAATTTTTACCTGCTGAAAACATATTTTGGCCAGTGGATAGTTGTTAAGTTTTCTGGCAACTTGTCCCATTTTGAACCACACTGTAACTTCAGATGAATCAATTCTCACGGCCTACACATATATTAAAAATATCAGTTTCTATTAAATATTATACTAAAAATAGTAACTATAAAAAATACTTAGTAATATAACCTCAATATATGAAGCCATGGCCTCTTTAAGCTGATCTCTCTGAAGAAAAATAGTGGCCAGATTTTTATGGATGGAATAAAGTAGCTGCAGGCCACAGTGGCTTTTAATTTGTACTTGGCTGTCATCTTCTACTAGACTAGCAGCCTGTAAGATTAAATAAAAAATGGTCGTCATAGAAATACAAAACATAATAAAGCTGCTACTACTGCTAGTCAGTGTCACCATTATTATAAATTACACAAACAAAACCTGATTTTATTTATTTACACATACATAATTTATTTTAAAATGGTAAATAAATTAAAATATTGCTAGAGCTAATGAGTACATTCAATGGAAAAAAACAAGCACTTAAAAACAGACAGTTAATATGACTTTTTTGTTTACATTGAGATGCATATTTTTAAAAAATCCAACCTCTTTTAAAAGGGGATGATCAAAAAGATTCTTCAACAATTTTTCAGCATGCACTGCATTCCCTTTCTGCTGGTATGACAAAGCTTTGTTATATGCAGCAAAAGCTTCAGCCTCCTAAAGAAAAGATGAATGCATGTTAATCACCAAGTTCATCAAGTGATGGCTACCGCCTAGTTGTTTCCCCTTTTAGAATTAGAATTTAAAGTAATTTTTATCCCTGATTTAAGATCTAATTAGATTGAAAATAATGTGTTATTGTGCTGTCATCTGAGATGCTCTAATTTAAGAAGATTGAAGCAATAATTACTCCATAATAAATGGGTCATCAATTAACTCACTTGCCTACTAAAAACATTTTTGACTGAAAGTTTGGGAAAAAAAACAACTTAGCAAACCTTGGCCTCTTTTGTTTTAACAAGCTGAACTTTATTTGAATCATCATCTGAACTTGATGAGTCATTCAGGGCAGAAATACGGAACTGTTTAGGATTACATAAGATGGCGTATATTTGTAATATGTAAATGAGAAGAACATGGACTAAATCCTTTTCCAAGTGCGTGGCATAAAATTAGAAATATTTTTTAAATATTAAATTAATACAAACAGAAATTTTAACTTGTAATTGGAATGGACTTTTATTACATTTTAGACATTTTTATTTATAGATCTATTTAAAAAAAAAAACCAATACTTTTACTTTTATTATGAACTTAAAAAAAATGTAATTTCCTTTTAGACCTACATTTATTTATTTATTTTTCTTAATAAAGGTGAAATTCAATTTAAAAAAAAATTATTAAAATCTAGACCTAATTAATTAATGAGATAGCACAATAACATTACCATTGCTATCTTTTCCTGGCTGACACCTTAGCCAAATTTCACTGATGAAAATACTGAAAAGAAATTGAAAAATGAAGATGAAAAATCCAGGTCAAGCTCAAACTACACAGTAGTAGTACACACTAACTATATAGATCTAGCATTGTTATTAATAAGTAGATTCATAATGCCTATTCCACAAACTACACACATTTTAAAATAAAAATATAATTGATTTGGGGTTAGGATGTTAATATTTAAATAAATACGCATAAGTTAGTAAGTTAAGTAAGTAAGGGCATAGACTAGGCCTAGATTATATTGGTAGATCTACCCATTAGGCCTACACAATATTTTAATACATTTTAAAGTAATTTTATTTTTAGTTAGGCTTAATTAATAAATTTATAGTTACTGGGCCTAAAAAATTGAGTAGTAGGGGTAGACTGGCCCGCTGATCTACCAGGAAAAATCCTGGTGTGCCCGACAGGAAAAAAATCTTGACGGCCCTTAAACTACTGTGCTATAAGGGGTCGGCGTGGTCGAGTCAGTAAAGCTCATGGTTGCTAAACCGAAAAGTCTCGAGTTCGAACCCTCGGGCAGATGAGGCTCGTTAGCTGGGAACAGCCACTCTTCTAGGAGAGACAACTCCAAAATTAAACAACTGCTGCCTTGTAGTTTGTTCTTGGTTGGACAAAGGCTATGGAAGCAAATCCAAAAAGAAAAGCAGGCTGAAATTGGAGTCAATGGCCTCAATGGCGCATAACCAGTTGACACGTAACGCTTAATTGTGTTGGAGGCGTGGTTGAGTCGGCAAAAAGCTCATGGTTGATACATTCGAACAAAGTCTCGAGTTCAAACCCACTGGCAGATAAATCTCGATCCCCTTCAGCCTTCAACACTAATAATTAAGAACGAAGAAGAAGAAAGAAGAACTGTGCTATAGTCCTATTAGTGTTTTTTTTTAAATTGTTGGTAGGCCTACTTCACCATTTTACCATTCCTTCTTCATACCAAGGTGTAAAATTTTGCTATGATAGAGAAAAAATGCACAACAAAATGAGGACGATATTTTAAGTCAACCCTTTGTATCCCTGTCTAGCAGCCTTCTCTTCTGCCTGCCCTCAACCAAACAGCGGATTCGTTGCATTGAGTTAAGTTGAATAGGACCAGGCCTATAATAAATATAAATAATTAATAAACTCAATGCAACAAGCCCTCTGGTTGGTTGATGCCAGGCAGGGCAGCTGTGAGCTAGGGATACAAAGTTAAACTTTTTACAAAGGGTCCACTTAATGACAAGATGCTTAGCTTATGCCTAATTGTTTTTATTCGAGCATTTATATTTTAGAATATTTTTATTTAGGCCTAATGATTTTTTTAGCAACCGTAGGCAGGATTTGGAGTAGGAGCCGGGCAGAGGCTGTGGTCCGTGATGGTTGTCACTGAAAAAAAAACTGTTTTTAAAACTAAAACTCTAAAACTCACTCAAAAATGATTAAAATGTCCTAACAGGGATTTTTTTCAAATTTGTTATGCTAGTCGAGTTATACATTTTAGAATATTATAGATAGATAGATTCTCTAGATCTATCATTGATCTATCCTGTCTAGGGAAGCCTGGAGCGTTACATTCTCTTGACTCCTGAGAGTACTCGGTTGTTCTCTAAGCTAAACTAAATTTGATTAAGTTAGTCTAAACAACAAAACAAAAAAAAAGAGTTTAATTAGCCAAATACCGAAAGACAACGAACAACTCAACAATTGAATTTGGCTTTATGTTAGGGACAATGCTTGTTATTTATTTAAAAATTTAATGTAACAACACATTTACACCCACTTTTGCTGAAATCGGCAAAAATAGGAGTCTAGTGTTTACATTTTAAACATTGTTTTTAAGGAAAATGCCATTTTAAGAATGCATTAACATACCGATATTAAAATCATATTATTAGCCTATTATCATCAATAAGCCTAACTAACTAGTCTATAGAGTTTCAATTGTAATGCAAAGCTGTTATTTCATATAGGCTAAATGATTTTAAAAATATAAAATAATATAAAAGAACTTATAATTTTGCGAATTAATATATTTTCATATAAATGTTCAGATAACATTAAATGTAACTGACAACAGAACTGTTGTCTGATGAATCAAATAATATAACTAACCAAAAATAAAAACTTGGTCCAGAAAGTGGTCCATAATGTCTGCAAAATATGTAGATCTAGTTTACATTTAGTTCAAACTCTCTATAAAGTGTTAATAAATATTAATATTTGCACACAAAATGCATAGGCCTAATTCAATTGTTAAATTACATTTTGAAATGTGTGATGTAAAACATAATGATCTATATTATAAACCTCTCGTTACGCGTTCGCAAATGATAGAGCCCCCCCCCCCCTTCCACGCAAAGAGTGTAACGTCCTTTATGGTCAACCACAAAGAAAGGCTTTTAATCCTTGAAATTATCAAACTATCTATTCACGTCGAAGTCACGGAAGAAAATGAAATTTTGTTTGTATGGTGTGCTTTCATAACACTATTTGCAGCACTAAATCTATCAGAAATTATTTTATTTAGAATCTACAATTTAAAATACTAGATCTAATGATTGAATAGTAGATTATACAAATAATTAGGAATTAATCTATTTTTAACATGTTAACATTAAAAATAATTGAGTTTTAGTGCTTTAGGGTGACTTAATTTTTATCGGTATTCGGGCCAACCGTTGAAGAAAAATTTAAAAACCAAGTCCACCGATAATTTTTGTTTAACCAACAACAAAAACATCAAGGGATTTTAATAAATAGAAAAGTACTGATAACAGTAGATTCTATTAATAATAGGTAATCTATCGTTTTAGGTACGTAACATCGACCGAGAGTAGAGAAGATTCTAATCTAGATCTAGAATCTAAACAATCTAAAATCTAAAAGAATTAAAATTAAATCTATCGTTTTGGGTAGGCCTACGTAAAATCGCCCGCGACTAGATTCTCTAGTAATGTGAAAAACAGGTGACTCCTTACATTTTAATAAAAATTTCACATTTTGAGGAGGATTTATGTTTTGAAAAATACAAAAATGTTTCCTTGTTTCATTTATGTACCTGTTTTTAAACAATTGAATTAAAACTTTTCAGTAATAAATGATTAAATGAACACCAGCGATGTTTCCAACAGATGCAACCATGCTCATTTACTATAGCAGCCATCTTGTTAAAGTTTTATTTTTATAGACTTATAGCGCGAGATTCAGGCGGAGGTCACTCTATTTTACAAATGGCTGCTGTTTAAATAGCAAATCTTGCTTGCAGACACTTGAGACACTGCTGTTTAAAGTTAATTTCTGACTAGCCATTGATAAAGGGGTGTTGGGTTGTTAGTAGTATTGTAATCTCGACTAATTTTATGGTTAGAAATTCGAGTTAGGCGTGGTAGGACCAGGGTTGGGGATAGGCATAGGGTTAAGGACAGGGTTAGCACATTGAACATTGACATTAGCCAACCATGTGTGTATTTACTATTTAGTTAACTGCCAGTAACCTAACACCCCTTTTTTAAAGAAGATTTCATTATCGGACACTGGTATAAACATTCTTCCCAATTGAAACTTCAATTAATCTGTTATTTTATAATTTTTAAAATGTTTTTTATTTTTATTTTAGTTTACAAAAATGCAAAATCCTCTTTTTGGTGGGCATGCTGTACCCAGCACACAATCTGGAGTATTTGGATCCTTTGGACAACCATCCTCTGCCACACAAGGTGGTACGTCATCTTTTGGATCTTTTGCAATGCAGCAGCCCATACCCACTGCTGGATCTTTTGGCACATCAGGAACACAAAGTGGACAGCCTTCATTTTTATTTGGATCATCTGCTACTCAAGGGGGACAACAGTCATCTGCTTTAAATGCTTCACTTGGGTCAAGTACTTTTGGCTCATTTGGAACACAAGGGGGTCAAATGTCATCTTTTAGTGCACCACATACACAAGCTGGGCAATCTTCATCTACATTTGGATCTTTTGGAACACAATCCACACCTACATTTGGAACTCAAAAGGAGCAGCCAACACCTATTTTTGGATCAATTGGTTCACAAGGGGGGCAATCTCAGGCTGTATTTGGATCGTTTGGTGCATCAGGAGCACAAGCTAGACAATCATCAACCTTCGGAACTCATAATGAACAATCCCCATCCAAGTTAGGATCTTTTGGGTCACAGGGGCAGGAAACATCTTCAGTATTTGGGTCGTTCGGGTCCCAAGGGGGACAACAAACTTCTCCAACTTTTATCTCAACAAATATTCAAGATAAACAATCGCCTTCTATTTTTGGTGGCACCAGTGGAATCAGCTCTGGGATGTTCAGGGGAGAGCACAAGCTTGGCTCTACATTTGGAGCAACTACTGGTTTATCTGGGTCCAATACATTTGGATCCACTACATCTAATTCCTTATTTGGCACATTTACTGGACAAGCATCCGTCTCAGTATCTCAGTCTTTCGGATCACAGATGAATACACAGAGTGTAACATCCTCTGGTACACAGTCCATTTTCGGAAAGCCAACAATCAGCTCTTCTAGTTTGACGGGTACAGCAACCTTCACCCTGAACCAGCCCAAGACAACCAATAGTAGTTCATTTCCTGTTTCAACTCCAGGTCTTTTTACGTCTGCCTCTCCTAGCACCTCACCAACAGCTGGTTCATTGTTCTCAGCCAGCCAGCTATCTAATGTGAGAAAGAGAAACTTTGAATCTGAAGTTAACAGCAATGCTCTGTTTGGAAAAAAAGATCGATCAGAATCTACCATGGAAGGACCGTCATCATTAGGACCATTTGCAGTCAAACAAACAGCTATATCCAGTAATGTAAGTTCAGTCCCTGCAACTTTTCAGCCAGGTGAAAAATCCCTGTTTGGTAAAGGGATTAGCACTTCAGTAGAGAGCACAGAAGCTTCCAAATCTTTATTTGGTAAGCCGATGTCTGATTCCAAAACTGAAACTCTTTTCAAATCCCAGCCTGTAGGCAGATCACTTTTTTCAGCCAGTGACACAACAAAAGAGAGCAGTTCCAAACAGGAAAATGTTAGTACAAATGAAAGTGTTTTTAGAAAAAATATAGAAAATTCAGGTACACTAAAACAAACGGAGACAGGTTTGTTTTCTGGGCCAGCCCAACGCTCTCTCTTTGGTAAAGAACCTAGTGGCGGAAGCAACACAGGTTTATTTGGAAAACCTTCACAGACTGAGTTTCCCAAGATTAACAGATCTGCATCTAGCTATAGTCTACAACAGCTAAATGAAAAGGAAAGTCTACAAGGTATGCATTTTTTAATAACTATGTAATTAGAAGACTGTAAAGTTAAAAAAATATCTTTACCTGGTGAGCAGCAAAAAAAAAGTTACTGTTGTTAACTTTAATCAGACTTTGTATTTTGTTAATCAACAGATAAGGAATCCCTTCATAATAATAATCGAGATCCAAATGAAGAGCAAGAAGTGTTTAATGCTGGGGATGATAAAGGTACACAGTAGTCTTTTTGTTTACTTACACAGCTAACACAATAAAAAGGTAAAACAAAAGTAGGTAGACTAAACCATTCAAGAAAAAGTTTAGTATAATATGAAGTAAATGCTTAAGTTTAATGGAATTCCAGCTGGATCAGATACAGTATTTTAGATTTTTCATGAATTTGAATGAAAGCCCATTTATAAAAGCCTGTGTTTTGAATAGTTTTTGTTCTGAAGTGATTAAAATAACTCCATTTTATTTTTACCATAAATTCAGCCGAAGGTCCACTTAGAAGGTCACTGATGAAATGGAAAAGAACAAGGGATGCTGATATGCAGGAAGACCTTAAAAAAACTGGTCAATCAGCTTCTGAAATAGATTTAAGTAAGCTTACAGCTGGAAATATTAGGGATATCTTGACCTTGTTTGCTTTTGAAATTGGTCCATAATTATTTGGTGCACATTAAGTTTGATTAGTTAAATTTTTTGGAAACTTTATTTTAAAATGTTGGAGGGTAATTAATAAAACATTTTGTAAAGTCTTTTTAAATATATTTTTTTTTCAGGACAAGCAAAGAGATCAAGGATTCCAAGTGAGCAAGGTTGGGAAATGTTCTATTTAAACTTTTTATTTTTTTATTTTATGCATACATTTTCTTTTTAGATTGTATTGATCACATTCTTGGCCCATTGAAAATAATTAAATTACTAGTTTTTTTAATTTTATTTTTAGGTTCTAGAGCACCATCTAGAAGCATCTCAAGAACTTCCTTGACACGTAGATCAAAAGAAGACCTTCGCTCCAAGACTTGCATTGTCATCAAGGAAATCCCCATACATTTGAATAAAGGCTCAGTAATTCGTAGACATTTCTCTCAATTTGGGAACATAGTTAAGCTCCAACCACTGACACTAAAGAGATCTGCATACATCACATATGAGACTCACGTAAGTGTAGAATTTCTTTTGAGATAAACTTTGATCGAGTGAGTTTGTTAGCCGATGAGTAAAATAACCAGAGATCTTTTATTTGAATTAAAAAATGAGCTTTAAATTAAATTTAAAAAAACAGTATTGTGTTAAATTTCTCCACTTTTATCAAAAATCAGTTTTCTAAAATTATTTGCCCAAAACAGTTTTCATTTTATTTTGCAAATCTGGAATAATAAATAAACTCCTTAATTTTACTTATTCCGTGGATTAAAAACAAGTTTGGTTGTTTTTTTTTTAAAGGAAGAAGCAAAAGCTGCTAAGGAAAATGGAATAATCATGGATGAGGGTAGCCCACCTGTGACCATTTTCTGGAGGTCATCACAACCTCAAAAGTCACCAGAGTCTCAAAGTTCTACAGAAGGTAAAAGCTAAAGTTAATTGTCTCCTTCGATTTGAACACTTCATCAGAAGCTTAATGACAATTCATAACTTATCAATAATAGTGTAATATTATATTTGTTACTTTGTACTAAAAAATTTTTTTTTACTATATGAGCATTATATTAATAACAAATTAGTCTACACAAATCAGTTCTTTTCTATTAAACCTAGGGATAAAGCTAATATATAAGAACTAGCATATGATTGCATTTTGTTACAGATTTAATGTTTGTGTATTTTGTCATAGGTTTTATTATAAAGTAGGCCTATTTTGTCACAAGTTTTTTTTAATATGTATTTTGTCTCAGATTTTAATTGTAAAATGTATTTTGTCACAGGCATGAAACCACAAAGGACCTTGTTTTCTAGCAATGTTGCACAAGAGCTGGCAAGTATGGCTGGAACCTCTGATTATCAGGTAGTTATTATGTTTTTGTTGCACCGTTTTTTGTCCATATTTACTCAGTTAGCCCACCTGTAATATGTTGATATAGTTCACTCTACATTTAAATGTTTTTAGATTTGTTTGTTTGTAATATGTTTAAGTGTAACACACGCTTTCAGCAAATTGCTTTAATATATATTTGTATTTTGTGCTGTTAAAATATGTTTTAAACGGTTTCATGGTTTTTCATTTAGGAGGAAATGTCAGGATCAGCAAGTCATTATGATGAGCCTAGGCTATCAAGAAGGGAGCAGGCGATGCAAAGAGCTACAACTAGTAGGGTGAGATCACCAACACCACCTCCAGCCTCCCTTCAGGCAACTGCAGCATCCATCCAGGCAACTGCTGTGCCAGATTTAGAAAGTGCCAAAGGTTATTTACAAAATTTAGTAGTATCATATAGAAACTCTGTTTAAAATGTATTTTATTTTTATTACATGTAAAATACATTATTTACACTTTTTTCATCTAACAAGTTAGCAAGTTTGAAAATAAACAAAAAATATGAAAACACCCTTAGCCCATTTAACCCTCAGTACCGCTTTATCAGTCCGAGTATTAAATCCCCATGCCCCAAGAGACCGATAAATCGGTTTTAGTCACCTGACCTCTGATCTGCAGACCGTACATAAAATTGCGATATTTAAAAAGTACGTAACTGGTATTGTTCGACTGATAAGTTTCTGTTGTGGCTGTGCCCATGAATCAAATTTTTGTTACGTTTTTAATTTACGATGGAAAGACGATTTTAATATCCCAAAACCAGCACTCCACCTGTCTAAAAGAAGGGTCTACCTACAGGGACGACCGGATTACTAAGTCAAAATATTTGCGATAATTCATGTAGAAATGTTAATTGGAATAATAAAATAACATTGTTGTTATATTTGTAGTTTTTTTTTCATTGAGAGCCTGTTGTGTGTACATTTAACTCAGGGGCAAGGGGATTTTAGGTTCAGGAGGTAAGGGTTCAAAGGATTAAGTTAAAAAAAATTATTTTTGTTTCAGGTCTACTTAAAACAATATGGCGAGCAAAAGCAAAGGACACAACTGAAAGAATAGCTATTTTAGATGCCAAAGATAAACTTCTACGAATGTGTAAGACACCTAGATGCCCTTATGTCATGCTTGTAATTAACATGAAACTATCAGCACAGCTAAGTAGAAAACCACAATCAGATAAGACTAAGATGGCATTCTAAATTAGAAATTCTCTAGTGTAACCCTAGTGATAACAGCCAAACTTTTTCTTAAATTATTAAAGCCATATACTAAATAATATATTGTATAAGTTTCAGTTTACTCAGATAAATTTGAACTATTGATGTAGACAATTTTTGGAATAACTTTAGTGATCCATCTCTTAAGATCAATGATGGCTTGTACTTTTGTTACACTGATCCGTATCCCCATAGTAAGAACTTAAATGGAGATAATATAAAGAGATGCTGCATAAGATTTTTTTTAATCAAGTGTAGCTTATGTTTTATGTTGTATAACAGTACGACGCAGGCAGCAGTCTGATTTAGCCACAGCAAAAGCTTTTGTTGGAACGTGCCCAGACATGTGCCCTGAGAAAGAGAGATATTACAGAGAGGACATTCGTAGACTTGCACTCTATGAGGTTATTCCAAGCACCATGACCAGTGTGGTGAGTGAACTTGGTTGGTTTAAAGTACTTCAGAGTTAGTTTCATATCTGCAGTATAAGTGAATTTGAAAAAAAAGGAATATTTTCATTCTAGGTTGAAAAAATTGGCTTAGATTTTGTAGTTTTTTGTTGTTGTTTTTCTTTTTTTTCTTTTTTTGACATTTTTTTCAATATATTGAATATGAGGAGGTTGGCGTGGTCGAGTCGGTTAAGCTCTTGATTGCTGAACCAATAAGTCCTGAGTTTGAACCCCCGGGCAGATGAGGCTCGATAATTGGAGATAGCCTCTCATCTAGGAGAGACAACTCCAAAATCAAACAACTGCTGCTTTGTAGATTGTTCTTGGTTGGACAAAGGCTATGGAAACAAATCCAAAAAGAAAAGCAGGCTGAAATTGGAGTCAACGGCCTTTATGGCGCATAACCACTTGACACGTATACTTAATTGTGTTAGAGGGAAACCCTTTCAACACTAAAATTAAGAACAAAGAAGAAGAGGAATGTGAAATTTATTTTACAAAGACTAGATAAATATATATGATTCAGAAGTAATAGTTTTTTCTTAACAACTCAATTTGGTGTTCTTTCTATTCTATTACAATCTAAATATGAAAATATGTTAGTAAATATTTTTTAATTGGATGAAATGTTAATTTGTTACATTTAGAAACTTCAGTGTAATAATCTTACATTCTACAGACTGGTCTTAAATCAAAAGTTGACCACAGTCGAGCAGTCAAAGAATACAGTCGATCTTCAGCTGATCAGGTAAACATCGTCTTATTTTTTTAAAAATGTGGTCCTCTAATTGAGTAGTAACTGATGTTTTTAAAAAATTACATTTAATTTCTTAGGAAGAACCTCTGTCTCATGAGTTGAGGCCCCTGCCTGTTTTGGTGATGACGATGAATTACTTGCTAGCTGAGGTGGCTGGTCAAGGGAGAGATGGACAGTGGTCAGAGTGGTATGACTTTTTGTGGAACAGGACCAGAGGAATTCGTAAGGTAATTTGTTAGCCAATCTTCCAGAGATTTCTACGAGATTTGATGAAATTAAGCATAAAATATTTCACAGCAAACTCTTTGCTATTATAAATTTTGTTAATTTGAAAAATAATTTTCAAACTATAGGTTAAGTTACTTAATAACTTTCTGTACATTAATTAATTTTAAAAAAGAAAACAACAAAAATATAGTTTACTTCTGTGCTTTTTAGTCTTGGCTGAGATACATTAAGGGCATTATTTATTTAAGTCACTTTAAAAATCTGGCATTGCTAATTGATTTCTTGCTGGTTCAGTGTAAGATAAATCTTTACTTTCATTGCTGGTTCAGTGTAAGAGTTCCTCTTTACTCTCCTTCTGCCTTGTATGGCAAATCATAGCTGAAGTAACACGACTGCCTAGCGTTGTCCGCAGAGACTTTGATGGTCCCCTGAGGTGCTAGGGCGCGTAGCATCTCAGGGATGTCCCACAGCATTGTGTACTCCAGTGACTCCACTAAGTTGTGCTCAATGCCGTAGTCCAGCTCAAAATAGTAGCCATGTATGTTGCTGGTGATATTCTGCCCCCTTGTGTTGGTCCACTCCACCGTGAATGCTTGAGTCTCACCTTCCAAGTTGAACCCCAAGAGAACGACTGATAGATTTTGGTAGCTGTGGAAGGAACAGTTGGCTATGATGGGGCGCTGGAGGTCGGAGAGGATTTCGTCAGTAAGGCTTGTAGGGTACTGCTGTGTTGTGCATGTGTAGTCGGCATCCCACGCGAAGGATATGATCTTCTGCACTCTGGCGCCAGCTACACTGATGGCCCTGTCCAGTCGTTCTTTGCTTGCCCGATCCAGTAGTTCACCCATCCCAGAAGCCATTGGGTCAACAGGAAGGCAAGGATCGTCTCGGAGGAACTCAAAGGCCTCAACATTGAGCCAGAAATCAAACCTGACGCCAGTTGTCAGTAATCCTTGCTGCGCTTCTTGGAAAGCAGAAAACAGTTCTATGTTGCTGGCAGAGAAGGCTTCGGCAAATGTGATGTTTGTTTTCAATGTTGGGTCAAGGTAACGGATGGCTCTATCCAGAACTGGATCACTGAGGCTGACTGGCTCGTTTATCTGATGTGGCCAGTAGTAGCAGCCTTTAGCTGCCCCCCTCCCTTCCTGGACAGCTATGACATCAACCACTTTTGTTTTAGCTATGTCGGCAAAACCTTGTACGTGCTGACCCACGGTTCTGTTCATCTGTGATCTATTCAGATCTACGTAAGGGGAAACGGCAAACCTTTTCCCATTGCTTTTGACCAGGGTCCCAAGTATTTGATACAGAGTCAGATACTGGCTGTCTTGTGTCAGGTCTCCCAAACAACATTCATCCGTTCCATAGTAGCCTGTCAGGTAGTCATACAGTGTCGCTCTTTGTGATTGGCTACCTGGATCATGTGAGACAACTCTTCTGTTAGGATCAAGTGCGAGTTTACTGTAACGAGCTTGATGGTCATTCACAACCCTCTGCGTCCAAGCGTAATATGCTGGCATAAGGTCAGCATCAAAGTTGTTTGGTACTCCAGGCAGGCCAAAGTAAACTGATGTGTTACTTTTAGCAGCACTCTGTAGAAGAAGCTGGTGTGGATCTGTGCCTGCGAAGCTTGTCAGTAACACAATGACTTCAGATCCTGGCTTGTAGTCACACGGAGAGCTTGAGTTAAATGTAGCGTTCTTTCCAGGCAGCACGATTCTGTAATAAATTCTCGAACTGTTGATTTTCTTATCCAACTTAGGGCATAAAAGTATATCATCGCTAAAGTTTTCTTCATACTGGTAGCTGACGAAGGCGCTCACGACCAGACCCATGTCTTTTAGTTCCTGCTCTGCTTCGTTGTAGCACCTCGGCCCCCACGCAGGGTTGCTGCTTTTGTAGCTGCCACACCAGATGAAATTCAGGTCGCCGTCTAAGTCTTGTGTTGTCCTGCGGATGATGGGCGGAGCCCTGAGAAACACAGTGTCTCCCCCTTGATTTTTAAAAGGTTCCAGCGCCTCGTCCCATTCTTTGAGAGAGAACCTGTCTCTGAACCACGAGGCTGTCACTGGATACACTGGTCTAGCACCTGGTGTCACAGCCTCTGTTAATGTGCAAGACTTGACGACAAGAAATGCACAGATGCACAGTGTAGATAATAGATCAGCCAAAGACTTCATCTTTTTAAATGAAGATTTGCTTATCTGAAAAATAAGTTATGAACAGATATAACTGCAAGAGAATTTTATACAATTTAAATGAGCATTGTAATCAACACAAATAAGTTTAAAGGAATTGCTAAAAAAATTATCTTTACTGTATAAAATCACCTTTTTAACCTGTTTTAGAGTTAATCTTTAATCAAATAAATGACAAGTTTGAGTGATGTAGATCAAATATTGTGTGTCAAATCTGTGGTCTACATTCTTTAACTGATAAGAGTTTTTTTTTTTTTTAAATGATTGACAGCTAATTTTTAAACTTAATATTTTTATTTAACTTAAAAAAGAAACTCCACTTTAGACCTGTATGGCAAACCAAAACAACTACTTTGTATTTAAGCACCTAGGTAACCTAGTTTAGATTTGTTGTGTTGGAAGAGCTACTAGAAAGGTGCACAAGGCTTTTCTTCTTTGGGGAGTTACAATTTAACAAAAACAATTTTTTCTAGGATATAACGCAGCAACAGTTGTGTGATGTAATGGTGGCTGAACTACTGGAGAAGTACACAAGGCTTTACTTCTTTGGGGAGTTACAATTTAATGAAAACTAATTTTTTTCTAGGATATAACTCAGCAACAGTTGTGTGATGTAATGGTGGCTGAACTACTGGAGAAGTACACAAGGCTTTACTTCTTTGGGGAGTTACAATTTAATGAAAACTAATTTTTTTCTAGGATATAACTCAGCAACAGTTGTGTGATGTAATGGTGGCTGAACTACTGGAGAAGTACACAAGGCTTTACTTCTTTGGGGAGTTACAATTTAATGAAAACTAATTTTTTTCTAGGATATAACTCAGCAACAGTTGTGTGATGTAATGGTGGCTGAACTACTGGAGAAGTACACAAGGCTTTACTTCTTTGGGGAGTTACAATTTAACAAAAACTATGTTTTTCTAGGATATAACACAGCAACAATTGTGTGATGTAATGGTGGCTGAACTACTGGAGAAGTACACAAGGCTTTACTTCTTTGGGGAGTTACAATTTAACAAAAACTATGTTTTTCTAGGATATAACACAGCAACAATTGTGTGATGTAATGGTGGCTGAACTACTGGAGAAGTACACAAGGCTTTACTTCTTTGGGGAGTTACAATTTAATGAAAACTAATTTTTTTCTAGGATATAACACAGCAACAGTTGTGTGATGTTATGGTGGCTGAACTACTGGAGAAGTACACAAGGCTTTACTTCTTTGGGGAGTTACAATTTAATGAAAACTAATTTTTTTCTAGGATATAACTCAGCAACAGTTGTGTGATGTTATGGTGGCTGAACTACTGGAGAAGTGCACCAGGTTCCACATCTTTGCCTCAGAGAGGCTGTGTGAGGAAGACATGATGTCCTTTGACCCCAAGATCAACAATGAGAACCTAACCAAGTGTCTGCAGACCCTGAAGGAGTTGTACGCTGATCTGGAGAAAAGGCAAATCTTCTGCCCCAATGAAGCAGAGTTTAGGGCTTATATGGTGCTTATGAACCTCAACGAAGGAGATATCCTCAGGTTTTTTTTTAAATATTTTCTGTTGATATTAAGTCCAATCATATAATAAGACAATCAGATTATTTGTTTTTTGTAGATTCTTCATCATTTAGAATAAGAAATAATTTGACTGCCAGTCATTGTCAGAACTATGATGAGAAAATAAAAGCATTATTATGCACATTGTAGTTTAGCTTATCCCTGTTTATTATGAGAAAGACCAAAGGCTAAACATCAGATATGATTGTGACATGATGTTTCAAAATCCTTCTGTTTTTCAGATATTTAAAAATAATTTTACATTAAAAATTTGTTATCAGAACTGATAGTAATTTTTCTACAGCAACACAAATTAAGTGGGTTCATTAAATCATAATCACAGTTATCAAAACCTTACCAATTTCTATTTGATGCAGTAAACATGATGCCTAACTTTTCTTTTTCTCAACAGGGAAATCCAGCAGCTTCGACCAGAGATTAGAGAGTCACCCTACATCACTTTTGCCATCAAAGCCTACAACGCCCTCAACTCGAATAATTATGTTCGTTTCTTTAGACTCATCAAAGAGGCAGCTTTTCTAAATGCTTGCGCTCTTCATCGCTACTTCAATCAGATACGCAGCAAAGCTTTGCTTATTCTCATGAAAGCCCTGGGTGCTCATGGAAGAATTATTCTGGTTGGTGTTCTTACCTTTGTGTGTAGTTAGATTTAGTCTAGCCTTGTCCAATGTTTCAGTGTCTACGGTCTGCATCAAAGCAAATAATTGTTATCTTTATTAGTTATGCTATGTTTATTTTTGACTTACTGATGTTGTATTGCAAACAATGATCCAACTTTTAAATGTTTAAAGACTTTTAAATGTTTCAAGACTAAAATTTTAGGACAGCCTTGCTTTGGTCATAGGTTGCAGCTCTGTGAAAAAAAAATTAAAACATAAGTATTATAAAGCTTTTTTTTAACCAAATATAACATTTGACTCTCCATGATAAAATTGAGCTACTTCACACCTCAAGTTATTTCAAGCAAAAGCCAAAAATATGACTCGCAAATCTCATTTAAAGGAGAAAACTAATGTGCATGGTGTAAAGATGCCGGATAATAAATACAAAGTTTCTCAGAATAATTTTTTTATGATAAACAGTAAATCTATCATTTCTCAGACTATTGGTCTGATTTCCAAGAGTATTCATTAAAGCAGCATGTAGACTGATTTGAGATTTACCTAAAACTCAAAATAGCCATACTTGCTAAGTGACTCAAATCATCATTGAGGTCACATAGTTTTTATGTAATAAAAGGTTAAATACCGTTTTGAAATAGAGTTCATTTTGTTTGCTCGGAGTTGTCCTGGAAGTATTACAACTGGTTACCTTCTCCTACTGGTTCCAGATGCCCTTTGTTATACAACAGAAAATCCCATGTGATAAATCATTGTATTAATCTAATCTGAATTATCATGTATTGTTGAAGTATATCAATCAATCATCCCTTAACCCTAAGGGTCATTCGAGCACTACAGTTAATTCCTTTCATACCTTTCTGCCATCTGTCTGGGTCATCTGCTGCTCTGAATAGTTCTGTAACTGCCAAATTTTTAGTCATCTATTCACTGTTATTCTGTTATTCCCCTTCTCCCTATTTAAGTACTTATAATATATACTTTAAAAATTATTATTTTTTTTGTTTACCAGTATCCTGTTCAAGAAATGATAAATCTACTCTATTTTGAAAATGTGGAGGAAGTGAGAGAATTCTGTGATCACTATTGTTTGGCAGTGGAGGGCTATGATGTTGTCATGGATTCCAAGGCCAATCTAGAGCCAGAGAGCTCGTTACCACAGAAACGGTCCCAGTCACTGGTTGAAGCCAAGATGACTGTTTCTATAGGGGAGGTAAGCGGGTGACATTTTATGATAAAGGTTTCTTTATATTTTGTGATTTCTCTTTTTATATGGTACTTATTTAAGATGATGGTCATAACTACAGTTTTATGTGATTATTTTTGTGTGAGAACTAAAATTATTATTAACAAAAATATTGTATTTTATGTTTCTTGTATCAGTTGTAGCATTTACAGTGAAAAAGATTTTAATCAAGCACTTTTTGTAATTCACAGGTCATTAATGGGGCACCCTTACCACACATAATTTTATCCACCCCATCCTCAAGCTTTGACCAAGATGGTGTTTTTATAATGTCCCATGATTTTCAGGAGGCCATAGGTATGGATCCTTTCTAAGCTTTAAAAAATATTTGAGGTTACACACATGGCTCTTTAAATCCTGATTGTTTAGTATTAAATAAAAATGGAAAGTCACATTTTACTGGCTTTTCTAGAATACAATCTACTAAGTTTGAAATTCAGGAATTCATCTAATCTAGAAAGTTATGAACACAAGCTCAAAACCACATTTTTTGTTTAAATCAATTAATCACTAAAATTGTCTTCTTCCCTTTCTCAGCTTCTAGTGGCCTTCTTAAATCAAGTGCTGTGGACCAGACAAGCCACAATGAAGAACCATGTCTACGCATTGTGCCTGAAGTTCGGCCAGAAAATGCACCAGTCTCTATAGAGGTAACAAGACAACTGTTGTTATTCGTCATAGTCGTTTGGGTTTTAAAACTCACAGTGTTAATGAACACATGTAGAAATTTGTTTTAAATTTTATGACATCAACATGCTTTAGGAAAGATGCAGTTAAACTTTTTGATTAAATAAATTATATAACCTTTTAAAGCAAAATTCTTTTTTTTGAAAATCTTTATTGATATTTTTTTCTATGCTAAAACTTAAAAGTATCATTGTAATGACATCACCATGCTTTAAGAAAAATACAGTTAAGCTGTTCAATCAAAGGAATATTTTATACAAAATTTGTAATTAAAACACTTTTTGTTTGTATATCTATGCTAAAAATATGAATATAAAATGACCATACTTTTATTTTAGGTTATAAAAAGCCTAGCAAGAACAATAATCCTTGAAGTAATAGATGCCAATATACTAGACATCGCCACTGAAGTGGCTGCTGAGACAGGTGTAGTTGCTGCACAGCTTGATGAGATAGTTCAGTCCACAGTCAAGGAAGCATTGAGGTAACCACTGCTATTAATAAATAAGTATTGACATTTACAGAATTGTTACAGTAAGACACTATTCTTTATGTTTAAACCAGTGTAGATTTCAACTGCCATATCAAGGAAGCATTGAGGTAACCACTGCTATTAACAAATAAGTATTGACATATACAGAATGGCTATAGTGAGACACTATTCTTATTTTTAAAGGAGTGTATGTTTCAATTTCCATGTCAAGGAAGCATTAAGGTACCCACTACTATTAAAATACATATCGACATATACAGAATTGCTGCAGAAAGACACACTATCCTTATGTTTAAACAAGTGTAGATTTCAATGGCGATGTTAAGAAATACACATAATCTTGATTACAAATTTAAGATATTTCGCTATATTGCTCAGGAATGTGAAACATGTATCAGCAAATAAACTCCAGTGTTTTATTAATAAATCCATAAGACACATAGAAAAATAAATTGACTGGACACTACCTCAGAGAGAAGTTTATAGGAGATCTGTAAGGAATGACACATGAATTTAAAAAAGGGAAGTGAGGACAGATAGGACTTACTCTTAGAAAACCACTTAGTACAGGAAAAATAATTATGGAAAGGAATGTTACCTCACTACTCAGAGAAAAGCCTCAGTTTTGTTTCATCAGATTTTGTTTTTTTAAAAATCCTCTTTAGCAGTTATAAAAATGATGAACTTCTAACCCTGTGTGTCTGTCAATGTTGAACAGTGAAATAGCCCTGAATGTTTTTGCTGAAGAAGAGGAGAGCCTGAAGAAGAAACTCCATGAAGAAATGGTCCAGCAGAGACAGCGTGTGTTCAGTGCTCTCTGTGATGACATTGTTGAGGACACTGTATCTGGTATGGTGAAAGATGTTGCAGCTTCTGAAATGAGGTGATTATTATCTTAGTATAAAAAGCATCTTGTTTTTTTATTGTTTTGAAATTGTTTTGAAATTTAATTAACAGGTCTAAAGTGGTAAACTCAATTCACCAATTATATTTTATCATTATTAAAATCTTTCTCCCGTTCATGCCCAAGACATGGGGCAGATGAAGTAGAGTTCATCTGTTTCAGAGACCTCTGAATATGAAGGGATAGTGTGATCAGCACTATGACCAGTAGCCTTTGTTTTCCCTTACATGAGTTTGGTACCCATCAGAACTGGGTGGACTCAATTCTACTGACTTGAACCTGGATTCAAACTCAAGAGTTTCGGGTTAGCAGCCTAGCTCTCTACACCTAGGCCTAGCTTTCCCATCATTATTAAAATACTATAGTGCTATTTATTTTTGCACTTTAAAATTTTTCACTAAAAAATATATTTTTTAAAACATAATTTTTTTTTCTTATTCATCCAGTTTCATTTTGTCAAACATGCTTGTTGTTATTTACAAACTGTTTGCCTTGACAGAGTTGTGAACGCCACCCTACACAAGAAGTCAGTGGAACTACACAGCCAAGCCTACAGGGATGATCTAGTGAGGAATGTGGTGGATGAGGTTCTCTCCCATGTTGCTCAAGAAGTCTATGATCTGGATGTTGTAGCTAAAAGAGAGAGACTGGATGCCACCCTCAAATGTGTGGAAGCCATTCGATGCAGAAGAATTTTACAGGTTTATATTACATTTCTTTTAAAAATTAATTTTTATTTTGCAGATTTTTTTTTTAACAGGTCTAGGACATTGAACCCACCTTTGTCAATTACCCCACTCTTTATTAATTCCCCCATTCCTGGGAATACATGTTATACCTATCCCTATCCATCTCACTATACCTAACACAAACCATCTCTATTTCTATTCGTATCCCTAACTTACTCTATTTGGTATAAGATAGATTGGTAATCTTCCATGGGAGGGGGTGTAAAGTGTCCTTCCGCAGACTTTATTTTTAGTACTGGGGATGTAAGGAACAGGAGCTAATGCCCTGCTCCCTTTTTTTTACATGCGTGCAATAAACTTAGTCACAGCATGGTAGAATGGTAAAGCGTTTGACAGCTAACCTGAAACTCTCGAGTCCATAGAACCAGGTCTGATGGGTACCTGACTTACGTTCTGATGGGTACCTGACTCACGCTAGATCCCCATCACAGCTGGGGCACCACAAAAAGTGGAAATCATTGAATTAGGTCTACTCAACTTAACCTGCCCATGGACCATAAAGTTCAAAAGGGTACTTGACTTGATAAAAATAACATTCATCTTAAAACCCTGGTGTGACACCTATGCCTAGCCTCTTTTTGCTGCAATACAGGAGTGGAAGCTAGTTCTGATGAGACGTACATTTAAAATATAAAACACAACTACCTCTTGTTGGTAATTGAAAACATTTCACAACTATTTTTTTACTAGTAACACCACCCTTAACCCTAGCCCTGAATTTATTTTTGGCAGTGAGCTCAGCAGATAACTGTTTAAATACTTCATTTCGACCTGCATATTTAAAGGATGATTCTATTATAACCAAATGAGTTTTTCTTGCTGTGTTCCAGAGATGGAAAGCCAAGTATGTCTCCTGTGTGAAGATAAAAAGGTCAATGCTAGACTTCCCTAGTGGCCCACCACCCACCAAGACAACAACAGAACAGCTACATTCACTTATGCCAGATAGGCCAGACAACAGAATCTCCCACAAGTCTTTCTTTGTTGGTGAAAGGTACCAGTTTATTTTGGCCTGGCATTTCTACAGTCCTGTTCAGCCTTTTTAAAAAATAGTCCATTTATGGTCAAACATTTTTAAATGTAAAAAAAATATTACAGATATGCTTCTTTTTAGTTTTTTGTTTGTCAACAATGCTTGTTATCACATTTTTGTTAGTAATTTGCAAATGAAATTTTCGAGTGCAATTTGCTGTAAAATTTTTGTTTCTTAATATGAAGTATTTGTAATTATTAATCTAAAGAGCATATAATTAATCCCTGGACTACAATTCCTACCTGTCTAAATAGATGAAAACGCTTGTTGCATTGAGGTTAAATAGGAATTTTTAAAATGAACACATAATGTTAGAAACCTTTCTATGTAAAGACAGTTCCAATTTTTATGGTCTTATAATAAGAAAATTATTACTTTGTTTAGTCAAGAAGCCTACATAACATCCAATGTATCGTGTACTTTCAGTGCAAAACTTAGCATTGAGTCCCCAATGGAGATTATACAGCAGCAGCTCCATCTCTCCACACGTTTGTCCATGGCATCAGCTCGTAAAATGTTGACCAATCTCTTGATGTGGCGGCCATTAGATCTGACTGAAATAGTTGGCCCTCAGCTGCAGAGATCATTCCAGTTCTGGAGAAGTGAAAGAATCATAGGTTAGGTTGGTTTTTATCATTCTAATCAGAGCCTCGTGAGAATTTTATTAAAAACAAATAGAAGTATTATTAAAAATGTAGTAAAATAAAACCCTTTTATATTCTTTGTCAGAATGATTTCCTCCCCTCCACTGCATAAATACAGTTTTTATTACCCCTTTTAGAATACTGTAGAAAACTTTGTTTATCTTGATGTTCATTTGAGTAAGGTTTGTTTAGTGGTGTTGTTTTAAAAGTCTTTATACTTAATGATTGTTTATCTTTTGACTTGTTCTCTTTAGAATCTGATACAGCTATTCTCCAGTGGAAGCTTGCGGTCTCAGTGCCTGACAGTGCACACTCCACCATAGAGAAGGATTACTTTGTCAACTGGGTTAAAGCTAAGCTGTGCCGAAATAATGATAAGGAGAACCTTCTGAAACAGACCCCACCCTATCAGGTTTATATCTGTCATTCAGTTTTTTTTTAGTTTATAATGATAGGTAGAACCTTCTAAAGCAGACCCCACCCTATCAGGTTTATATCTGTCATTCAGTTTTTTTTTAGTTTATAATGATAGGTAGAACCTTCTAAAGCAGACCCCACCCTATCAGGTTTATATCTGTCATTCAGTTTTTTTTTAGTTTATAATGATAGGTAGAACCTTCTAAAGCAGACCCCACCCTATCAGGTTTATATCTGTCATTCAGTTTTTTTTTAGTTTATAATGATAGGTAGAACCTTCTAAAGCAGACCCCACCCTATCAGGTTTATATCTGTCATTCAGTTTTTTTTTAGTTTATAATGATAGGTAGAACCTTCTAAAGCAGACCCCACCCTATCAGGTTTATATCTGTCATTCAGTTTTTTTTTAGTTTATAATGATAGGTAGAACCTTCTAAAGCAGACCCCACCCTATCAGGTTTATATCTGTCATTCAGTTTTTTTTTAGTTTATAATGATAGGTAGAACCTTCTAAAGCAGACCCCACCCTATCAGGTTTATATCTGTCATTCAGTTTTTTTTTAGTTTATAATGATAGGTAGAACCTTCTAAAGCAGACCCCACCCTATCAGGTTTATATCTGTCATTCAGTTTTTTTTTAGTTTATAATGATAGGTAGAACCTTCTAAAGCAGACCCCACCCTATCAGGTTTATATCTGTCATTCAGTTTTTTTTTAGTTTATAATGATAGGTAGAACCTTCTAAAGCAGACCCCACCCTATCAGGTTTATATCAGTCATTCAGTTTTTTTTTTTAGTTTATAATGATAGGTAGAACCTTCTAAAGCAGACCCCACCCTATCAGGTTTATATCTGTCATTCAGTTTGTTTGTTTTTAGTTTATGATAGGGAGAACTTTCTAAAGCAGACCCCACCCTATCAGGTTTATATCCGTCATTCTGTTGTTTTTTTTTTTAGTTTATAATGATAGGGAGAACCTTCTGAAGCAGACCCCACCCTATCAGGTTTATATCTGTCATTCTGTTTTGTTTTTTTTTAGTTTATAATGATAGGGAGAACCTTCTGAAGCAGACCCCACCCTATCAGGTTTATATCCGTCATTCTGTTTTTTTTTTTTTTAGTTTATAATGATAGGGAGAACCTTCTGAAGCAGACCCCACCCTATCAGGTTTATATCCGTCATTCTGTTTTTTTTTTAGTTTATAATGATAGGGAGAACCTTCTGAAGCAGACCCCACCCTATCAGGTTTATATCCGTCATTCTGTTTTTTTTTTTTTTAGTTTATAATGATAGGGAGAACCTTCTGAAGCAGACCCCACCCTATCAGGTTTATATCTGTCATTCTGTTTTTTTTTTTTTAGTTTATAATGATAGGTAGAACCTTCTAAAGCAGACCCCACCCTATCAGGTTTATATCTGTCATTCAGTTGGTTTTTTTTTTTAGTTTATAATGATAGGGAGAACCTTCTGAAGCAGACCCCACCCTATCAGGTTTATATCTGTCATTCAGTTGGTTTTTTAAGTTTATAATGATAGGGAGAACCTTCTAAAGCAGACCCCACCCTATCAGGTTTATATCTGTCATTCAGTTGGTTTTTTTAAGTTTATAATGATAGGGAGAACCTTCTGAAGCAGACCCCACCCTATCAGGTTTATATCTGTCATTCAGTTGGTTTTTTTTTAGTTTATAATGATAGGGAGAACCTTCTAAAGCAGACCCCACCTTATCAGGTTTATATCTGTCATTCAGTTTGTTTTTTTTTAGTTTATAATGATAGGGAGAACCTTCTGAAGCAGACCCCACCCTATCAGGTTTATATCTGTCATTCAGTGGTTTTTTTTTAGTTTATAATGATAGGGAGAACCTTCTGAAGCAAACCCCACCCTATCAGGTTTATATCTGTCATTCAGTGGTTTTTTTTTAGTTTATAATGATAGGGAGAACCTTCAGACCCCACCCTATCAGGTTTATATCTGTCATTCAGTTTTTTTTTTAGTTTATAATGATAGGGAGAACCTTCTAAAGCAGACCCCACCCTATCAGGTTTATATCTGTCATTCAGTTGTTGTTTTTAGTTTATAATGATAGGGAGAACCTTCTGAAGCAGACCCCACCCTATCAGGTTTATATCTGTCATTCAGTTGTTGTTTTTAGTTTATAATGATAGGGAGAACCTTCTGAAGCAGACCCCACCCTATCAGGTTTATATCTGTCATTCTGTTGTGTTTTTTTTAGTTTATAATGATAGGGAGAACCTTCTGAAGCAGACCCCACCCTATCAGGTTTATATCTGTCATTCAGTTGTTGTTTTTTTTTTAGTTTATAATGATAGGGAGAACCTTCTGAAGCAGACCCCACCCTATCAGGTTTATATCTGTCATTCAGTTTTTTTTTTTTTTAGTTTATAATGATAGGGAGAACCTTCTAAAGCAGACCCCACCCTATCAGGTTTATATCTGTCATTCAGTTGTTGTTTTTTTTTTAGTTTATAATGATAGGTAGAACCTTCTAAAGCAGACCCCACCCTATCAGGTTTATATCTGTCATTCTGTTGTTGTTTTTTTTTTTTAGTTTATAATGATAGGGAGAACCTTCTAAAGCAGACCCCACCCTATCAGGTTTATATCAGTCATTCAGTTGGTTTTTTTTTAGTTTATAATGATAGGGAGAACCTTCAGACCCCACCCTATCAGGTTTATATCCGTCATTCTGTTGTGTTTCTTTTAGTTTATAATGATAGGGAGAACCTTCTAAAGCAAACCCCACCCTATCAGGTTTATATCTGTCATTCAGTTGGTTTTCTAAGTTTATAATGATAGGGAGAACCTTCTGAAGCAAACCCCACCCTATCAGGTTTATATCTGTCATTCAGTGGTTTTTTTTTAGTTTATAATGATAGGGAGAACCTTCTAAAGCAGACACCACCCTATCAGGTTTATATCCGTCATTCAGTTGTGTTTCTTTTAGTTTATAATGATAGGGAGAACCTTCTGAAGCAGACCCCACCCTATCAGGTTTATATCTGTCATTCTGTTGTTGTTTTTTTTTTAGTTTATAATGATAGGGAGAACCTTCTAAAGCAGACCCCACCCTATCAGGTTTATATCAGTCATTCTGTTGGTTTTTTTTTAGTTTATAATGATAGGGAGAACCTTCTGAAGCAGACCCCACCCTATCAGGTTTATATCTGTCATTCAGTTGTTGTTTTTTTTTTAGTTTATAATGATAGGGAGAACCTTCTAAAGCAGACCCCACCCTATCAGGTTTATATCTGTCATTCTGTTGTTGTTTTTTTTTTAGTTTATAATGATAGGGAGAACCTTCTAAAGCAGACCCCACCCTATCAGGTTTATATCTGTCATTCAGTTGGTTTTTTTTTTAGTTTATAATGATAGGGAGAACCTTCAGACCCCACCCTATCAGGTTTATATCCGTCATTCTGTTGTGTTTCTTTTAGTTTATAATGATAGGGAGAACCTTCTAAAGCAAACCCCACCCTATCAGGTTTATATCAGTCATTCTGTTGTTTTTTTTTTTAGTTTATAATGATAGGGAGAACCTTCTAAAGCAGACCCCACCTTATCAGGTTTATATCTGTCATTCAGTTGTTTTTTTTTTAGTTTATAATGATAGGGAGAACCTTCTGAAGCAGACCCCACCCTATCAGGTTTATATCTGTCATTCAGTTTTTTTTTTTTTAGTTTATAATGATAGGGAGAACCTTCTGAAACAGACCCCACCCTATCAGGTTTATATCTGTCATTCAGTTGGTTTTTTTTTTAGTTTATAATGATAGGGAGAACCTTCTGAAGCAGACCCCACCCTATCAGGTTTATATCTGTCATTCAGTTGGTTTTTTAAGTTTATAATGATAGGGAGAACCTTCTGAAGCAGACCCCACCCTATCAGGTTTATATCTGTCATTCAGTTGGTTTTTTTTTAGTTTATAATGATAGGGAGAACCTTCTGAAGCAAACCCCACCCTATCAGGTTTATATCTGTCATTCAGTTGGTTTTTTTTTAGTTTATTTACATTTAATTTTGCTTATTTTAGAATAAATTAATTTGGTTAGGGTTAGGTCCTGAAAGTCATGGTTTCAAGCATCCAGTTTTAGTGTATACAGAGTGTATTCAGAGTGGGTCTGAATTAGAGTGTTAAAAAGTACCTCCTGTTTAGCTGGTTTGTGTTAGACCAATGCTCCTTAAAGAGCAGTAAAGGATGAAGTGTGTTAAGTAAGAGATTAATGACAGTAGAATAAAACCATTTTCTCCACTGTGGCCATGTTTAATGAAGAGGTAAAGAAGAGTTACGATGTTGTTTAGAGTGAATGATGAAAATATTGTTACTATTATCTGCAGGGCCAAGTCCTGACGCTCCAGCATAAAAAACTGACCAGTCAAAGGTTTTCAGCCACATCACTGGGCCTGTGTGTCCGCTACTTTCGTGGGGTCTGGAATGATATACAGGAGCTTGATGTACTCAAAAAGGATGTGCTTAAAGGAACAAGTGCTCTACTGTTTATTACCTCAAACACAGAAGATCCATTGATGAAAAACTCTATAAAAGTAATGTGAAAGAATCTTCATTTAAATAATAATTTGTTATTCAGTTTTCTGTTATTGAAAATATATTCAAAACTAAACTAAAAAAATATTATTTCTTGATCTCTATGAATTACCTACCACTTTGTAACAAGATTTCCTTATTCCACATTTTCAAAATAAATCCTGTTTTAGAACTATGTCTTTATTATTAAATTGTTATTTTATTAAAATGTAGATTTTTTTTTTTAATAACAGCAAATATGAACAAATATTTTTAACTATCATTCACATTATTTTTCAAAATTTACGTACCTATAACTCTTGTAACTATTAAAACCTTTTGATACATTACAGGAAAGTATATGGCAAAAGGACAGAAAGAGACTACATCAGCTGGTAAAGCAGAAACGCCGAGATCCTGCAGTGCCATTGATAATCATTGTTCCCAGGGTCAGCCAAGATGAAGTCTCCCTGGAAGTCCTTGACGAGAAGCTTGAGCTGAACTCACTCCATCAGCAAAATTGTTTGTCTGCTGTGCACATAGCTCAGCCATTGGTCAGCAGCAGAGAAAGATTGTTGGAACACTTTGATGACTGGACAGTACAGGTAAGGGAGATAATGATGTTAATTGTCTTCAAATTAAAAAATGATTGTCTCGTTATATAATTTTTTAATTCTACTTTACATTTTAATAAATAATATAATTTTAAATTAATGTCCCAAGATAATTTTATGTGTTGTATATCTTTAATAGATTTCTTTTTTAAAACTAGTATTTTTCATTTTGTCACTAAATAGAATATACTATTGTGTTTAAATACTTATCTAAATTTTAACCACCATTTTCCAGCTGACAAACTGTCTCCACTTTGCTGCCAATAACTTCCCCCCACCTCCCAAACTTCGTGTGAAACCAGTGTCAGACTACATAGAAGATGCAGTGGTTGAGTTTTTCAAGGCCCCTGTGTACCAAGACCTGCGCACCAGGACGAAGCATCAGCTGTTGCACCAGGTACATTTGTTGTGAATATAGTCCTAGATAAACACATATATTCAACAAAGTTTCGTTGTCTTTCAGATTTAACATCTCTAGACAACCTGAGATTATGCATATGTATAATTTATCTTCAGCAAAGTATGTTCTTTTTCAAACCTGATATTCGGGTAGTTACTGCTTTTCCTTTTCATACAAAGGGTCAGCACTATGCCCAACCACATTTACTTTTTCCTGACTAAATAGATTACCTTTCAGACCAGTGTGGACTAAGACAAATGTGGAGCAATGGATTTGATTTTGCAAACTTATATATTGTTTCCAAATATACAATATTTACTCAAAGCTTATAACCTCTTTTATTGTTTGTTTTCTTTTTAATATAAACGAGCCGTATCATACGCTGCTATTTAGTTGTTTTATTTTCTACTTTTCAGTAATTCATAATTTGTGAATTCGACAGTACCAATGTTGTCACTGAAAATATTTGCTTTAAAATACTATCAGTTGGTCGTTAAGGACGATAACCCCCCCCCCCTTTCCCCCCCCCCCCCCGTGAAAGCAGCCTCCTCTTAATCCCCTCCCCTAAGTTTTAAATAGTTTCAAACTAAAGTATCTGCCCCTAATAGGAGTCACTAAACCCGGCTCTATGATTATAAACATTTAGCGTGAACCACCGCTCACCAGACCATGTTGGGGTGGGGGAATTGATTTATGCCTAGTGAAGAAGAGAGGGGACTGCAAGGCGTGCTTACAGCTTGTTTTCTAGCGTCTCCCAGAAGAGAATTATATATATAGATTTACATTTGCCTTCTTTTTTGGGTCAAACTGAAATAAAGCATTGGATTATATTACAATCCCCCAACACACTCCTCTCACTCAGTTTATAAATTTATCTTGATGTCAAACTTAAATAAAAAAATTGGATTATACATTTATCATTATCTTTGGTGCCAAACCTAAACAAAATACACAATTATATTTTTATACCTACAGTCCCCCAACACTCTCCTCTCCCTCTACAATGATGTCATTGAACACACAGCCATGACAGCTGCAACTGGTTCACTCACTGACATGTCGTGGCCTGCACCAGAATTTGACGACAGCTCCAATAAAAGTAGGATTGGATACAAATTGTTTAGTTTTAGTTAGATATCTAATTCTGGGATTTGATTATTGAGATTCCAAGTTTAAATCTTGGGTTTTGATTTAGATCTTTTAAGACTTTTTTTATCCATTCAGCTCTAATTAGTTTCATCAGTTAAGTAAAATTTATTTTTGTCACTAAACAATTATAAAAGTTACCAATCCATACAGTAAATGTGTAAGATATTCATTTAATACATGTGGCAAATATATATATTTATATATTTGTTAATCAAGTAAACAATTGTTACATTGTTTTCTTACCCTTTTGTAATTTGAATTAAATTTTTTTTTAGAAGATATTCAGTCCGTATGGAACACTGAAGGCCATCTGTGTGACCTCAATGAGCTGATAGCCAAAGTGAGGCTGCCCTACTTTCGCTACAGTGACATGGAGGCAGAGAGCTGGTCCACTGTATGTGAAGATGTCTGGTCTTACATCCACAACCTCACCAAGAAAGACAGCGGCTCAGCCAAGATCAAGCTATTCCAACAGTCAGTCACCATTTCTTTTTGTAGTCAATCTTTATCTAGTTAACCATTATATCATTTATTGTTTTCACATTTTAACCTTTAACCATTATATCGTTTATTGTTTTCACATTTTAACCTTTACTACATATAGTAAATGTTTCTGTAGTTAACCATAATATAATTTATTGCATAATATAATTTATTGCTTTCACGTATTAACATTTTCCTACATGTAGTAAATATTTATGTAGTTAACCATAATATAATATATTGCTTTCACGTTTTAACCCATTCTTAAATGTAGTAATTTTTCTGTAGTTAACTATCTTTTATTTATTGGTAATACATTTTAACATGTTATGTATTACCAAATTTACTTATAGCTTCAAAACTATACATAGTTTTCAGATATTTCATAAAATATTAATTATCATTACTAAAAGTTAAAACAAATTAAAACTATCTTGTTTTAAATTTTATTTTCAAATTCTGAAATAATTTTTGTTAAACCCTAATTTTTAAAAATCGTCTTGGGCACTGTTATGACACATGTCCTTTTAGCCATTATAAATCAGGCTTCTGTTGATCTTGTTTACAGAGTTGTCACCCTTCTCTCGCGAGTGAAGAAAACCTTTGATCAGTTCTGCTGGCTAGTGATGGAAGACGGCCCGTGTGAGCCAACCTACATGAACATGGCCTGGACTGACTTTATTGACGCCTGCATACATTACAGGATGGTCACCCTCAGGACTGGACATATCACCATCAGGAGACCAGTAAGTTATACATTTATACTGAATCTTTTAAATAAATTCTTATATAGAGGTTGGTAACTATCTCAGGCTTGTACATATCACCATCAGGAGACCAGTAAGTTATACGTTTATACTGAATCTTTTAAATAATTTCTTATATAGAGGTTGGTAACTACCTCAGGACTGTACATATCACCATCAGGAGACCAGTAAGTTATACGTTTATACTGAATCTTTTAAATAAATTCTTATATAGAGGTTGGTAACTATCTCAGGCTTGTACATATCACCATCAGGAGACCAGTAAGTTATACGTTTATACTGAATCTTTTAAATAATTTCTTATATAGAGGTTGGTAACTATCTCAGGACTGGACACATCACCATCAGGAGACCAGTAAGTTATACGTTTATACTGAATCTGTCTTATAAATAATTTCTTATATAGAGGTTGGTAACTACCTCAGGACTGGACACATCACCATCAGGAGACCAGTAAGTTATACGTTTATACTGAATCTGTCTTATAAATAATTTCTTATATAGAGGTTGGTAACTATCTCAGGACTGTACATATTACCATCAGGAGACCAATAAGTTATACATTTATACTGAATCTGTCTTATAAAGAATTTCTAATATAGAGGTTTGTAACTACCTAGGCTAAATTTACTGTCTGTTGAGCTGAATGAAATTTTTAACACTAATATAAACTCTTATTTTTTCTCAGTAGTATTAGACATGTTTCATATTACTGTGAGTTGATTTTACAAGTTGTCATTTTATAAAATATCTATCAGTAAGGATTGGAAACTATAATTTTCTACCATCCCATTATTTTCCCAGCACTATTATCTTTGCCTGTCCTGTCACTATGAGGGTTGAATCAAGTCAGTTTAGGTTTATTTGCAAAACAAAACGAACCTATCACTATGCCATTAAGAGCTAGCAATGAATAAAATTGAACAATGAAAATCTTTCATTTCTTTCACAGGAAGAAGAAGCTGATGAAACAGTGGATGAAGGGGATGAGAAAGAGGAAGAATTTGAGGAAGTCCTAGTGTACTATCAAGAGGATGAGCTAGATGACTGGGAGCCACCCAGAGTTTGGGAGGATGCTTTGAGGGATACAGAAACAGCAGGTTCTTGTTCTTAACTTCTACGTTAAATAATTTATAACCATCAGGATCACAATTTCAGATTCAAACATTACATAATTTTTTTTATTATCATCTTTTTTTTAAAAAAAAAATATAGTATAGTTACCACGAGGATGTTGCTATTAAAAGCTTGTCAGTTACCTGTTAAATTAAGGTTTACCCTGTATAAGCATTTGTTTAATGAAAGTTTTTTGTCTTGCTTTAGAAATAGGGCAGATAAAACCAACAGTTATACAGGCAGCCGCCCGTGGCAAAAATTCTGTGAACGTTACCACCGTCCATTCATCTCAACACCTGAGTGAAAGTAATACCGTTACAGGTACACATTCTATTCACAATATTTCAAATCTTTTTAAACTATAAGCTATATTAAATAATAGAGTTTTTTAGAGTCTTTTTATTTTAATCCTATAACTCACAAAGTATTAGGGCGCAATTTTAAAACAAATTGCTGGTGCATTGGGAATTTTTAAAATGTAGATTGAATGTAATTTTAATACAAACTTAACCATAATGTAATAAATTGAGTGGGACAGCATGGCCTAAGCGGTTGAGCGCTAGGCTGCTAACCGTAAACTCTCAAGTTCGAATCCAGGTTCAAGTCAGTAGAATGTCCCTTAGTCCACCCAGCTCTGATGGGTACCTAACTCATGTTAGGTAAAGTAAAGGCGGCTGGGTAAAATGCTAATTACACCTCCTCTTAATATGTTGTCGCCAAGAAATGTATGAACTACTTCATCTGCCCAATGGATCTCTAGGTCCAAAGAGGATTCATTACATAAATTATACATCACACATATTAAATGTTCCTGTATTACAAAATAATCCTTCATAAACATACACAAAATATAGAGTAATCCTACAGGTATGATCATCGTTTAATATTTATCATTGAAGTTTATTCATTGATTAGGAAAAAAAACACTTTCCTTTGACAGTGAGAAAATCTGACTCAACAGTTGTAACAGATTCAGGGTCCTCAGATTGGCTCGCTATGAAGGACAAGTTTGAACAGGAACGAGCCGCCGCCCTGAAATATGAACAGACCCTCAAGTCCCTGTTGCTGGACGGTCCACCAAGGCCCACCACCCCCAGCCACGACCACCTCCTGGCCACAGAGGTCACGCCCATCTACAGGGACGACGACAGGGTCAGGCCGGTCAGGTGGGTGGTCCCGTCAACCCCACTCAGTCGACACAGTGGCGCGGGAGCTAAAACACCCCAGCCTACGCAGGTTACCCCACCACAGAACTTGACCGCCAGGCTTAACTCCCCTCTCTTTCCTCAACAAGGCGTCATAGAAGACGACATCCTGGGGCCATCTTTGTCTGAAAGGATTTCTGACCTGAAATTTAAGGTCCAAAGTGAGATGCAGGCGGATGTTTTGTTTGAGCTGAAACTACGAAGTTTACTGGATCGTCCTATTTAACACTAGTGCTATTGCCATTTTTCTATACGTACAACTTGAATTTATTTGTTGTTGTCTTTGTTTTATACTCGTTATTACCTGACGAATGTATGTAAATATTTTGTTTTTTACATAGCTTTAAACAATTTAGAGTAAAATATTTGGTATTTGATGAATAAATTCCCTACTCAACAAAGTGTTCAACCATTTTTGTTTTAGAATTTCACTATTGAGTAGGTTACATTATCTGGTTCAAATCCTGGTATAGAGATTACAGAACATGATGTGTAATGTGTTAGTAACTGAAGTAATGGTTAACTAGAGCAATCAACATGAAAGGCTGTGAGGGCATGGCAAAAAATCAAATAAGGCGTATAACAGAATTTTAATATTAAAAAAAATGCTTGGTGGTGGTACTTATAATAAACCGGTAGTGATCTCCCCTAAACTTTCTCGAATATTCTTATATAAAACAACAGGGGATGGTAACTGGGGATATAGTTATGATTTTTAATCCATTTTAAATACTTAAACTTTTAAAAATAGAATAGAATCTCATAAAAAAAACATTGCGCACCAAGCAAACGCCGAATAAAAAAGCGTATAATAGTGCGCAATATTATTAGTACTTTAAAAATTTACATTAGTTTTTTGAGAAATCGGAAGTAGCGTAAATTACTACTTCCAGTCAACGGAAATTACTCAAAATTTAACAGAAGGTAGAGAATTAGATTTTTTACTTACATGTGAAATTTCATTTATCTATCTGAAATAGTACTCAAGTTATAGGCTTTTGAAAAATTCAAAGTAGGAAAAGTACCACTTCCGGTTATCGGAAATCGCTCAAAAGTTGATACGGATCTACGATTTTGATAAAATACTTATATATGAAATTTCATCAACCTAGCTGTAACGGTACTCAAGTTATCGTGTTTACACACGGACAGACACACACACAGACAGACACACACACACACAGACATACGGACAAGATTGCAAAATTATGTTTTTCCGTATCAGTGAGGTGTAAAACGTCGAGATTTGTAAAAATCTCGATTTTTTTTTTTGCACGATTACAATACTTTCTCTATACTACGTATATACGAGAAAGTAAAAAGGATTGTTCTTGAGTTTATCATCAAACACTTGCAACATCGTCCTTAGAGATAACATCATCGTCCTTAAAGATAACATCATCCTTAGAGATAACATCAAACGAGTAGCTGCTAATTTTAGACACGTCCACTATTACGAACAATTTGAGAGCCTAGGTTTTTCTTAGATTTATCTCCTCAAGTAAATTTACAGGCGTCTGTATATTAAAGTCACCCTTTTAAATATTGCGGGTCCGTGGGGGTACATCAGGTAGACTTCAGTTATTTCGGTGACCTTGGCATATGAAGGTCAGCTTTTAATGCCAGCCGCGATTACTTCCCCTAACGTGAGTCTGGTGCCCATCAGAGCTGGGTGGACTCAAGGACGTTGACATGCTCCGAACTCGAAGTTTTCGAGGTTGCAAGTTGTGTGCTCTAATAACCGACCATGGCGTTGATATGTGATTTAACAACAAAAATATTTAAAGGCTGACGTTAAGGATCAGCTCCAATGCTTTACCGAAACCACTGATGACTGCGACTTCCATGAAGGTATTGGATCCATATACAGCTTCAGGTGTAACTTCCAAATCTACCGCTTTTTTTTAATGCCTCGTTGTTGAGTTTCAAGAAACACAGGCTAAGAAAATTAATAGACATTTAATTGGAGATTTATTATATTTCTTAAATCCGGGTAGCGCCTAGTCTGTGATGCTTGATAAAAACACAAGTCACGGTATTGTACAGACACGTTTTCACAAAGGCCAGTGAAAGGCCTGGCCGACAAGTATATATAAATGTATGTATGTATATATATCAGTGGCGTAGGCAGGGGGGGGGGTTAGGGGGGTCATAACCCCCCCATAGACCCCTCGGTATATATAAAAAGTATGAGGGGGGGTGCAAATCGAAAGTTTGAGGGGGGGGGGGGGAGGTGCAAATCAAAAGTTTGAGGGGGGGGTGCAAATCGAAAGTTTGAGGGGGGGGGGGTGCAAATCAAAAGTTTGAGGGGGGGGGGTGCAAATCGAAAGTTTGTCCCCGGGTAAAAATTGGAATCCCCCCCTTGAGACGATCCTGGCTACGCCACTGATATATATATATATATATATATATATATATATATATATATATATATATATATATATGTTTATATATAAATATATATATATAACACGTATATAATACGCTTCTATAATTTTCCTTAGAGAGCGGATCACGCCCTTGTGTGTAGCAGATTACAAAAAGATAATTACCTCCCTGTATGGAGCGTTTAGAAAATTTAAAAAAAAAAACAACTTTAATCTATAGCCTATTCATCCACATTTTGCATTCATAACAATTTTTTCAATTACTTTATTGTAGCTGCTTTTAGCTGTCATGTTATGTAGATGTTCCTCTTTAATATGTCACTATCTGTAGACATTTACCTCTTATATCTGTCACTATCAATAGACATTTACCTCTTATATCTGTCACTATCTGTAGACATTTTCCTCTTATATCTGTCACTATCTATAGACATTTACCTCTTATATCTGTCACTATCTATATACATTTTCCTCTTATATCTGTCACTATCTATAAACATTTACCTCTTATATCTGTCACTATCTGTAGACTGTTTCCTTGCATGATAGATAACTGCAGCACAACATATAACGCACCGGAGCGAGGATATCATGAAAACAGAAAGCTTCTTCTATTGAGTTCAAAACTTGGATATTCTCGATGACACAAAACCAGCTGATAGATAGTTGTTCTCTGACTTTTTTTTCCAGAGTCTCTTTCATGCATTTCTTCGGGTTCTCCTCCCCCCCCCCCCCCTCCAAACCTGAGAACTTCTATTCCCACCCCCAAACGAAATAGAATTTATAAAGTAAAAATATACTTTTACCTGCCCCCCCCCCCCCCCGGAAAATTTAGTCCACCCCCTCCCCCCCCCCCTTTTTTTAAAAATGATTGCAGGGGTAAACTGAAGTGTACTTAAATGATGTCACGTGGTGACTTTCCCGGTAAACGGAACTCCGAAAATCCCGTTGCTAAATATAGCCGGATGGGAGTCGTTAGTAATTCTTAATTCACCGCTAGATACATCAGTTTCCTACGACGCGGAGAGCTATGTAAGTAAAGTTTGTACACAATCAATATGTAAGTAAAGTTTGTACACAATCAATATGTAAGTAAAGTTTGTACACAATCAATATGTAAGTAAAGTTTGTACACAATCAATATGTAAGTAAAGTTTGTACACAATCAAAATATAAGTAAAGTTTGTACACAATATGTAAGTAAATTGTGTACACAATATGTAAGTAAAGCTTGTACACAATATGTAAGTAAAGTTTGTACACAATATGTAAGTAAAGTTTGTACACGATATGTAAATAAAGTTTGTACACAATATGTAAGTAAAGTTTGTACACAATATGTAAGTAAAGTTTGTACACACTATGTAAGTAAAGTTTGTACACATTACGTGAGCACAGTTTGTACACAATATGTAAGTAAAGTTTTTACACCATATGTAAGTGAAGTTTTTTACACAATATGTAAGTAAAGTTTGTACACAATATGTAAGTAAAATGTTTCCAAACAAACTTGATCTAGGCCAAGATATAAAGCACGGGACGGCGTGGCATAGCGGTAGAGCGCTAGACTGCTAACCGCAAAATCTCGAGTTCGTATCCGGGTCAAAGTCACCTTTACTTTCTCTAACTTGAGTCAGGTACCCATCAGAGTCGGGTGGATTTAAGGACGTCTAAACACCAGAGGCGTAGCGAAGGGGGCAGGGGGTACATATGTCCCCGGGCGCCGACCTTAGGGGGCGCCAAAATGGGTTGGAAAAACAAATTAAAATCTCATTTTAGGTGCAGTTTTGCATTATAAATATAAACAAGTTAATAAAAAGTCTAGTGACAATTTAAGCGCAATTTCCTTATGTTATCCATAACAATTTTAAATCGAGATAAATCATATATTCAGCAAATAAATAATGCAACACAAGTAGTTTTAATAATTCAAAACAAAATAGAAAAAATATTTATTAACGAGATTTAAAAAAATTTGCGGACGTTTAGGGGTATTTAGTTGTCGCGCTCTCTATATTGCAATATAGTACTGTAGTGTATTATGTTTAATGTAATTTAAAAAAAAATTGTGACCGAACGAAAGGATATTTTTGAAAACTTTCAAATATAAATATGTAAATGTTTCAAGTCGCTAAGTGGTCTGGTTGCCGAGATATGGGCCAAAAACTGCATTTTTTCGAGTTTTTTTTGCTTTTCCGGGAAATCCAGGAAGGAATTCCGGGAATTTTTTTGGCCCACAATCATCCTCGGAACTTGCTTAACATATTTGCTTTTGGAACTAGTCCTCGATATTGCTTCGTTGAGGAGGAGATACGACTTAAAGCTGCGGTAAAGCTGCGGACACACATCCAGAAATGACGAATTAATAATCGCAATTCCAGTATGGAAATTGCGCTAAAAATATATGGGGGGGGGGGACGCAAATGGAAAGTTTGTCCCCGGGCGCCGGGAAGGGTCGCTAAGCCTCTGCTAAACACTCGAGCCCGGGATCCGAACTCGAGACATTCGGGATAGCAGTCGAACGCTCTACCATTCGACCACGAAGTCCAACACTTTAAGTAGGACAGGACGTCAAACTTTTTTTAAAGAAATAGGTCGGAGCTCAAATTTTAAAGTAGATGAAATATATTTATAAAACCCACTTAGCGGACCACACAAGCTCATTGGACGCCCCCGACCACCACTAAGGGATATCCCGTTTAAGTACATCCGTTTTTTTTTAAAAATATCTCATGATACGACGGTCTGATAAAAAGTTAGTGCTCGCAGTGCAAGGTACGCTTGGTGCAGGATGTGCTTCAGGTTGTGATGCACTACGTTCTCAGAAAATAAATACATACACATGTATAGGCTATATATATATATATATATATATATATATATATATAAAGAGAGAGAATATATATATATATATATATATAATATATTCTCTCTCTTTATATATATATATATATATATATATATATATATATAATATATTCTCTCTCTTTATATATATATATATATATATATATATATATAATATATTCTCTCTCTTTATATATATATATATATATATATATATATATATATATATATATATATATACATATATATATATATATATATATATATATATATATATATATATATATATATATAATATATTCTCTCTCTTTATATATATATATATATATATATATATATATATATAATATAATATATTCTCTCTCTTTATATATATATATATATATATATATATATATATATATATATATATATATATATATATATATATATATATATATATATATATATATATATATATTGGTTATTACTATCTCCCAAACACCCAAATGCCATGACTATATGGACACAGTTCGAAAAAATGTCACATTATAAAACAAATAAAACTAACTCTACCAAACCCGGTTATTGCAATGCAAGTTCCAACTAAAGCCATCCCAGAAATACAACTCAAGACAGGTAAACCATACCATACTGGGATTTTTTTCCTGGTAGAATAGAACAAAACTTGGTTTCTCAAATCCGGTATTCGTTCTTATTCAAACCTATCAAAGAACAACCTACACCCTGCCATGTAGAACAACAACGTTGTGTTTTGTGCTATTCGTCACACACGATCGCAACCATCAATTGTAACAAACTCATTTCGTTGAGCGAGGCTGACAGCGAGATACACAACCCTGACAACAGCTGCTGCCTGATAATTTAGGATTGTGTAGGACACTGCAGCTTGTTAATGTTAATCACTTTATGTTTATGGTGTTGGATGCTGCACAAAGTCCCTCGTAAACAACTGTCATGCGTATAATAAAAAGGTATTTTAATGACGTTTGAAGCAGCTGTTTGTGAATTTTTTTATTTGATTAGCTAATTGGATTTAAAGAAATTTCTTAATAAAAGTATATGCATAAACGGTGTTTTTCACAAACGGATTTGAATGAAAACGACCTCGATTTGGAAGACATTCTAGATAAATAAAATACTTGATTTTTTTTTTAAATATGTGTTTATTGTCGATTTCAAACATTTACTTATGTAGTGTTGAATAACATCTTTCATCTTAGGAATTGTAAAATAACTGGTGACATTTTTCATATCTATTTGGTTATCCATTTTAATAAATATACACCTATATCAATACCAACACATACTCCTACACACACCTACACTTACACGAACACCAAATGATCTAATCAAAATACCGACTTCTCACTCTGTTTGCATTAAGATTCGTGTAAAAAAATATTAGTTACACTTTTAGACGACATAGCAGTTTCTTTTTTGAAGATCCTCCATTTTTGTCACTTTTGTTAGGCAATGAAATAGATCTAGATGAAATGTTTCCAAACAATTAAATAAAGGATAATCCATAAATGACGTCAAGCTTTTTTTTTTGACGATTTTTACCTACCCCATCCTTTCCGTCACACATCGTCACAACAAGTCAGACCCTCCCCCTTAAAATGACGCCACACCTCAGCCTACAACCCCCCCCCCTCCGTACCTTAAAATTGCAGTTGAATTTTTTTTTAAAGATCGATATTTTTCCGAAATCTTGTCTGAACTCTGTGAACATTGAGTATTTTAATCAATCCCTATTACATTTATTAAACACTTTTCTAAAACGCGAAATAACGGCTAGAACTCGTTTTCTAACATTGCTTTTTTATAATGCAAAATACCCCCCCCCCCACCCCTCCCCCTCATCACAACAAGCCAGACCCCCCCCCCTTAAAATGACGCCACACCTTAGCCTACAACCCCCCCCCCCTCCGTACCTCAAAATTGCAGTTGAATTTTTTTTTTAAAGATCGATATTTTTCCGAAATCTTGTCTGAACTCTGTGAACATTGAGTATTTTAATCAATCCCTATTACATTTATCAAACACTTTTCTAAAACGCGAAATAACGGCTAGAACTCGTTTTCTAACATTGCTTTTTTATAATGCAAAATACCCCCCACCCCCCCCCCCCCACCCCACCCCTCTCCCTCATCACACACCGTCAGAAAATTTCGCCCCCCCCCCTCTACGATTGTGACATCATTTATGGACGATCCCTAAGTAGTAATAAGCAATATCAAAAGTTTTTTGCAGTCTAATAATAGTGTCAAAAAGAAAATCAATAATCAGAGTTCGAATTGCTTTTTTTTTTTATTTCCCCAACATTATTTAAATTTTCTTAATTTTAAAATTATTATTCGTTTCCCCCAGGAATTTTGCGCTAACCTGTATAGTTGTCCTGGCAACTTGTGCAGACCTGGCCAGGTCAACGTGTTCTATGTCAGACCAAATCTGTGAATTTTGGCTGGAGATTGAAAACAAGCTCACCATGATGGCCGACAAAGACGCCGTCTACCCAGCCAATGGGAAGCTGTATAAATATGACGTCACCAACACTAGCGCTGCAGTACCGATTGACCCAATACACGTCATCACGGCGGACGGCTGGGAGAAATCTCGGCTGGTGATAGTGGTCAACAAAACAATGCCAGGGCCGCCTATTGAGGTAGGTGAAAGGGCCACTTAAAGATGTAGATATAAGGGTTGCGTATTGGGGTAGATGTAGGGGCTGATAGAGAAGTAGGTATATGGGACAACTATGGGACGGAGTGGTCTAGCGGTAGAGAGCTGGACTGCTAACCCGTAAGTCTCGAGTTCGAATCCGGGTTCAAGTCAGTAGACCGTCCTGAGTCCACCCAACTCACGTTGGGAAAAGTAAAGGCGGCTGACCACACTATCTCTTCATATCTCTTCATATACCCGTCACAGAAACAAGTGAACTCTACTTCAGGTTTGAAAGGGAAACTTTACTTACTTACTTATAAGGGACAACTATTGAGGTAGATGTAAAGACCAGAGGTAGATGTAAAGACCAGAGAAGTAGGTGCAAGGACCGATTTGTATAAGGGCCGACTACCTGAAACGCCCGTTTAGATAAACTGGTTTATATTTTTGGCTATGATTTATATTTTTGGCTATGACTTATCAAACATCCAGTACGTTGTATCTCCGCTAGGTGTTCGAGGGTCAAACGGTCATCGTGCACGTGAAGAACAAGCTGATGAGCGAGGGGCTGTCCGTTCACTGGCATGGTCTACAGCAGCGTCAAACCCCTTGGATGGACGGGGTGGCTTATGTCACACAGGTCAGTGGAAGGGGTGGCTTACGTCACGCAGGTCAGTGAAGGGGGGTGGGGGGGCTTGCGTCATACAGGTCAGTGTAGGGGTGGATTACGTCACACAGGTCAGTGTAGGGGTGGATTACGTCACACAGGTCAGTGTAGGGGTGGATTACGTCACACAGGTCAGTGAAGGAGTGGCTTACGTCACACAGGTCAGTGTAGGGTACGGGCGCTTGCGTCATACAGGTCAGTGTAGGGGGAGGGCACTTGCGTCATACAGGTCAGTGTAGGGGGAGGGCACTTGCGTCATACAGGTCAGTATAAGGGAGGGGCACTTGCGTCATACAGGTCAGTGTAGGGGGAGGGCACTTGCGTCATACAGGTCAGTATAGGGGAGGGGCACTTGCGTCATACAGGTCAGTGTAGGGGAGGGGCACTTGCGTCATACAGGTCAGTGTAGGGGAGGGGCACTTGCGTCACACAGGTCAGTGTAGGGGA